TTTTAAACTAATTTGAAAATCTGTTTTTTGTTTCAAAGTATATACTTTCATATTAGTACCCTTAGAAGTTACATTAAATCCCGTTCAATAGTTTAATTCTAAAATCTAATGTTACATATTGTTTTTAAATCAACACTTTTAAAAGTCACTTAAATGCAAAGAACTTACTTTTTTTATTTAATCCGTCTATAAGCTGCGATAAGTTCATATAATAAATGTACTTTACGAGCATATTTATCATCCACAACGGTAAAACTACCGCCCCATGAGGTTTTATAGCCGTGAACGTATGCATTTTCCTTTTTTTTTTAATTAAACCGTAACATAAAAATTCTTAACACCAGAAGAGTAACCTGACTAATACTTAAAAAAAAATTGAAAACGTCAAAGACAATAAGTGGTTTCTTTTTAATTGCCAAAAAAAAATTAAAAATCGAATCTACATCTATGATTACTCACAAAATAAACGTACCTACCATTAGTCCATGGAGAAGTAATAATTAATATTGTGTATTATGTAATTTTGTATGGATTTTTTTAATGTATCATACATGTACTGTTGGTATGTGTTAATAAATAAATAAACAATTATTAATAAATAATCTTGGAGATATTGCACACCGCCATCTAGCATGCAAACTGAGTAAACCTCGTCCTATGCATACTGAACTTATGTAAATTACTTAAATATTTTTCGTGAATACCATAATACCTTTCCCTAGAGGGAGGAAGGGGGATTGTTAGTAACGAAATGGCGTGTTTCTATTAGTATTGATGTACTCTATCAGGCCGACCTCCACGCGATCGCCCCTAAAAACCATCGTGGTTAATTTCAGAATAATGACGAAATGCTAACGTAACTACCTTCATCCTCAACTATCATCTATCACTGGTGCCCCGCCAACGTATACCGATAGCGCAGGCCATTTCATTTTTACACAAAAAAAACCTTTTCTCTTTATCCCAAATAAATTTATGATTAAGCCAGATTACTTTGACATAAACAATAGGATCGAATGATCTAATATCTGTAACGTACTAGTTATGAGGTTTTCACGTGGGCAAACTGGAATGGGCGTACGAAACCCACTCGTGGGTTTGAACGTGAAATTGGATTATGTGGGTTTAATGTAAACTGATAAATCCAATATTCAGACGCCTGATAGTTCCACTATAATCTATTTAACAAATAATCGATTTGCTCATCTAAAGGAAAATTTTAAAGAGAAAGTATTTGGGGTTTTTTTTTTGTGAAATAGTGACAAACAAGCGTACGGCTTATCTGGCGGTAAGTGATTACCTCAGCCCGTAGACAGAGGGAGACTTTGTACAAAAGTCGATTGCTTGGGTACCTCTGTCCCTTTCGCGTTTCAACCGTGAAGCAGTTGTGTTTGCATGGCTGTGTTTCGATTTGAAGGGTGGGATATGGCGTGAATTTACAGGGTACAGAGGAATAACACCTGAGTCCTCAGGAATGGCAACGCATGGGAGGTATCATGGGCGAAACAGTATACTCTGTTATGTCCATGGTACTGCTCATGTCTATAGGCGACGGTTATCACTTTCCATCAGGTGGGCCGTCAGCTTGTTTGATATTTTAAGTTGCATAAAAAAATATATATGTAAACTCGCTTTGCTATAAACTCTATGTACTGGTAAGAAGTAACCTACTTCAGCACGCTCCCTTAACTCACGCAGTACGGTTATTTAATAATATTATAAACATCATTGATATATTTATTAGTAGCCTGCCAAAAATATTAGATAATGAGCTCCCTGCTGAGGCTTTCCCAAGAGACTACAGCATGGGGTTCTTCAAAAGGGGGGTAAAGAGGTTTCTTCAGGGTCGACAACGCGCGCGTAATACCTCTGGTATTGCAGGCGTTCATAGGCTACGGTAACCGCTTACCATCAGGCGGACTGTATGCTTGTTGGCCATCTCAGTGGTATAAAAAAAAAAAAGCGGCTCAGAAATATCTAGAGTCGGGTTAAATACATTTATTATAACTTTGTATGTTAGAACACTAGATTTATAACATTGATTTGACTTTTGCTTTTATAGTGTTCTAATTATTTTTAATGAATAAATAAAATAGAATAAAATAACAAAATGTTGCGGAACCCTAAAAAGCGTCGGGTTATGGTCGGATTAATTATAAGCCGCTTCTGAAATATGCACACCGTGTACCTGAACACAGTCGGCGAGCTTAATGTGCTTGCGCTGTACTCTGCAAATATTTGGCTTGCAATTTCAAAAACTGAAATATATACTCTATACAATATGACAAACAGAATTTATCTTGTAATTTACAGATAAACAATTAATTATAAATAGATAATGAGATTTAAGACATAGCTAAAACTAAAATTTTTAAAAACATTGCTGAAATTTTATTATTAAACTTTTTTTTTTATAGAACTTAGAATGGCAAACAAGCTGACGGCCCACCTGATAGAAATTGGTAACCGTCGCCTATAGACATGAGCAATACCATTGACATAACAGAGTATACTGTTTCGCCCATGATACCCCCCATGCGTTGCCATTCCTGAGGACTCAGGTGTTATTCCTCTGTACCCAGTAAATTCACGCTATATCCCACCCTTCAAACCGAAACACAGCCATGCAAACACAACTGCTTCGCCGTTGAAACACGAATGAGAGAGAGGTACCCAAGCAATCGACTTATGTACAAAGTCTCCCTCAGGTATTTATTAATTAATTCTACAATATGAATATGAATAATTATGAACTACAGAATATATTAAATAACTATATAATACTAATAACAATTACGATATAAATAGATACACACCAATATTTAAGTAATGAATAATAATAATAATACACAAAATACGTACCTATCGTGATACAATTTCAATGACTGGGTAATATGGTAACAGATTCCTAAACTACATATTTCTAAAGTGAAAAAAAGTGTCGTCCTCCTCTCACGTACTCGCTGTGCCCAACAGGGTCCATAATTGAATTTGAAATGTTATCTACTAATTTTTTTTTTAATTTATTATCACAAAAAATACAGAGTTACAGAAATTATATTACATTAGGAATGTTATGTTACATTACATTATGGAATTCAATAATAACTAAATAAATAAATACTACATATACTTAATATTTATTTATTTATATCACCGTTATAATATCAGCCGTTAACTCTTCACTGTTAAACATAGGACTACCCCATAAGGGGGGTTTTGTCACTAGTTGCCCCGCTTGTCTGACGTTGTTGGTTGGATACAGCACCTAGAATTTGGCGATGTTTTGGGGACACTGCTGTTCATCCCTCAATCATTATATTCCTTTAGTCTTGACAAATTAAATACGATAAATGCTAGTTAAAAATAACATCGAATTGTGAAACTCCTATATGTAGTCAGTACTCCTCAATGTAGGATTACCTCCGTTTGACTACGCCGCACGCCGTTGAAATCTTCGTAGAGATTCATTACACGTAGTGCCGTAGAGCTTGTCTACAGCGCTAATAGTAGTGCTACGGTGCTTATCGTGCCGCTACGAGCTTACCATTGCGCTACGGACAGAGTACGTATCCTACCGTGTTTATTATATTAGTATATATTTTAGATAAATTTTCAGAAAGTTAAATTGTCGAAAATATATTCGAGTAAATCTAATTTTAAGATTTTTTAATAATTTAATCATTATCATCATATTAGCCGTTATCTGTCCACTGCTGGGCATAAGCCTCCCCCATAGATATCCATAAGGAACGGTCCTTAGTCACCTGCATGCAATAATACATAATATTAATACATAATTCTAAGACATAGAATCTAATTACGTTATGATTTAATTAAAAACGAAATATCGATGTATGCAATAAAAAAAATTATAATACAAAACATATTACTGATAACACAAGCATGAACACAATTCTGCACTATCGACGTACTGGTTTCAATGTCATAAACATGGAAAATTCGGTAATTTAAAAAATGACATTTCATGTGTCCAAAAGTGCATCACCGGGAAGTAATTTCGGGATCTTATGGCATCAAGAGATTATGGCGAGCTGCAGTGCGGGGAGCGGGCGCGAGTCGCGGGGGAGGCGAGGGCGGGCGCGGCGTGCGCACGGGGCGCGGGGGCGGGCGGCGCGGCGGCGCGGGTGGCGGGGGCGGGGGCGGGGGCGGGGGCGGGGCCGCGACCCGGTCACGACTCGCGCCCAGTGCCGCCGCGGCCCTCCGCCGGCGCGCACCGCGCCCCCCACGCTCACGTGATCCCTCTCATAACCTATACGTGCGCCGGGAACCATACAGTGACTACACATTATTGTTTAGAGTTATCTCAACACTGCAGTGTCGGAGAAATAATTTTAAATAGGAACATTAATAAATTAAAAAAAAAAGTGTGCGGTGAAACATGATAGTCGAGATACAAGAGGTATGTTTTGTGTCGTTTACGGTCCCGATAACTCGTCAAAGGAAGTCGTATATATCGCGTATCGAGAAAATTGACAATCGCCCCGCCACGAGCCACGGCTTGTAATGGACTTTTTACGACCCGAACATCGATAGCGATAGGAATACTGCACCGGACGCACTAACGACCGGTTGGAACGTTAATTTTGTCGCTAGTTTTTTAATGCTCTGAAATATAGTGACGTCTTCACCATTTCGTAAATGTTTTAAAGAAGTAGGAAAGTTTTTTAATAGCTCATAAGTTCAGGAGTCCCAGTCTAGATTAAAGATCGTGCAGGGCGGCGATGTCAGTGGGTCAACGCACAGTGCGTGTGGGGCGGGTGCGCGGGGGGCGGGGCACAGGCACAGCGGTGTGCGCCGCGGACAGGGCGGGGGTGGGGCGGGGGAGAGCGCGGGCCGCGGCGATGTGCACGGCCGTTGCACCGCTGCAGCCAGTGCAGGCGCTACGGACGCCCGCTACGCGCTACGAAAGCGTAGCCGCTACGCCGTAGCCCCTGTAGGGCGTAGCATGCAGTTTATAATGATATTTTAACTCGTAGTGCTTTAATTAGTGCAACCACTTGTGATCTGAAGGTGATAGATGAAGGCTAACATATTTGTTTTTTTTTATTTATTAGTTGATAAAAATATTAAAATGTAGTTTAAAAAATTTTACTGATTTATCAAAAAATAAATATAAATAAATAAGACCAGTAAATTATATGATCTGATCTATATATATATATATATATATATATATATATATATATATATATATATATATATATATATATATATATATATATATATATATATATATATATATACGAATATACATAGTAAAAGATCGACGAAGTAGTGTAGTAAGCCGTAAACAAAAATAATATAAAAAAAGTAAAACAACTATCAAGTTGTTGAAGAACATTTTTCGTAATGTAAATATATTTTCATTATATATTTTTATTTCTGGTGCAATAGAAAGTTAAATAAATAAATAAATATTTAATCCAGAGGGAGATTTTGTACAAAAGTCGATTACTTGGGTACCTCTGTCCCATTCGTGTTTCTACCGTGAAGCAGTTGTGTTTGCATGGCTGTGTTTCGGTTTGAAGGGTGGGATATGGCGTGAATTTACAGGGTACAGAGGAATAACACCTGAGTCCTCAGGAATGGCAACGCATGGGGGGTATCATGGGCGAAACAGTATACTCTGTTATGTCCATGGTACTGCTCATGTCTATAGGCGACGGTTACCACTTTCCATCAGGTGGGCCGTAAGCATGTTTGCCATTCTAAGTTGTATATATATTAGACGACGTCATCCAAAATTTTTTTATACATACATAGTATATATAGTATATAGTTGTATTTTTTTCATGTAACTTTCTGTAAAATTTGTGGAGAAAATAAATAAATAAATAAATAAATAAAAAATAAATAAATCACTTATCCACCGACTCCAAACAGAGGGGAGTTCTCAACCCTATTGTATATTAATGTTTATATTTGTTACCTCATAACTTCTTCAGCTGTCAACTGAATTGGAAAATTGCTTTTTTTTTTATCTAAAATGATATATTTATAAATTTATTACATAGAAATTTTATCAAATTCAGTTCAATAGCTTTTACATCAAAATAACTGGGTTTTTTCGTGAATTTTTTTTTTTCTAATTTGTATGTTTATTAAACATCATTTACTGTACCATATACATACATACATACATATCTGTCACGCCTGTCTCCCATTAGGGTAGGCTGAAACAATGGAACGCCAAATGCTTCGATTCAAACAAACCTCTTTCGCTTCTTCCACATTCATCAATCTTCTCATACGTACTGTACGATATACAGCATCGTATATTTTGATATACGGAGAAAATTTATTTGGAATCAATTTTAACCGTGAAAACAAATCAGCCAAATGGTTTGGCTTAATAATTTTTAATTAAATATTTATTTATTTAACTTTAAGTGCAATAGGCACCAGAAACAAAAATATATAACGACAATGTATCTTGCAGATTGGTCTCTTAAAAATTTTCTCAAAATTGCTTTAGTAATTTAGTTTCGAAATCAAAATAACTGGTTTTTATTACAATTGAAGTCTTTTTTTTGGGAAAAAATCTCTATATATATATATATATGTATTTCATATTTATAATAATAAATATATTTATATTGTAAAATAGATGCATGGATAATTCTTTTTACTCTGTGATCGTACTTAAAACCTATAGATCTTATGGGTTATCTCAGCCATGAACTGGCCACAACTAAGTACCGGTCTTCACCATAGACCGCCATGAAAACCATCCTATATTACCTACATCACACAGTACTTCATAAATTTCTTGCAAGATATTTGAGATCGTCGCTCAAATTTATATATTATATATATTTATTTTACTTAATTAATGTATCTTCCCACCATAATATGTTTTAAATAACTATTATTATTATATCAGCCGTTAACCGTTTACTGCAATTTTTTTTTAATGGATGATAATGGAATGGTAACCCCACCCGCGCTATCGGTATACGCTGGCGGGGCACCAGTGAAGGATGATAGGTGATAATGAAAAAGCAGGTCAGTTAGCCCGTCGTGGTAGAAACATCTGGAATCCAGCATGATGGTTTCCAGGGGGAACCACGTGGAGGTCGACCTGACAGGGTATATTGCTTGCAATGGGACTAGTAGTATGCATTTCTAACAATCCTTTCCCCCACTACTGAATATTAACTTTCCCCATAAAGAGGAATTGTTTACAGTAGTTGCCACGCTTGGCAGGCGTCTTGGCAACAGCAGTTAGGCTTTTGGTGACGTTTAAAAACACATGCCACTGCCCATCAAATAACTAGTTTGTATTTATTTTCCAGGAGGTTAGAGGAAAGAGGCCTTTCAAGATATGGGACAGTTCGCGGAACGTGAGGAAAGGGCTGGTGGTCACTAGCTTCGAAGAGTTGATACACAGAGGTGAGGCAATGATAATTGATAAACTTACGCTATTTAGCAACGTCAATATATCTAGTAATCATTTCTAAAAATCATTAATTCTTTAACAATCACAGATTCTGTGAAATTTTTTTTTTTATACAACTAAGGACTCAGGTGTTATTCCTCTGTGCCCAGTAAATTCACGCCACTGAGTTTAAAACTAGTTGGACATACCCGAATTTTAAACGTGAATAAGGTCGAAATAAGTAATTATAATACAGTATGACTCACGACAGTTAATTTTTAAAGTCGATAATTTATATGTAGTGGTACCTCGATATACGTGTCCCCTAATATACAAGTTTTTTATTTTTTTTATACAACTTAGAATGGCAAACAAGCTTACGGTCCACCTGATGGAAAGTGGTAACCGTCGCCTATAGACATAAGCAGTACCATGGACATAATAGAGTATACTGTTTCGCCCATGATACCCCCCATGCGTTGCCATTCCTGAGGACTCAGGTGTTATTCCTCTGTACCCAGTAAATTCACTGCCGTATCCTACCCTTCAAACCGAAACACAGCCATGCAAACACAACTGCTTCACGGTAGAAACACGAATGGGACAGAGGTACCCAAGCAATCGACTTTTGTAAGTCTCCCTCTGGTAAATTGCATTATTTGCATTACTTACAGCACACAAACAACAATAGACATAAATGCACCGTGGAAAAAGATAAAAAAATACATGTACACAAATATAAAATATATGTATACAAATATAAAAAAAATTTACTGGTAAAGCAGCCAGCATTGACCTTCTATTAAAAAAAATTTCAACTGTACTTCTAAGCTGACGATTTCTCTTTAAACTAGCTGTGAATGGTTCGTTGGATAGAACAATAAAATAGAAAATACTGAATGAAGATATATTTTCCCTAGTACAATAATAGTGATATTTTATAAAATGACGTTCTCTAAAAAACAAAATATTCATTGACATAAAAAGAAAATAAATAAGTTCTCTTTTTAAAAGTGACATGAATAAAACCTCAACACTAACCGCTGAATGTAAAAGTTTGGAATTATTTGTACGAATATATGGATAAATAAACACTAATACTTCTAAATCATGTGAACAAAACCGCAGGATATATGTATAATGAAATGAAATGAAATGAAATTTATTTGCTAGAAACATTGTAGAAAATGTGTTGCATTTGTGAAGTTTATAAGATGTCCATTATGTTTCGCCACATTATATATAACTAGCAACGTCCAAACTACGTCATGGTATCAGCACATTGATGAGACAGGGCATCGTCGGCCGACCATTGAACGGTGACAGTTCGTAATGTTGACCTTCGCGCCCTCCAGACTGGCTGCCGGCTCGTGTACTATATTGATCTGAAAGAGCACAGGTACGACGCGGCCGCACTGTACTTACTGCGGCACAGCGTTGCCACACTACACTAGGTATTGTTTTCACAAACTTTTGGGTAAAAATTTTAGTCCTCGCGAGTCTTCGGAGAAATGAAAACATTGGAGGAATTTTCGAAGAACAAAAAGGTTGATAAAGTTTACGCCCAAGTCAGACCTATATTAATTTTATGAGCATTTAATATAATGTTTTTTTTTTTTTAAATATTGTAAGATAACCAAAAAACACTAAGTTCAACCGTGACAAAAGCAGTTATTTCAATTTGAAAATCAATTTTGATGACATTTCTATAGGACTAATCCAAAATACTATTCTTTCACATATAAAAAGAGTAAATGACGAAGTTCAGCGGTAACTAACATAAAAAAATGCAACCGAATTGAGAAATTCCTTCTTTTTATGTCGGTTAAAAATGAATAGAATATAGTTCATTCTGTGCCGTGACCACACGGCTTTAGGTATTTTTTAAATGTACAAATTCAATACAATATTATAACAACGAAGACAGTAACATGAGGAGAAGAAGTCATTTGTCAAAAAGGTGTTTTTTTTGCGTAGGGGTTTCATGACAAAACATAGTGAAAACCGAAATAAGTTTATTTTTCGATAAACGTTAACGAAAAAGTATAAATTTGAAGAAAAACCAGAAGGAGACTTTGTACAAAAGTCGATTGGTTGGGTACCTCTGTCCCGTTCGTGTTTCAACCGTGAAATAGTTGTATTTACATGGCTGTGTTTCGGTTTGAAGGGTGGGATATGGCGTGAATTTACAGGGTACAGAGGAATAACATCTGAGTCTTCAGGAATGGCAACGCATGGGAGGTATCATGGGCGAAACAGTATACTCTGTTATGTCCGTGGTACTGCTCATGTCTATAAGCGACGGTTACCACTTTCCATCAGGTGGGCCGTCAGTTTGTTTGCCATTCTAAGTTGTATAAAAAAAAAGTTTTTGAGGTTTTGGATAAAAATTAAAAACCGCACCTGGCAACCCTGACCGCTCTCGCACTGGGTGCGAACTATCGGAACGGGCTAATGAACTGTATTGTTCTAAAAATAGACCGAGCGCCGCTTATGCTTACGTTTTTAGAGTCGAGAGACGTTTACATGCAATTTAAGGATTATTTTATGCAGCATCGTCATCCTTTAAGATGTGTTCTATTATTTATGACACAGCATATTTTTACCTTCTATTACTGGTGCTACTTCCAATCTTCCTCGTTTCTATATTTTCCTATTTTTTTTTATGCAACTCAGAATGGCAAACAAGCTGACGGCCCACCTGATGGAAAGTGGTAACCGTCGCTTATAGACATGGACAGTACCATGTACATAACAGAGTATACTGTTTCGCCCATGATACCCCCCATGCGTTGCCATTCCTGAGGACTCAGGTGTTATCTCTCTGTACCCTGTAAATTCACTGCCATATCCCACTCTTCAAACCGAAACACAGTCATGCAAACACAACTGCTTCACGGCTGAAACACGAATGGGACAGAGGCAACCAAACAAACGACTTTTGTACAAAGTCTCCCCCTGGTGATCAATATGCACTCTCATCAATAAACACGCATGCATTTCAGTAGGAAAACTCATTAGTTTTTCTACTGGACTCCATACGTACAGAGTAGCAAATAAAAAGCTAGCACGTAATAAAAAGATATTAATGTATGTATTACTTTTACCAGAGGGAGATTTTGTACAAAAGTCGATTGCTTGGGTACATCTGTCCTATTCGTGTTTCAACCGTTTTTTTTTAACAATAAAAAATGTTTGGATCTTTACAATAAACTGTTTGCGGTGTGGTTATGTCCATGGTACCGCTCATGTCTATAGGCGACGGTTACCATTTTCCATCAGGTGGGCCGTCAGATTTCTTGCTATTCTAAGTTGCAAAACATATGTAGCGGCGTAGAACGTCTACGGCGCTTACAAAGGTGCTACGGTGCCGGTGCAGCGCCGGTAGCGATACACGTAATAATCCCACAATCACAGTCGAGCTTTCTTTTTCAAGTTGGTTAATTGTTTATTTATTACATCTTGACGCCTTTACGGATCAGCTAATGACATGGCGAAGTGGAACATGATAACTTCAAGTAGTAGATTGTTTTATACATTTATATCAACAGTTAACTGTCCACTGCTGAGCACATGTTTCCCCCATAAGGGGGCTATAAATATTATAGTAAACGGTAACTTTGTTAGTTGATATTAATTATGAATAATTAATTTTTAAACTCGTTAGCGATATGTAGCGGCAGCATCGGGTGCCACTGTTAGCTGGTTGGCTAACTTGTATAAAAACCTAATACAAAATAAAAAAAAAAGACTAGAAAAAGTATAATAAAATCGTACAAGCATGGTTAATAAACTGTAATCTTAGTACTTGATGTTAATTGTGCCTAATTAGTTTTCAACTTCGTAAGCTGTGTATAGCGGCAGCATCGGGTGCCACTGTTAGCTGATTGGCTAACTTGTATAAAAACCTATTACAAAATAAAAAATACTTGAAAAAGTATAATAAAATCATATAAGTATGGATAATAAACAATCAGCTTGTTAGTTGATGTTAATTGTGACTAATTAGTTTTCAAACTCGTTAGCGATATGTAGCGGCAGCATCGGGTGCCACTGTTAGCTGGTTGGCTAACTTGTATAAAAACCTAATACAAAATAAAAAAAAAAGACTAGAAAAAGTATAATAAAATCATAAAAGCATGGATAATAATCGGATAATCTTGTTAGCTGATGTTAATTGGGACTAATTAGTTTTTTAAATTCGTTAGCGATATGTAGCGGAAGCATCGGGTGCCACTGTTAGCTGGTTGGCTAACTTGCATAATAAGCTATTACAAAGTAAAGTTGACCGGAAAAAATATAATAAAATTATAGAAGCATCATAACAAACAATAACCTTGTTAGTATCTGTTAATTGCAAGTAATTAGCTTACAAACTAGTAGGCTGTATGTAACGGGAGCGTGGGGCTCCGCTGTTAGCTGGTTGGTTAGCGGCAGGTCAATCTGATTTGCCGCGCAGCTGCGCTCGCCTGACCCGATTGCACCGTTTAGCTCTCGGGTCGTTCTCGGACGCCTCCGTTATCTGCTCATTCGTGAGCCCTATTTACTTTTTAGCTGTTTCCATTATGTTTTTGGTTTTGATTTCAATTTTATTAAACTGATAGAGAAAGAAATAAAGAAAATGCAAATCTCATAGAGAAAAAAAGAAAGCATTTGTTGCTAACAACAAAAATAATTATACTAATAAGTTTAACAATAGGAAACAAACTTCAAATTTGATATTGCCAACTTGTCTACCACACAGCATGCGCTACAGAAAATTATTTGCAACAACGCTGATATTCCATAGCAGCTAAGTATGACATCACTGATGACAAGGTAGCTTTGTTTTGTTTAACACAGAACTAGCTAATCAAATTTAGCATCACGCAATTGATTGACATTGTGACGTTTATTATATTTTTTTTTTCATTTAAACGACTTTAAATGTCAAATTAAGGGCCACTTGATAAAAACTATACCTGTCGTCTGTAAACGTTATGAACTAACAGCTATTTCTGCTTACCTAAACAAGTTTTATATGAGTACATTCATATACTAAAAAATGTGCTGCACCAGTACGTTTTTGTTACCACCTACTGCCCACATGAGAAAGAATAAACCGCCAGACATTGCTATCTCACTCTAACTCATGCATAATATATAGTGTTGTTAACATATTTATAAATAGAATCGCATGCCACTTGTCTATAGAAGCAGACAACTAAGGTACTATATCTCCGTTCAGTTATATCACTGCTATTTTTCACCCTTGAAGCCTAAACAAAACTATACAAGCACTATTATTAAGACAGTAGCCAACTCTTGTAGGTAGCTTTATACAGTCTGTTTTTTTTTATACAACTTAGAATGGCAAACAAGCTGACGGCCCACCTGATGGAAAGTGGTAACCGTCGCCTATAGACATGAGCAGTATCATAGACATAACAGAGTATACTGTTTCGCCCATGATACCCCCCATGCGTTGCCATTCCTGAGGACTCTGGTGTTATTCCTCTGTACCCAGTAATTTCACGCCATATTCCACCCTTCAAACCGAAACACAACCATGCAAACACAACTGCTTCACGGTTGAAACACGAATGAGACAGAGGTACCCAAGCAATCGACTTTTGTACAATATGATGTGAGTTGAGCAGCACGATGGTTTGCCATGATGTTGTTAAAAAAAAAAAACAAAAAAAAATGATGTGCTTTTTAAGAGGGCAGACGCTCCCTAAAAAGTAATTTTAAATATTCCAATAATATTCGATTTATTTCAATATAACTAATAAAATATGTTGTACGTGACAGGCAAGGAGAAGTTGTCAGTAGCGGCGAGCGAGCCGGTGCGGCTGGTGCTCGAGAGTGACGGCACGCAGGTGGAAGACGGCGACTATTGGCGGACGCTTCCACCCAATACTGTGCTCCTGTTGCTGCGGCAGGGCGAGAGATGGTACCCCACGGGTGTCGACGTCATCAAAGCTGGTACGCACTAATTGATTTTGAAGTTTTAATTTTACGTATGATTTATAACGATAAAAAAGCTGACGACCTACTCGATGGAATATGACAATACCTATAATGTATACGGGAATTGTAAACCTCTTTCATCTAAAACTACTTACATTCTAGCAAAATAAATTAATTTCATTTTATTTCTTTATCTATTTGTAACGTCTATACATATTCAATGCATGTCCTTGATTGTTTACAGCTATATCGGCAATCCCGAAAATAGTATGCGAGACGATCCATGCACTCGAACTGCACGATGAAACGCCTTCATGGAAGATCATGGACAACAAAGGGCGCGTCACGGTGGTGCTGCACTGGGACCAGCGGCCGCAGGCGTCGCCAGCAGCGCGTTCGCCTTCCCGGCAGGCCAAGCCCGACCGGCGGCCGTCTCTCGTGATCCAGACCTCGCTGGACCGGCCACAGCCGCCACCACCACACATCACCGTAGTCAACCACGACGAGCCCGGGCCTGCGCCCAGGGGGCGCCTATCGCGCGCATCTGGCTCGCTCGAGCATCCGCCTGGCCCGGTGCATGTACACACCGCAGAGTGTCGCGCCGGCGCCGCATCTCCCGCCCCCGCACCGCCTTCTCGCCCGCCGCCCGATGAATGCGACTTCCATTGTTGTGCGCTACACGAAGAGGGTCGACGAATCGCTGTTCACAAGAGCGTCGCTACCTCTCCCATTCAAGATGCCCAGCCGCGTGCTTCTCCCCAAGGTCGCCCTAAGGGCCACGTGCGCTTTCTCGATGCAGAGTCGGCGCGACGTGGCGACCGCGACTCTTCTGAGAGTGAGACCGAAAACACGCTAGTAGAAGACGAGGCGGTCACGTCAGAAAAATTTCTTCTCCTAATAGACCAGCTGAGCGTAGACCAGAAGCGACACCTTACAATCAAAGATATCGGCATAATCTTGGAGAGACTAAGCTCAAAGATTCTCGACGTGGAGCGGCTAGACCGCGAGTCGGAATCGGACGACTGCTACAACTGGACGATTAAAGCGACGATAAGAGGCGATGCGCTTCGGGAGCTCGGCGTTATTTACAACGGGAACTATTACGCAATCAGCGAACACCCTGGCTACAGGGAGGAAAACGAGGAGGCCGGTGACGAGGGTGAAGAAGAAGAGGAAGAAGACAGACTCTGATCGGGCCTGTGCGGCGCCGCAGTGCCCGCCGCCGCCGCTGCAGTGCGACACGCCCTGTGCCGCATCGCCGCGCGTTGAGCCGCCGGGCGCTGCGTTCGCGTCGCACCCGCACCGCACCGCACCGCACTCTATCGCGTGTACCCCACACGATAACTGACTCGGATCTAAGCAATACTAATCTAACGAGAGTCAGCCAGATACACGATATCTTATTGACCGATCCGAAGCCGGGGTCGCGCGAGCACCCGCTCTGAGCGTGGACCCGAGCCGCAGTTTCGTCGAGTCCGAGAGAATGCAGAAGGAGTAATGAAAAGAATGCTTGATGGATACAACCGTTCGCGGGGGATGTGTAGTGATCTCGCACCGATACGTAGAATAATCGCATCGATCTCTACGCGTTTTGCTGGCACTGCCTGCGTCAGCGCTCAATCAGAGATCGGCCTATTTCCTTATTTAGTGCACGATGGAGATAAAGCCGGATGGATAAAACGTCAGTGAGGAGCTCAGAATGGATGTCACATCACAGTGAACGATTAGAGACTTATATATGAAATTTATTGCGGTCCCGCCTCGCGCCGTCGACCCGACACGTCAATTCGCGATGCGAGGCGCGCCGCGAAACCCTAGTTAATAAATAGCGGAATTATTGTAAGTAAAACTGACTTCCTATCGATTTCTAAGGTGATTACTTAAGTGTACGACCCGGTGGTCCAGTACCGAGTCCCCGTGACTACGCCCGACGATAGCGCACACTGTAGCGTACTGTATGTTATATACTACCCGATGACACCGGAAACAACAACAGCACAAATATTTATCATCGAGATCGTCAATGTTCTTAGGTAAATAATAAATTATACACGTGTTAGCGACGTTTTACAATATAACAGTCAAGGGGGGCCGCCGGCCGCTGCGGGCCCGCCCACCGCCGGCGGTGGGCGAAGCCAGCAGCGTGCACACTGTTCTCTGGCCCTCCTGCACGCTTCCTTGACGGTTTTATTAAGATTATCTTCACATTGCGGCTGCATTATTTATTCTTGTACGTGTTGGCCTAATGTTTTGGGAGGAGATCGTTTCTCTTTACGTAATTTCTGCGGCTGCAAAACGGATCATTTCGTCCCGTTGCAGTTGTATAGAATCTAATAACACCACAAAATACTGTGAGTAAGACTCCAAAAATACAATAAATATATAAAATGTTTTACTGTCTAATATTATACACGTGGTATTCGGCATAAGTACATACCTAATTATAACTGACGATGTCAAATAATTTTGTTCGTACATAATATATTCATTTGTACTCGTACGTACCCGTGAGGAGTTGCATGAGTGACGCGGAAAGCGAATAACTTTGAAAGCTGTTGTGATTGACTAATCTAACGGTATGTCCGAGAGTTGTAGAGCTGCTGAACAGGGTCCTAGCGAGCTGCTCGGTACATGTGCGCTAATATTGTACCCATAATAAGAGCCCTTGTAACAACCGATGATGCGACTACAAGATTGCGCCAAATTGCATACACTCTACTAGCGCCAAAGAGTTTCCTGCGAAAACCATCACCGAGATTCGTTCATTCCTGTGTGCCGACCGCTCGCCGCTCGCCAGGAGATAATAGTACCAAAACACAAGACGATGTTTCAGAGAGAGCACATAACATTTATATAATAGATATATTAAATTATATTAATTAATAAATTGAATGTTATAAAAGAGGTTGTAACTAAAATACGAATATACCGTCAGCGCATCGTGTCATCGTGCCAAATGGGGTATTGGTAGTTGTAAGTTGATTCTTGTATTTATTAGCTATATCGTACTACGTGTAGTATTATTGTATAATGATTTTTAATTTTTGTATAGTACCGATATGTGAGCGGTTCACACACTAATGTATTATATAAATGAAGTCTAATAAGTTTTACATCCCCGCGGGGGTTTCATAAAATTGTAAAGTTATTTAAGGTGTAATATTAACTATTATTATTATTATTATTAAATTATTATTGAATACGTGATTACCAGCACCGGTCACCTGTCAGTGGCAAGGTCATGTTCAGTTTGGTTGGTGGTTCGCGCGTTCGTTCATTGGTGGCGCATGGCGTGACTCGTTTGTGTCTATGGTCGAATGTGTTTGGTGAAATACTTTTGGTGTACTTGCATTACGTAACTAAGTACTTATATATATATATATATATATATATATATATATATATATATTTGTATGTTTTGCTTGTCTATCGTTTATAATTTCTCATATGTTCACAACGGTTCATGAAAATTTCAACTGTACTACCTCATATTTAATTGTAGTCAAATATTCATATTGTTTACAAGTTAACATCTCGATTACCCTTGTTCTAGTTAAAAAATACAATATATTATCTACGTGTAAGAGTTTTTTCTGTTAAGTTTTTAGCAAACACGTCACGAGCTATACGAATGTTAGGTTAATGCAAAACTTTAGAGTCGCTTCGTTTTCATGAACCGGTATGCATTGTATTTTTGATGTTTTTCATAGCATTTTATATTGATGGAACCTCGGTTCTAAGGTTTGATATTGTGACTTGTTCTAAAGGTCGGTTCTTAAATTGTCGCTATTAATATTAGCTATAAAAATTTCTTTACTCTTGATCCAAATAAGAGAGTGGTCCGACTGAACGGTCAGGCCGCCTCGTAATACCAGAGATGTGTTTACCTGCATGACTTTATGGACAGAAGTTGTGAAAAAGTAATTCGCAGGAACGAATTTAAATAACAACCCTTTGTAATTTTTCTTACCACATTAGTGACTTCAGAACGATACAATAATTTCTTTTGTTAATAAAAAAATCTTGGATTTTAGCGATATTTCTAAGCTAATGAAAACAAATTGTAATCTTTTATTGCAGGCTACTGTATCATAGAGTAGGGCTGTTCTATTTACTATTCAGATAACAACAAAATGTTAACAACAAAATTTTTATTCAATTTAATAATTAAATAAATAAAAAAAAAAACATTAAAATCCTTCAGTGCTGTACGCCTGTATTAATACCTAGGATTGCCAATAAATTAGACGTATGTTGTAAACTTAACGTGAAGTCACTCTTGTGCTATTTTAGTAGCTATGGAAATTTCCGTTCCTTCGATTTAAAAGTTTTCGTAATTCGTTTGTACAGCTAATGGTGAGTCTATGGTGTTACGGACCGTTACGCACATTATAATAATATCTAGTTAAAGCGTTCCGTTTTAATATTTTTATGTGTATAGGAGTAATAATGAGGTAAATAGTAAAAAAAAAAAATGGTTCGTGGCCGTGCGGTTAAGGCCCGCGAGTGTATCGCGCGCGGCTGACAGATTCAAGGGAGCTGACATGCGGGCGCGTGACAAACAATAAGTACACATGTTTACCTAATATATAAACTGTACGCAAGTCACTTATCGGTACACGACTTGTACTATTTTCTATGGTGTTTATGTCTATGTGGATGTGTGTGAGGTCAGCGTTATTTGAATCTATCGGCCGCGGAGTACAGTGGTAAATATTGTTGCACCGGCCAGTCAACAGTGACGCCCCGAGAGCAATGTTTGCTTCGTGGTGCGCCGTGTATGTGTACGCGACTGAAATAATGTTAGGTAACGCCGTCTACTGTTGAACGCAGCGGTAACAATATTGAACAGTTGAACATGTCGCCTACATGCGGCAATGACATTTCAACGGGTAAGTACCATAATGTCTTCGTACACTTCCATCCGTCGAGTTTATCGAAAAGTTCAATTTTTGCTAAGATACTAGTCGCCTCGTTACAATGTCATTGCTCGTAGGTGCATTATCGATATTAAATACATAACGTTTAGGTATCTATTACGATTAGAAAATACAATCCCGGCATCCCGAATGACATAGGCCACGGGTCGTTACATATACAGCTATAATAATCATATATAAATTTATTATATAAATTAAAACAAATAATTAAAAAAAAATTCAATGACCATAAACTAAAAAAAATAAAATTGTCATCAATAATCAATTTTAATACAAGATTTTAATCTTATTCTTATTTCAATTTTCTACCAAAAACTTTTGGTAGAAAATTGAAATGGTAGTTTTTGGCGTCTGTGGTCATACAAAAATTATTTTTATTTATTCCTTGTAATTTATATAATAAATTTCTATATAATTATTATAGCTGCATATGTATCAGCCACTTGCCTTGTGTCATTCGTGATCTCGGGATTGTATTCTCTAATTACGATGTATGGTAAACGATACAGTTTTCTCGATGGTAACTTGTGTTTTGGAGTACCTATCGTTTTTATAGTGGTTTCGTTTCATAATTCACAGCGCATGTGCAACAACAAAATACGTAAAATATTGAATGTTAGATGAAATATCATAACCGATACAGTGTAATAGCACCTAGGATGCAATTTAATTTTAATATTATGTGCCAAATCGTTTTATATACTTATGTACAACAATATATAACTTTTATTATGTACTTCTAAACAATTAATATAGAATTATTGTCATTATAAATCTACCTACATATTTTTGATCGACATTAAAAAGAAAGAGGTTTATGGTTTTTAACATCGTAACTCCGTCAGTTGTAACCCGATTAGATTTTTTTTTTTTAATTAAATTGGTGCCATAGAAATTTTATCATAATGGGTTTAATTTTTAAATCAATATTTTTCTGTAACAACATTTTGCTGTAGTTAAAGTTGATTGTTTTATGAAACACAGTTCTGTAATAAACATTAAGATGTCTAAAGTAAAATGATATAAACAGTACCTATACAAGTCTATTTTAGAGAGAAATAAATTAAAGTGTTTGTATTTAGAAAAAAATATAAACAAAAAATTTGAACTCGCTTACCTCCGGATATGAATTTGACAAATGTCGCAAGTGTATGTAGGAACTTTGATTTTAAGCCCTCAATGACATCTAACGAACACCAACTAAATTTAGTTTAGTTTCTCATAGACTTTCTACATAAAATGTACCTACGTCGAAAAAATTTTGAAGCACTTTAGACTTTAAAGTATTGACAAAAAGTTTAAAGTATTTTTAAAATCTTTAAAGTATTACAAACGGTATTTTCAAAAGGGTTTACTGAAATAGTTTTTACAAGATTAGGTACAGGAGGTAATGTAGACAGATAATACTCTATTATTACCTACTTGCGTCATCTGTCTTAATTCATATCTTGTTTCTTATTATACCAACTTTATTTCTTTCACAAATAAGCTATGCAAAAAATAACAGCATGCTATATTTTTCCTTTATTTTCCCCGTGAATATAAAATTTGAAAAACGGCTTAGCGAAAAGAAATTACTCTGTAGTGTAGAACCTTCGTTATTGCTTTTCGAGGTACGCAGTCAAAATAAACTATAAATTTTATGAGATACATAATAAAAGTTATATTGGAGTGCCAATAAAAATATTAAGTACCTATATTACTTAGTTAATGTGAGTTGCCTACACAGAAATCATTCAACCTTACTTAATATTCCCAATATCTTAATAGCCTCGTCTTTTTTATAGTATACTAAGGGTTAAAACAATCCCCATATATGACAAGTTACAAGAATAAATTGATAAAATTTCTATATTTAAGTAGCTATGGCAAAACAATAATCGTATGTTTTATATATGTTATATAATTTTTTTTTTACAATGGCGGACTTATACCAACTGGTATAAGTCCGCCATTGTAAAAAAAAAAAATTTGTGAGTCAATATCTGTCACTGTTTGTCCACAACAACCTTCAAAATTTTTCACTCTCTCTTTCCATTTAAGAGTTTCCTCTTGTCGATGCAACTAATTCATGCATCTTCCTCCAGCCAGCTCTATCCCAGGCCATATCCTTTATCTCCCTATACGACATGACGCCTAGTGTTTTCACTACATAATTATATTTGTATGTCTATATATACATATTGGAAATTTTTTAACTCACTGTGTTTTTGTCGAGCGTTTAACACTTTGCGACACAGCGTCTCGAAACTTTGTGATGCTCTAAACGCCCTCTGAAGAAGACTTCCAGATGAAGTCGAAGCAATTGACGAAAACGTCAAAATCATTAACTTGCCATTACATATGTATTTAGACATCGATTATAAAATGAACATAAGTTTAACAAGAAATTATATTTGTATTTTTCCAAAGGTTGAATGGGCGAGAATGCTATTTAACGTTAAGTCCGCCATTTTATACCTTTTGAAATATTGACCATATAAAAAAAAAATAAATAAAATAAATCGCATATTTAATCCGAATTTAGACCGACCGAAGAAGGTGAAAAACACAAGGAAATCCTAGAAATATGATTTATTTTTATTAATATAATCATATTACAGATGAGATTTATTTAATAATTCTTTTTATATTACTATTTAATAATAATAACAATGCGTTGACCGATTTCTGTGAGGCACACACACACACACACACACACATACACAAATGAGTAAAATCGTGCATCGGCACATCACTTCACTGTAAATCATTATTGTCTATGATGGAAGTCTCTGGAAACTATATAACGGTATGCTTGATGATGTTTATTTTCATAATTCGATTAGGACGTACGTGGGGTTTTTTTAACGGCTGAAAACGAAACGACACCCCGCCTACGCTATCGGTAAACGTTGGCGGGACACCAGTGAGAGCTGATAGACGAGGACAAAAACAGGCCAGTTGGCCCATCGCGACGAATCCTCCAGCGGTAACCGCGCGGAGGTAGGCCTGGCCTGGCGAACGTGGGGGTTGCAATAAGAACTTTATTATGTTGGTACAAACGGCGAATAGGGTTTCCTTCTCGTGTTATAAAAATAAATGTCCAATTGAACGGACTGATGTAAAGATCTGGCTATTATCTGGATGGAATATTTTTGCTATGTCATATTACAGAGACTTCAATTGGTGACATGTCTATTAGATTGTACCTTGTCAAAAACGCGTTCGATTACACGCTCTGTAATCGCAGAGTTATTTTTATATTTCAACACCAGTGTACGACTGAGGCAGACCGGTTTATGTTTGTAACACTAAGCGACGTACCCGACACAACTTCACTGCCACTAATTTAAAAATAAAAATATTGGAAACGGTATATTTCAGTGTTTTATTATATCTAACTAGAGGGAGACTTTGTACAGAAGTCGATTGCTTGAGTACCTCTGTCCCATTCGTGTTTCAACCGTGAAGCAGTTGTGTTTGCACGGCTGTGTTTCGGTTTGAAGGGTGGGATATGGCGTTAATTTAATGTGTACAGAGGAATAACACCTGAGTCCTTAGGAATGGCAACGCATGAGGGGTATCATGGGCGAAACAGTATACAAACCAGACCCATAGAGTCAAATAACAGCAAAACAGTTAGTGCCATGATTACGAGAGCCTACCCCGCGTGACAGAAAGAGACGAGGGAAAAGAAGAAGGATGACCGACGCAGCAGTGTAAAGTCAAGACCATAGTGTATTTATTTAAATAAAACTTCATCTAAAATACCTATATCTATCATATTTAAACATAAAATCCAATGAAATGATGGGTTTTACTAAAATGATATATATTTCGAGATAAAAATAAATTCAAAAATACTCAATATAACTTTTTCATACAAATCAAGTAAAAATATAAAAAAATAAAATGTATGAAATCTTTGATATTACACTCTCTTCAAATTACATTAACGTAGTTTTTAATGTAAATGTTCATTAGATTTCACAAAATACGCCACATCCTACGTATTATTGCAGGACTGCGAGCGCACCAGCGCCCTCTTTTCGGCCGTAACCATCTTGTCTAGGACATCTTGCATTTCGTTCCACGGCTCATAGCGCTGATTAATGGTGAGCATTTTATGTATAGAAGGGTTTCGCAGGTCCATTGTGCGCGAGATATTGCCGCGGCTGCGTGACGTGAACACCACGTCCACCTGAAATATATTGCTGTACTAACTTCTGCCCGTCACTTGGTCCACATTACCGAGATATCTTGACTTTCTTCATCCCAAATAGTATGCCATCATTATAGTCATCATATCAGCCGTTCTTTGCTCACTGCTGATCATGGATCTCCTCCATAGACTGTCATAAGGAACAAGGCCGTTCCTTATGGCAGTTTATCATTGTAAGGATTTTGCCTTTAGCGGCTACGCTTAGCAGGCGAGTTGGCAACCGCAGTTTTTCATGATGTGTTAAGAGGGAAACTGCTGCCCATCCCTCGACAAATATTTATTTTATTTATTTATTTATTTTATTTACACATACACTAAACAAACTTTTCACTTAAATAATATCATTAATTAGATACAATCTCTCTTTAAGAAAAATAATATAAATTATACATGTTACATATAACAAAACAACATCATAATGAAGATTATACAATTATATAATAACATTACTATTTTACTTTGAATATAGAATAAAAAAAGATAAACATATAAAAAAAAAGAACAAAATGAATGTACTAGTGTTTGTGCAAAGGACCTAAATCAGCATAATAAATATAATAAATAAGTTCTTATAGTCGCCTTTTACCCACGGCAATGAAGGGACAAAATGGTAGCAACAGTACAAAACAGTACGTGTATAACAAATATCATGGCAATTGGTTGAGCAATCTTTGTGAAGCGACGTAGCTAATGTGATGAATGATTTGGCGTAGAAAATAAAACTTCACTACATCATAATCACTGTCCACTGCTTAACATAAGCCTTAAAGGTTTTTCCAGTAGTTGGCAGGCGGATTGGCAACCGCAGTTAGGCTTTAGAGATGTCTTAATAGGGACGCCGCTGCCCATCCCTCGCTCTCCCTTAGTTGCCTCTTGCGACACCCACGGATATGAGGGACAATGAGGGATGATAGAATGAAGTAAGGTCGGTTGGTTAATCGCGAAGAATTTACCACGAAACTTTTTAGGAAGGTTCGCTGATACATTGGTATTTTTTTTATACAACTTAGAATGGTTAACAAGCTGACGGTCCACCTGATGGAAAGTGGTAACCGTCGCCTATACACATGAGCAGTACCATGCACATAACAGAGTATACTGTTTCATCCATGATACCCCCAATGCGTTGCCATTCCTGAGGACTCAGATGTTATTCCTCTGTACCCAGTAAATTCACGCCATATCCCACCCTTCAAACCGAAACACAGCCATGCAAACACAACTGCTTCACGGTTGAAACACGAATGGGTAAATGGTAGGTGACTTACCTTGTGATTACATGCCCAAACTATAGCAATAAAAACAACACCCAATGCAATCGCTGTGGTCACAAATAGAGGTATGGTCTCCCAATACACTTTCATCACATAACCAAGCTTGAACTTCTTAGGGAATGGCATATCATACTGACTTGGTGGGATCAAGCCAAAAATTGGACGTATGCAAACCACCTGATGACTCGCTATAAGACGCGATTTATTATACACTAAAAGCCATTGATGCGACCTGTTACCAGGCCGTAACAATTTTGATAGCATTCTGAAATCTACTAAGACACGATTTACAAAAGCCAAATTTAAAAGATTTTTAATCGATTTCAAATTTATACGACATATCTATACGTATAGGTACGATATGATAGGCAAATGTCAAAATAATTCTATTTTCGAATTTTAGTATCTTTCAACAGAAATAATTGTTAAAGAAGTTATCTTTAACTTTATTTTTATATAAAAGTTGTTACTCCTTTTATAATATAAAAAATATATTACAAATTTGTTAGTTGCATATTTGCAATAAAACAAAAATTTGCCGGGCAAATAATTAATTTGTACATACATAATTCTCTATACAACTGGCACACACGTATACGTAAGAAAAAAAAAATACAACTGTCAAATGAAATTCAAAAGTCAAGCCTATTTTATTTAATTAATTATCGTATGAAATAAAATTAATTATAAGCGCAACTTTCTCGGAAAGTATTCAGCAACAGAATATGGAAATCGTTTCACACAATGGAGCACTTGGACAATTGTGTTAAAATATATAATCAGGGTAATTAATGCTATTCGCATAATATATTAATATTATATTATTATATAGCGTCATGACCGCTCATTTACTAACATAACCTATGTCAATTTGTAACTAACAAAAAGGGCCTTATGTAGTCCAATTAAATAAATATTATTATTATTATTATTCGGCATTTTTATCTTAAATTGTCTGTACATTTGTATTATAACATCGGCGATTGACTGTCCACTGTCGAACATAAGCCTCTCCCAAATAAAGAGTTTGTAAAGAATTTGCCAGCATTAAGAGAAACGGGTTGGTAATAAAAAATGCTTGATATTGTAGTTCTCTTTTATCATGTCTTCATCAGCAAATAACATAAAGAGTATGAATGACACAATTGTAAAACATAAGACAATAGAAAATCAGTAAAAAAATATAAAAGGCGTATTATGATGGCCAGTAATACGCAACAAATAGTTGCCAAGCGTGGCAGGAGGATTGGCAACCGTAGTAAGAGGGACACTGCTACTTATCTCTCGACTATTAAGTTCTCTTAGTCGCCTCTTACGACATCCACGGGAAAGGAAGGGGATGCCCATTCTATAATGAAACTACACGGCATATAATCCTAAAGTCCTAAAAATTAAAAACCCATATATTCTATGATGTCCATCAACTAATAAAGCGACGGTTACTTTGCACCAGGTGAACTGTCAACTTGTTTGCTATTTTAAATATCATAAAAAATATAAGCAGGTGCTGCTGTTTGCTGGAGAATTGGCGATGGCCCTGCGTACGCCGCGTCGCCGCATATCTCCCCGCACCAAACGACGGTACAGAGCCATAAAGAACTTTCTATGGCGAGCTCTAGGTACGTAAAAGGCAAATATTACCTGAAAGAACTAAAGCCACTCGCGTCCTAAGCTCTCTGGCTGCAGCACAAAACTCGTGATGACGTATTGTAACCAGCACACTAAGCAGCCACGAATTCTCGGCTGCAGCAGCTATTAGAATAATTAAATTGCATGACAGCCAATTGATTGCCCGCAACCAGAGCAAAATAAAGCTAAGCGTCATATACTCGTATGTATGTGACTACCTTCAATCCAGATGTTTCTTGTGTTGATGGATTGGTCGACAGTCGGCTGGCTGCTAAAACTAGCTGCTCAATTAATTATCTATATATATAGCTGCCGCAGCAATAGGCCTACATGATGGATTTAATAGATATTGTATAAAGTGTACTATGGCCGTGTGGTCCTGGCATAGAACAGGCCACCCGTTCATTTTCCGTGGGTGTCGTAAGAGACAACTAAGGGAAGGCGGGCGATGGGCAGCAGTGTCCCTCTTAAAACATCTCTAAAGTCTGACTGCGGTTGCCAATCCGCCTGCTAAGCGTAGCAATTACTGGCAAAACCCTCCAAGAAGAAAGCTTATGTTCAGCAGTGGACAGTTAAAGGCTGATATAAAGATGATGATGTTGAAAGTATACTATGTACCTTACCTACAAGGGTACTATATACCTTAATCCTGTTTTTACCACCAAACAGTTGCAAGAAGACGTGTGTGATAGAGATATATATGTGCTTGCAAGGCTATATTTTTTTAAAAGATGATATTGTAGTAATAATGGTATGGCATCACATGAGAGGTGAAATAGACGTCACAGTGTATTCTGTATATCCTAATGTTAATGTATAGATGTTAGTGTTAATAACTAGAACATTCCAAGTAGATTTAAACAAAGGTTTAAAATATGTAGAAAACTTTAAATCTAAATGAAGTTTATAAATCGACTTACGTTATCTGAATGATTTATAATGCTCCTTTTATTTCAGGTAACTCGTCACAGCATAATATTAAAATAAATTCCAGTATTGTTATTAACGTAACAGATTTAAAACACAAAATTGTAGGTTTAGAACAAAAATTAAATAAAGTTAGCAAGCAACTGATTTGCGTCGAAAATAATTCTACAAAAGGATCGGATCTATCTATACCAGAAATCAGAGATAATAATATAATGACAGAAACATTCCAAGAACAAACCGACGCTTCTTCTGAAAGAAAATCGAAAAGAATTGAAACTAAAATATTATATAAGACTTCTGAAAGTCAATATAGAAAGTCAGATGATAGTGATTGCATACCAAATAATTATAATCTTAATAATATAGATGTAATTACAAGCAAGATAGCAGAGGATGGTAAATATCACAAATCAAAACCAAAGAATAACAAGAGTAAAATAACCAATAAGACAAATGTAATAAAAGAATGCCAACTAAATATGCTTCAACAGAAAACAAGATCGGTTTATGAAAACGTAGCCTCAGCGTACTCAACTAGTAGTTACCATTCTCTCATTGAACCAAAATTTGAACGATATCTTTACAATGAGCACCAAAACAAAAAATACAATAGAAAATATGGAAGACAACGTGAAGCTTCAGAGTCCGTGATTCATGACGTTCCGAAAAAAATAAAGGAACACATCAGGAGAATCAAGCCAGAAAGACCTACATACATTTCTGGAGATATTATACACGAAAAAAGGCAAAGAGATAAACATATAGCTAACGAAGTTGATCAGGATTTCATAGCAGATATCATTAGAAAACAATATAAGCCAACGAGAATATTTGATAAAAGAGAATCAGATATTACCCAATTTTCTGCGCCTGTTTGCCGCGATCAAGAATTTCACGTTCAAGAAAATATCTTAGAAGGTTCGAAGTTATGTTCCTGCTGTTGTGATGATTACAAACGGGCTAAATATGTACATGAGAACGAGTTTAGTGACATGAGAAGTATTTGCGATACCAGATTATACAGTTCTAAAAGAAATACACGACATAAGTCACATAGAAGACATACTAATAATTATAATTACAATGATTCTAGATTTTACGATTTAATTCCGGTTAAGGAAAATTCAAGTCCAAAATCCAAAAGAAAATTCTCAGAGAATATTAATATACCTTATCATCAATATTATAAGGAGGTACCTCCATCGCCACGAACTCACAGACCCCAATTAAATTTAAAGGCACAATATTTTATGGAAGTTGATGATGAAGCATCATATATCAAACGCAAGAATAGGAGAAGACGACAAGATTACGGAGATACTCCAGACAGACTAGACAGTAATAGATCCTTAGCAGTAATTAATATCCAGAAACAACAAAACAAACATCAAATACAGCAAGGCAATGACGCTATGAATAGTCTGCAAACTCCAACATCTAATGATGCACAAGGTAATGGTAGTCTCCAAACTCCAATATCTAATAATGAACAAAATAACTGCATAACTAATGGCATCTCTTTAAATAAGACACAGGAAACTGATTTATCTGCTGACAAAACAGACAAAGCTTTATGCGAAATAAAAGACGTACTTCAAACCTTTTTACAGGAAATAAAGAAAGAAACTATATCACAGTGTGGTAAGTCGGAGATAAGTAACAAATCTGAAGAAAAAGTTTTAAGTGATTTTCAAAACAGAAGTAAAATAAATGGTAGCAATAATAGTCAAATCGGTATTAACAATTACAGTATGCCACCGTGCAGTTTACCTCCAGCTTTACCTTTTGTACCGGCATTTACGAGTACTAATCCATGCTGTTACCCCCTACTACCAATATGTCCTATGAACTGTATACAAAGTAGTTATATCATGCCAAGTCCAAGTTATACATGTGCTAACTGTGCACATAATAAAGAAGAAGTCCATGAAAACAACCAGAATACCACAAACAATACATTTAATACTACTAACAATGAAACAGATCACTTAATAAAAGAAATTTACAATTTTGTCATGCAAAATCCAGAAAATAATCGTAAAAAAGATGATAATGATAGAAGTGGCAAATCTCTAAAAGAAAATACAACAGCAAAGATATTAACTTCTAGAAGTGACAGTGGCAGCTCAAAAGTATCTAAACATGATGTCAAAATTGGAACACCGAAAATAAAATGCTATTCAAAAAGTTGTGAAGCTATCGTCTCCCCACATTTAGATACCTACTTTCAAAGAAACCCAAGTTACTCCGACACTATATTAGAAAAACTTAGTCTAGAAGCTACAGCTACAGAAATTGCGTCCGAGACTGAATTAAACAGTGATCCAACCACAACAAAAAAGGTAATATTATCATGTTGTAATATATTTACTGAACTTTAGAATAACATTAATTGTACTTATAATAAAAATATTTTACAGCCCAAAGGAAACAAATTTGCACAAGTGTTGCGGTCATTTGGATTTTTTAAAAAGAAAAAAGAGGATGTTATAGAAGAATTAAGTGAGAGTGAAAGTACAATTGAAGTGGATGTAAAGAAAAAGTCTCCCTATAGACAAGAGCTGACCAACTACATGATGCACGGTCAGGAATATTTTCATCAACCGCCAATACCACCGATAAACCAGCCACATCAGAACTCTCACTGTCATCATCATGGCAACAACTACCCTAATTGTTACAGTCCCCATGACAGTGGTTATCCAAGCCCAAGACAAAATCTTTACAACATTCACTGTCCCCGTAAAGATCAACATGGAAATATACCTGCACATTCTAATCATGTACCGCAGCGACCTATAGCTCCGCATTATCCAAATGCTTTCAATAACTACAATCAAGTGCATCCACAAATTCCGTTGTGCCTTAAAGAAATAGAAGTGAAAAGTATTGCCACCCAAAGCGAGAGAAAAATGTCGTTCTTTAAGAAGTTTACTAAGAAAATGCAACCACCAACAACACGTAGTAATGAGTACCCGCAGAAAAACTACTACACGCAGACTGCAAAAGAAAAACCTATAATGTTTAACTGGAAGAATTTACAAGCCAAACAGACAGTACCATTTAATAATGATCCCTTAAAGTTATCACATAAAACACAGAAACAATTAGCGGATGGCGATATTAATATGAGAAACGCTATTATGAAAAAGTTATTTTATAAAAGAAATCCCTTCTCCCCAAGAAATTTGATCATACGGACGTTGCTTGGTAAAGACAAATCTAGTTTTGGAGAGCCTCCCAAGATGTATCGACCTCGAATGTTTTTTTGATTTCGGAACGATATTGTAAGAGTGAAGTGGAATGTGTAAAATTGTTTGGTGCGTGTTATTTGTCCGTTATTGTGACATTAAAATATTGTCAAGTGTTTCAAAAAATGATACTGCATTATTTACTGTTTTATAGAATGTAGTTCGAACTAAAAATAAATACCCGTAAGACCTTAATCTATACTTATAATAAATCTGTAGAAAGGTCAATTCTGTACATGGAATATATTTCCAAAATAACTATCAGGGGGTATGTTTAGTGATCGATACTGATGCCAAAAATGCAATCAGTAAAATTTTTGTCTGTCTGTATGTTCGTTATAGAAACAAAAACTACTCGACGGTTTAAAACGAAACTTGGTACAATTATTCTTCGTACTCCTGGGCAGGTTATAGTATACTTTTCATCACGCTACGATCAATAGGAGCAGAGCAGTGAAGGGAAATGTTGGGAAAACAGGAGAAGTTATTCCATTTTTAAGCTTCCGTCGCGTGTACAGCCTTAATGGGCACTTTTTTAAAATGTAAAAATGTCCACCCACGTGACGCCGGGACGGGCCGTTAGTTCTAATTCCTAATAAATAAGATAGTCAAAGACAAGACAGCGTTGTTGGTGATCGTAACACTGGAGACTCCCACAATTAACAGTCGTGGTTAATCCCATCCTTATAATCCGCTATGCGCACGCGCCCGCTCGTACCCACCGTCGAGTTTAGACTCCGCTGAGGTATCGTCATTAGCCGCATTCGTGTACATCGTGAAACCCTCTTCCAGTGTATATAGTGTAAATAACTATTATCGCCCAAACACGCAGCCACCCATATCCGGCTTGACCCCAGGACCTGTAAAGACTCCTAACTGGTGAGTTCCCCGTCCGGGGGTTACCCTACAAAGGATATTATTATAGGTACGAGTTATTTCCCGCGACTGTATCCGCATAAATCAGTATATATGCTAATAAGCCATATTTTATGTCAAATTTCATTCTGATCCTTTCAGGCGTTTAAGTATAATTGAATAATAAATATCTAAACTTCACAAACTTTCACATTTATAACATTTAATAGAATTTGTAATTTATAAAATTTTTAAAATCGGTTAAGTATTATAAAAAAATCTAATCTTTCCTCTTTATAATAAATCCTTAAAGTATACTATACTACGTCTATGGATTAGCCAAATATTGGACGATTGTAAATATAAAACTCCTTGATTTTCAATCCATAAACAAAATACATAATAAAAAGTACCAGAAAACATACATCTTTGTCTATATCATACTGACATTGTACTAACGGAAACTAATGTGAACCGTTTGGAAATAAAAATTAAATTATTAGTTTGTAAGAAGCATGCACCGAATTATTAATAAAATAGATAGTAATTGCAACAGAACACATTCAACGATATATATAAAGTACTATGTAAAAGGTTTATATATTGTATATTGATAAATGTTGATAGATTAATAAAAAAAAATGTAGATAAAATGTATAGAAACTTCATAAATTGTGCAGAATATTATTACATCTTCAAAATATATTTCCAGTGCACACAAATCATGAGTGGCGAAGATTTACAAAGTAGATGTAAGCAAAGCTTTAAAGGCATCGAAAACTTCCTTCGCAGAGTAGCCTTTAATTTAGGTACCACTTTATTTAAGAATATTAGCTAATATTTATTAAATAATTTAATACAAAATTGAATTTAACGATATTTCAGGAAATACGCCGTCACAAACAGAAGTCAAAATAATATCTTGTATACCCATAGACGTCAGTGATCTCCAACAGAAGATTGTTAAATTGGAGAAAGAATTAGAAGAAGCGAAATCCACGCCGAAAGAAGAGCTGTCTCCCACTAACGTCAATGTATGCCAACCCATACCCAACTTCTGTAACTCAATTGACTGGTGCAAATTCAACCATTTCACTGCACGCTGTAATTGCTTACCAGAAACAAACCCAAAAGAATCTATAAGCGTTGCGTGCACTGCTATGACAATGGCTAACCAAAACTGTTCTTATCAGCCCACTGATAACAGTAACTTGCTTGACCAAAATGATCACAAGTGTAAAGTTCAAAATAAACGGAATATATTTAAAAAAGCGAAGAGGAAAAAAGAAACAAAGAACGACAATTTAAAACCACAGCTGATATATTACGCACAAACCGTAGATTCGCCCTTCAAAAGTTATGATTTTAAGGTCAAATCGACAACTAGAACTAGGCATAAGAGAAAAGTAAAAAAAATGCGCGATATTAGTGAATCATACTTTGTCGACATGATGCGCAGGCAATACCAGTCACAGCCCGTATTAGACAAATTCTCGGATACTAGCCAATTTACAACTCCAATATGTAAAGACATTGATCAAACCATCACAAATCCCTATCGAAATGAGTCTGACGTATGCTCATGCTGTCATGGAGAATTCCACAATGTAGACCATCATGAAAATAAACCTACAGAACTAGAAGTCAATTCCAATAATATTATAAACATTGACAACAACAATAAATGTAATTATTACGATTCTAATCTGTACGATGTAATCCCAGTCAAAGAGAAGAGCGCAACAGAAGAAATTTCCAAAATTAAACATAGAAAAAGAGATATACCTAGTAAGCTTCATTCAGGAGACTACGGAATTGCTCATTTAAAAACTAAACCACGTCCCTTTATTGTCAATTTTTATACTTCCCCTCAAACAAAATTTAATCATCTAAAGAAAATTTTGATTTCAATCCCCGGTAAAAAAGATAAAATCAAAAGGACAATGTCTAAACGTAATAAAGAAGCAAAAGTAGTAAATGAACAAAAAGATATGGATACGTCTAAAAGCTGTTGCGTCGACTGTAGCGATGTTTATGTAAAACAATTTGATAAAATAAAAGCTTCAAAAAAACAGATGTCGACTAAACTTTTGCTCACATATAAAAATGCAGAATGCCTAACAGTTAATGTTAAGGACTCCAAATGTCAAACGACTACAACACATAGTGTGCAAATGGATTCTACTTTACAAGATGATAAAACTGAAGAAACATTGAATCAGATAAAGACAATACTACAATCAGTATTAACAGAAGTAAAAACAAATGCTCAGTTTAAAAACTTGCCGGTAGAAAAGAACAAGAAGGATGCAATTATACAAAAGGGAACATCCTACGACATTGTAGAGGGTGGATCGAGTTTGCTGCACAGTTTCACGTACAGTCCCTATAATACGAATCCTTACAATATCGTCAGCCCACTTCACATGAATTCCAATCAATTCCACTGTTGCGGGTTGCCATGTTCCTCGGCCAAATGTATGCAAAACTTTCCAGTTCTCATTCAGACACCAGGACGTCATATGTATGCAAGTTGTTACAGAAACAGCTCACATATCAATAAACCGATGACCATCAAACAAGCCGCCACCATATCCACTAACACGGAAACCATTAGAGATGCACGTAGTAAGGAAACCGATAAATTGATCAAAGACATCTATAGGTCAATAGCTCTAAACATAGATATTCCAGCAAAAGATACATCTAGAAGTGAATATGAGGGACTAATATCGAATAAACATGATTCCGATATGAAGTCGACCTGTAAAGTTAAAACGTCTGGTCAGGCTATAAATACGACTCCAAAGATTGGTTCAAAAAGAGATACACAAACACATTCTCCTTTTACTTCAAACATATTTAACAGTAAGTTGAAATCTAGCGTACAATCTCATATGGTTAGCACAACTGATACAGATTATCGCCTGAGCAATAAAAGAAATGAACAATACCCTACAAACAAAAGTACTCAACGGTCAGCAGACAGTATGATAGAAGAAGAAATAGAGGATAAAGCCAGCGATTATACAATATATAGCAATGAAGGCACACAAAATTCTAGCGAGGAGACAGACAGTGAGAACACTTACATACCTCCTGAAGAAACAACAAAGGTAAAATGATCTTTTAACTTTAATTTCTTTGATATTATTTCATTTAAGAAAAGCGTTTATTTTTCTTGCAGAAAAAGGAGAAGAGGAATCTATTTAGCAAAATGTTCAAATCAGTGAAACTCTTCAAGAACAAAAACAAGAAAGAGAAAGCCTTACAAAATGTCAATGAACCTCGAGAAGAATCAGATGCGAACGACTCTGATGAATACGAAACAGTTTACAGTTATAAAAACGAGAGACTAAGACCTTTATCGAATCAATTACATAGAAAAGCTCCTTCGAAGATATCGTATTCTAGGCAAATGAGAGACCGAAATCAAGAGAAATCGAGAAGATCGCCATGTATGGAGCAGGAGTACAGACGGCAATGGAATGAGAGACTCGTGTTCCAAGAGCAGCAACACAAGTACTCTTCTGAACGAATATATCCAAAGGAAATCAGTCGATACAAACAACCAAAGTACTGGCAAAATTTCGAGGCAAGGACCGCTTTGATGGACCAAAATATTTCTCCACACCGTCAAACTTGTACCAAAGATTAGGATACTATTATACTAAAACAAACTACTCCAAAAGCAGACGCAGTTACAACGAAAGAACTAACATGGTTGAAAAAACATAAACTCAGAGTACAATGTGGGGAACAATGGAAAAAGTTAATATTAGAAGGTTGAGTATGCACCAAATGTATTCAAGATTTAAGATTCAAGATTTATTTATTTGTAAAACAGTATTGTTCTAACTAACTAACAATAATGTGAATGTTGAATCAGAAATCAATGTGGATTTGTTTTTTGGATGAATGTGGATGGATCCTTGTTATGGTTTGAATAAATATTGTCATGTATTGTAAGCAAAAAATTTATTATTTAAATTATTATTTAACATTATTAAAAGATAAAAACGAACTAATATGTTTATGTTAGCTTCAAGTCGTTTTTGACAACGATTTTGGATCTCTGCAGGTACTGGAGGTCGTCTATGACAAATCTGCAAACAACCAAACACATATTCTTTAATAGGTTGTTCTATTGAAATTGCATATGCCTTATAAACTTTATTTAATAGCGACATAAGCATGATTTAATACATATTAAGTCACATCTTCTTAAATATCGTATTATCCTTCAATCGTGTTTGATAAAATTTTTATAACTGTCAGTTAGGGAGTATTAGTGGTAAACCGTCGTTATGCTTTTTCGAAGATAAGTCTTAGATTATATAGATAGAGTATCGAGCCTCTAAAACGGGTTAACTTTTTGTCAGCTAATTGTCAAATTAACCGACTTGTTTTTTTATCAGTGTTCTATATACTTACGTATAAAATGTATCTTGACGTATTATTAAAAAAAAAAAAAGAGTATTTAGCCATTAAAAAGATACAAAAATTATAAAACAAAATAAATATAACAGTTATAAAGAGAACACTCATAGCAATTTATCACCCAAAGCTGTAAGAAAAAGTTGAGCCGTTTTTCTCGAAGTATTTCTATGGAGACACTGTGTCCATATAATGTAAGAACTTGGTGTATGACTGAGCACCTGAATGTGTGAGAAAGACTCTGTTTTCCGCGCTTAGCCTCTCATTTGGGCCGTTGTGCGTGTGAGTCGTGGCTAGTACAGCCAACCTAGCTCCGCCCAGAAGCGCAGAAGCTTCCTGGGTACTCCACAGGCCTCACGGAGCGACCTCACCGTTCCGAGGATTTCTAAACGTCGATGGGCCACAGCCATGACTGACTGAGCACCTGTAGAAGAGGAGCGGCAGCGGCGCGGTGGCGAGGTGCCAGAGCGCGTGCGCGTCCCAGGCGCGGCGCGGCGCGAAGTCGAGCAGCTCGAGCGCCAGCGCGGCGCCCGACAGCGCCGTGAAGGCCGCCACGCGCCACGCGTGCCGCCGCCCCGCCGCCAGCTGCCCGCCCGCCCAGCACACCCACGTCGCCGAGCCCAGCACGCCTGCACACGCCACGAATGGATGCCAACAATAAAAGAATGATATATTTGTACAAAAGTCGATTGCTTGGGTACCTCTGTCCCATTCGTGTTTCAACCGCGAAGCAGTTGTGTTTACATGGCTGTATTTCGGTTTGAAGGGTGGGATATGACGTGAATTTACAGGGTACAGAGGAATAACACCTGAGTCCTCAGGAATGGCAACGCATGGTGGGTATCATGGGCGAAACAGTATACTCTGTTATGTCCATGGTACTGCTCATGTCTATAGGCGACGGTTACCGATAGCGTTTTTTTACGGTAAAAAAAGCTGAACAATTAAACTGGTATATAAACTGTAATTTAATATCCGGTCGTACGCGCACTCCTACCCGGGGAGCCATTAAAAAACAGACACCGCGGGGAGGAAGGGATTGTTAATAATGGGGAGGTAAGTCCCCATTGCTATTAATATACCTTATCAGGTCTACCTTCACGCGATTCACTCTGGAAACCATCGTGATTAATTTATCGTTTAATTCGTCACGATGGGCTAACTGGACCTGCCTTTACATCTTCACCAATCATCCCTCACTGGTGCCCCACCAGTGTATACCGATAGTGTAGGCGGGCTTACTATTCCCTCATTATCTATTAGAAAAAATCATCATTGCTATCAATATACCTTATCAGGACGACCCCCACGCGGTTCCCCCTGGAAACCATCGTGACTAATTTATCGTTGAATTCGTCAAGATGGGCTAACTGACCTGCCTTTACATCCTCACCAATCATCCCTCGCTGATGTCCCGCCAGTGTATACCGATAGCGCAGGCAGGGTTACCATTCCATTATCATCCATTAAAAAAACAGGCACCGCGACACCACGGCACTGATATTTGTTGTTCGGTCAGATGATTTTAAACCGACTTCAAAAAGAAAGGTTCTAAGTTTCTCACCAAAGAAAATGTTGACCATCATATTATAATCGTAGTCTATCCTGCCCGAGTACAAGTAGCGCACGTGTTCTACATAATACAAGATGGGCAACGCAAGGATCGCCATCGCAAACTTCTTTCTTCTATGGAACACTCTGCGGGTGATATAAAATTTCTATAGAGACGCACTTAACAAAAATCATACATAGAATAGAATAGAAAATATTTATTGCCAGAAACACACAATTACAATAGAAAATATATTACTGCAGCGGCCAGCAACTGAGGCATTGATGGACGAACGTGCAAATGTGGGCCGAGCCGTAGACGAGGCGCACATACCTGACTCCATCAATTCCTAGTTGTGGCCAAGGCTTATATAGTACTTTTCTCAAACAATGCGTGAAATTCAAAAACACAATTTTACTATTTAAGTTCAATGACGAATAACGAACAATAATAATTTTTCACGCGCCATAATGTTCCTTTGTTTTTTTTCAATAAACAGCTTTCTATTTGCAAGCCAATTCGAAATTTAAATAAAACCTTTTACTAATTACCTCCTTGGTAACTATGTTTCGAAGGTCGATTGATTGGTTACTTCTGTCCCATTCGTGTTTCTACCGTGAAGCAGTTGTGTTTGCATGGCTGTGTTTCGGGTTGAAAGGTGGGATATGGCGTATAAAACAAAAATACTATATTTATTTACCTGACAATTGCTGCCACAAATAAACTCATCACCATAGACAATGCACATGCATAGTCCATGAACTCAGTGAACGGTGTGTCCCGCGTGTGAAATATTGTAGACCATGTCCAAGCGTTCATGCACACCTGAAAATTTCATTTGTAATATCTTTTTAAATGGAAACTTTTAGTACCACACATGGAATGGTATGACGCCATGCAGTCATGTACTAAAAACTGATAGTTAACATTCGAATTAGTAGGAACACTGAAACAAAGTTCTGTCAAGCTTAACATGATGGCCAAAATATGCTATATTTTCAATTATTTTTCAGGGGAGACTAAACTTTATTGCAGGTGTATTACTGGCCTTTTAAAAAGGAATATGCTCTTTTCTTGAAGGTTACATTGTATCAGTTCAGAAATACTGCTGTTGCAAATTGATTCCAAAGTGTGTTTTTGCATGGAAGAAAGTGCCTTGAAAAATGCAGTGGAGAACCGCCACTCATCCAGATGGTAATATACAATTAATTTATTGTAATTTGTTTAAATAAAAATATAGAGTATAACATATAGAGTGACTGAATGTATGTAGCTCTGGATCAAACTTTTTGGCGAAATAAAGGGGATGACTATGTTTAGTAGTAAACAATGGATAGACTTGCCATATAGTCCTAACATAGAATGGGCCACCCCTTCTTTTCCTATGGGTATTGTAAGAGGTGACTAAAAGAACTTAATGGTCAACGGTGGACTGGACAGTAACATCCCACATAAAGATTAAACCAGCATAGCTTAACTGCAGTTACCAACCCACCTGGCAAGCTTAGAACTATTGGCAAAACCCCCAATAGGACAAAGTGTATTATCAACTGTGAGCAATTAACTAGAAGTATACTAAAATTATAACAAGAACTCACCATCGCAAACCCATGCCAGAACAGTACAAGTGGTGTATTCTTAACACTAAACCGCTTGGCTATCTCATTGTGCATGTAAATATGAGATGCCAAATTGAGGAGTGAGGCAAATGCTGATGCTGGCTCTTGTACACCCCATAATCTTACAAAAGGCCACTGCAACAAATAAAAAGTAATATTTTAAAATAATTATAAAATTCTATAAATAACAGATTTGTAAGTGAATAATAAAAGCATACAATACATAGGCCTCCACCATAAGGGGGACTTTTAACAATAGTGTGCACACTTTGCATTCAAATTAGCTAGAGTAAAATGCTTCATAACTATAATTGAAGCTAAATTTTCAAAAGTGGTACCAAAACATTTGTTTCCTTACTCATAAAAACAATTTTACAATAACTATTAAAATACTCCTTTTTTTTTTCAATTATATTCTTTATTGCACTCGGACACAGTAATAGTAAGAATTATAAATAATGTGAGCAAAGGGAAACTTATCCTTAAAATAGAACATTCCTAGTCAACCTTGTTAGGTTATTAAGTGGCATAGGAAGTATCGATAGAGCAAATCAGAAATCTAAATAACAATAATATGTATCTACATAATTATCAAAATCAATTTGAAAAAAAGTAAGAAAATACCTTAATAAATTTGTAGAATGTAAAATACAGTTACATTGTTTTATAAATTAAGCAGCAAGTCAATTTTAACTTTTAATATATAATTTTATTTGGCAAAACTCCCTATTGAGGGAGTTCCAGGGAGAACCACCAGGAGGTCGACTTCCTGGTGGTTCTCCCTGGAAACTAACATGGTTAATTCCTGATGAATTCATCATGATGAGCTAACTGTCCTGTTTTCATTCTCATCTATCACCCTTCACTGGTGCTCCACCAGCGTATCCTGTTAGCGCAGGCGGGGTTACCATACCATTTTCACCCATTAAAAAAAAATATGATGATGATATAATTTAACTAATTACCTTGCCATGAAATTTGGGAATACTGTATCCCCTCTCCTGAAAACCATTAACTGTCTTCCACATACAATTATATTGACACTCCTCTCTGCAGCTCCACTTAAGAAGTCTACACCAGAAGTCTTGCTGCTTAAGAGCTGCACTTGTAAATGAGTGGCCATCTGAAAATAGAATTGAGTATAAAACTATATACTGTATTTTCATTTATCTCTATTTTTATATTATTTATTCAATATTTATCACTAGTTCATATATAAATATAAACATAAATTGATGAGAAACAAAACTTAAAATACGTATGATTAATTTGACATTAAATATAACACCAATAAATTAAAAATAATATTAGTTAAAACATTAGTAAATTCTAGATTACATTAATGAAACTTATATTACTTTATACACAGTATTACTTACCACCTGTACAATTCTCTTTTAAACAACTTTTTAAGCAATTCTGATAAAAAGGTGACCGATCGCCGTCGCTCGCTAAAATTATAGGGAATTTAGCAGTAAAAATAAATAATAACAATATACTTAAATACATGGGGATCTTGTAGCAATATCCTTTGACTAGTAAGTATTGATATTTATGTACATCTAGATTGCAAACTCAAACAATATTATAAAATTTTATTAAAATGATTTCTCATTAAATTCAAATTGGCTGAGATAAAAACAATATAAACATGCCATTCTTGTCAATGTCAAGTTATCAACATTGCAAGTAAATGTCAATTTTTGAACTCGGTCGGAATGGGGTCGATTCTGAGACGCCATTTCTCTAAACGTATCTCTAAAATTGAAATTAAAAACCTTGGAATTTTATTCAATTTCATATTACAATGTACGTTTATTCTAAAGAGCAATATAAACCAAATTTCTAATCAATCAAAATCAAAATTCTTATTTAATTTTTATGATGTTTCTTAAAACAATAATATCACGTAATTGTAAAATTGAAATATTACATTTAGAATTAGATTTAGAGTAGAGTTGTTAAAAGGCTCGAGTTTCCCGAGTCTTCGACTCATTGAAGGTTCGAGTCTCCTATGAAGGTTCGAGCTTCAGCCTTGAGCCATATTGCGAAGGCTCGAGCCCAGACTCGAGCCCTAGTCCCAAGGCTCGAGTCGCGACTCGAGCTCTGTTTTAAAAGCTCACTACACAACATTTTGTTCCAAAATAAATCTAATAAATATGTTTTATTAATTTCACTGCTGAATAACATATTTTTATTACAATTTTGTACCTCGTCCTATAGAGGAAACTAAACGCGCCGATCCAGTGTTATCGCTAGTTTTTAGAACTACCCACATTACTATTAATATTATTGTAATAATTACTTGTATACGCCATTCATGTAGTGCAGTTTGCCTGGTTTAAATAAAAATACATTTTATTGTAGTTTCTACTGGTTAAAGTTTGTTAGATTTACAAAATGACTGAGGAAGATAATGTAACATCGGAAGACATTGAGTTTGATACTACTGATACTTCGCTTACAGAAAATGATGCTTCAGCATCTTCTGTGGTGTCGAATAAACCGCGTATTTGTTGGAAATGGTGTCATTTTAAGAAACTCAAATAGAAATACAAATTGTTGTGCAAGGTATGCCGTCATATATTTTATATTAAAACATCGCACTCCATTTTGCAAAGGCATTAATCACGTTATGGCGATGTTGATTTTATACAGAGTGAACAAAACGAAAAGGCGTCATCTGGGTCCTTATTAAAACATAAAAATCAACAAGTGAACATAAATGACCTTTACATAAAGTTTATTCTATATGGCCAGCATTCTTTCCGAAGAAAGCCAGAATTCTTTCTTGGAAGAAGGTAGAAGCATTGGTAGATGCATGGTTAAAAATCGAATTATCATTCATTATATAATAAAATTTTCTTACTTTCTATCCTTTTATTTCATTTTATACGTACTTACCACAATTAAATAAAAATATTTCATTTTAATATTATCAGGTATTAATATTATCAGATTCGAACCCTTTATTTAAGACTTTTGAGCCTTCAAGACTCGAGCCTTTAAGACTTGCGAGCCCTCAGAGCTCGAGCTTTGAAGACTCAGTAACTTCGACTCGGAGCTCGAGTTTCCGCCTCGGAGCTCATTTTTCACAACACTAATTTAGAGGCTCTGTGAATATGCTCTATTACTCTATATCAACTATCTTTGTCATTATCATTCATAGTCTTTTTAATCTGTGATTAGCACAGAGTATGTTAAATATAACCTGCAATCTTTTATTTGTGTTCGTAGTTCATTTGAATTTAATATATATTTAATGAAATGGTTTTTATTTTACGGACACTGTTTGCTAAAGAATTAAAGAAACCGCGTAATTATCTGCGCAGTAAATTTATTGATTCTGTAAGGTTGCATGTTAAAGGCGGATCCGGTGGAACAGGTCTTCCAAAATATGGAGGACTCGGAGGCCAAGGTGGATGTGTTTACTGCGTTGGCAAGGAGAATGCAAATCTTTTGAGTATCACGAATAAGTACCGCGGCAAAACTTTAGCCGCTGGGCACGGTGAGGACAGCCGAAAAACAAAAATTAATGGCAGTCCCGGCACCGACTTGAAACTTGAAGTTCCACTCGGCGTAACAGTTTACAGAGAGGATGGCACAGTCTTAGGGTCGATAGACAATGAAGATCAAACTGTCATATTAGCTAGAGGTGGGCCTGGCGGCACCAAAGAAAATAACTTTCTTGGTCACTATGGTCAGATTCATCATGTGCGGCTAGATCTTAAATTAATCGCTGACATAGGTCTTGTTGGCTTTCCTAATGCTGGCAAAAGTTCTCTCTTGAAGGCTATATCACGAGCAAAGCCTAGAATAGCAAGTTATCCATTTACCACAATAAAACCAAATAAAGGCATCATTCATTATGATGACCTTAGACAAATATCCATAGCTGATCTGCCTGGTCTGATTGAAGGGGCCCATGTGAATATTGGACTCGGGCATAAATTCTTGAAGCATGTAGAAAGGACCAAATTATTATTGTTCATAGTTGATGTCCAAGGATTCCAGTTAAGTCCTAGACATCCAAAGAGGTCATGTTTGGAGACTGTGTTGCTGCTCAATAAAGAATTAGAGCTGTATAATCCTGATTTGTTGGAGAAACCTGCTGTATTGGCCATAAATAAGATGGATTTAGAAGGGGCTACAAACATGTTAGAGGAAGTTAAGAAGTCACTTGCAAATATAGAAAAAGAAATAGATTCAGTACCAGAGGAAATAAAACCTGAAACAATTGTGACATTTGAAGACATTATTGGCATATCGGCTCTAAATAATAATGACAGTATTGAAAATTTGAAGATGGTATTGAGAAAACGTCTTGATGATTTTGCCGATATAAATAATCCTGATATTGTTGAATCAAGAAAATTACATAAAATAAATAGGGCCATGATTAAAGAGAGAGGTCCGCAGGTGACATGATAATATTGTAATTGTTTGTCATTGGTCTTATTAGTTGCTCCTGATTGAATAAAAAAAATATGGTTAGGCAAAGAATGAAACATGGACCAGATTAATACTATTTATTAAAAGCTTTAATATTATGAAATGTTACAAATGATTGACAGTTTCAATGTATCCTCCTCATGTCCTCTATATCCTAAACATCTAAACATTTGCAAATCAATTAATTTCAAACCATTATCACAGTAGCTCAACCATTCAAACTTGTATGATTGTAGAATCTTAGTGCTAATTAATAAAATAATATTTGAGATTTCGTTAAAATACAAAGATTATAAAATTATCATTAAAAATAATTCTTGCATCTCGCATATGAAATTTTCAGTCCATATTTTGTGATATTGTCCTGATGAGTAGGCATTTATATGATCAATGAGTAAAAACATCAGAGTTGATTCTGAAGCACCATTCTCGATCTCTAAAAATCATATAATTTTAAATTGATTTTACAGCAAATCAATACTTCTATGATAACTTTTTTTTAGTAGGTCAATTTTGATGGTCTTATACCATATACAATAGTTTTGCTAAACTATAAAAAATATTTTAATAATGGATGTAGGACCTTATGAATTGAATGGAATGGTACCTCAGAATCGACCCTAACATTGTTCCAAATATTCACAAAACAAATTTTGTTGACATTTGAAATTGATTCTTATTTCAATGTCAATAAGATGAATTCAATGTCTTTAAATAAAAGAGCTTTTTTTTTTATAAAATACAGAATACATACACTACTCAGCCCTGTTATTAACATTTACTTTTACGCGGTGACAAAAGAGTAAATAATTTCAAGAATATCTTACTTCAAGGGCCCTATAGAAATTTATTTCTTACATTACAATAATTTTATTATCACACAACCATTTTTTTGTGAAAACGATAAGCTTTGCTTATGACAACATAGTTTTTTATGACAATATTACATGCGATAATAAATCTTAAACTACAACATAAGTAATAGATTTTACGATGAAATAACCTGAGAATATTTTAAGGAACAAGACGATACATAAATAAATAATTACTGTATATTGAAGGCAGAATGTTCAGGCAATCATTATGGCACTGTTTTCATTCATAAAGTAACACTGGAGAAAATCTATAAAAAAGTGCCAGTTTGTTCTGTAAATTTATAAATCTTTTAGAAGATATAGAGAAATATCCCCTAAATAAATAAAAGAGAGTCATGGCTGCTTATGATATTTACACCATATTTTAGATACTCAGTGTGCTTTACACTAAATATTTAATAACAGAAATATACTTCATTAATTCCTAAGATAAAACAACGACGTACATCATTGATATACAAAAAAAAACCAAGATTCACAATTATATACAAGCTCAGCTTCATACTGTCTCAAATTAATAGTTATTGTATGATAAAACGTCAATGAAATCAAATAATTATCACAAACGTGAAACTACTTTCCTATACATATAAATTATCGAATATTACAAATAATTTAAAAATGTTAACAAAATTTTATAATGTACAAATTTTAGCGTGTTACTTCAAACATCATTGGCTTGTTACAAAAAAGTGCTTGGGGTAAAAAATGGTCATTATCGGTGCTACTTTTTAATCTCCGATTGTGCATCTTGGTACATTTCTCTATATCAATGTCTAATTAAACTTCTGCCCCTGAAAAACATTAAACAGAACAATGTACAGACTAGAAAATAATTTGCTTACAGACTAAATAACTTTAAAATAAGACAACTTGTCTGATTTAGAACTTAAAGAAGTCACCCCCGTGTCAACTGATAAAATTTACAATACATACTTAGTTTTTATTGTACACAAACATAATGTTAAAAACAATTAGTTTTAAATGTAATGTACAGAGATGAGCTTATCTCTAATAAGAGATTTCTTCCAGCAAACCTTCTCTTATTTTTTTTTTTTTTTCATTTTCACAACAATTGTATATCTACTAGATTATGTTTTATGTCCTCAAACAAAATTAAATAATACAGAAAATATGAAGAATAACATGTTTTTTTTTTAAAAAAAAAAAAAGAGAACATTCAAAAAGTTACTTAATTTTAAGTTTTTTTTTTTTTTTGCAAATATATTCCCAAATTTTTATTCTTTTATATAACACAATATTAATAATGTCCTTACATTACATTTTTATATGTTTAAAGCAGTGTACACCTCACCAATAAAACTGCGAATTCACATTACCAACTTTGAGTATGATTATAAAGTAATAGGAAATAAACAATGTTTAATAAAAATAATAAAAAAAAAAACAATAATATAATTATTGTTACTTTCTGTAGTCGAATATTAACAGGCACTGCAAGTGACATCAAGAGTGAACCATATTGGATCACAAGGGATGCTGTATTTCGTTTCAAGATATTTTGATCGAAGTTTCGACAATGAACTTGTCTCAAAGTCGTGTTGAAGGCTTTAAAACTATCTGCTGCCTTATCATGTAAGTACATCAACCGACGAGTATTTTTCGCGCCGAAAGAGCTGAACTTTATAACATTTTGTATTAAAACTTTACTCGCCAACTAACGCCGAATACACCAATCGCTAGAGAAATAATCAGGGTTTTATCTTTAAATCTACCAATGTCATAAAAGCGAAATATCGTAAACACTTATTAGAAATACTTGTTACTCAATCACGCTGCAACGTCTGAAAGATTTGAGTAAAATTTCATATACGGGTACTAATCTATATATAAAATATCATATCATAATTTGACATTAGACTTTGTACAAAAGTCGTTTGCTTGGGTACCTCTGTCCCATTCGTGTTTCAACCTTGAAGCAGCTGTGTTTGCATGGCTGTGTTTCGGTTTGAAGGATGGGATATGGCGTGAATTTACAGGGTACAGAGGAATAACAACTGAGTCCACAGGAATGGCAACGCATGGGGGTATCATGGGCGTAACAGTATACTCTGTTATGTCCATGGTACTGCTCATGTCTATAGGCGACGGTTACCACTTTCCAACAGGTGGGCCGTCAGCTTGTTTGCCATTCTAAGTTGTATAAAAAAAAAATGTTACACTTCATACAAGTTGTATATTAAACAGCTGCTTTTAACTTTTAGCAGCATAATGTTTGTTTACTAATATTTTATATTAAATCTCCTATCCATTACAATAATCGTCATAACACTGAAACATTAATAAATTTTTAATACATAAAGAACTTAGAAAAACGAACAAACGCTCCACTGTAGTGTACACAATGAATGAGAAATATTAATGACAATTTCAAGAGATTTTACACGACTTACCGCTATTTTATATTTCTCTGGTAATTTCTGATGACACATTTGCATCATCAGGATGTAATCAGTCAGTCTGAAGTCATTAGGGGTCACGGCGATGTGCAATTCTATTATTAGTCACAATTACTTCGACGCGAGGCGTATGTGATAACATACTTGGTTACCTTCCCCTTCGGCGCGTTCACATTAGAGACATGCATGTGGGGGGGACACAGGCCGCGTGTGTGAGGCCGCGCGTGCGTGCATCATTCCTCGAGCCGCTCGTCGGCCTCCGTGGCCGTCTCGGCGGGCGGCAGCGAGCGGCTGCGGGACGTCGACGGCTCGCCGCCGCCACCGCTAGCCGCGTTACCAGAGCCACCACCGGTGGTTGCAGCACTCGCTTCGGAGCTAGGCGGCGACACTGATCGACTCTCGTTGTTCGCAGTCGTTTGTTGAGATGCTAAATAAGTACCATTTAAAATTAAATTCTGTACATATTCTCTTATAAATGAGAAAGTAAATTATTTTTGATGGGTGAAAATGGTATGGTAACCCCGCCTGCACTAACGGGATACGCTAACGCAGCACCAGTGAAGAGTGATGGATGAGAATGAAAACAGGCCAGATAGCCCGTCATGATGAATTCATTAGGAATTAACCATGATAGTTTCCAAGGGGAACCGCGAGGAGGTCGACCTGGTATTTTGTGGATCACCATAAACTAAAATTATAACAATTTTGACTTTCTTAGAAAGCGAGCTCATATTGATACTTACAATAAAAATTTCACTAATGATAGCAAATCGAAATTTTAATTTTAAAAATAGAAAATTTTTACCTCATAATCGACACCTTTATACACAGTCGAGGGGAAGGGATTGTTAGTAAATGAATTTAACAACTCTATTGCTAGCAATATGACCCTAACAGATCGACCTCCACGCAGTAACCCCTGGAAACCATCGTGATTAAATCTTGTGGAATTCGTCACGATGGGCTAACTGGCCTGCTTTCATCCTCATCTATCATCTCTCAATGGTGCCCCGTTAGCGAATACCAATAGCACAGTTTAATTTTTTTTAATTTTGAGACTTTTATGAATAAAAATGGACCGCTAATTTTGTTGCCAAGTGTAAAATTCGACAATAATTGGACCAATTCAACTTTTAATTTTTTTAAATACTAATTCAAATCTAAAAAAAAGTTTTTGTGAAGAAAGAAAATAAATATGTATATCAGTAGGCACATGTCGTACAGCCGGCAGCGGAGGCGGCAGCGGCGGCCGCGGTGCCAGCGGCGGGCGGCGGGTTGAGCTTGTTGTCGGCGGGGCGCAGCTTCTTGACGGCGGGGTCGTCGCGAGCCTCCTCCACCTGCGCCGGGCACTCCAGGTGCACCAGGTGGAACACCTGCACACACGCCGGCGTGGGAGATTCTTAGTATATTTTTATATTATATATAGGGCGAGAGATGGGCAGTAGTGTCCCTCTTAAAACATCTCTAAAAACCTAATTGCGGTTGCCAACCCGCCTGCCTAGCTTGGCAACTACTGGTAAAACTCCCCTTATGGGGAAGGCTTATGGCCAGCAGTGGACAGTGGACAGACTGAAATAATAATAATAAATATTTGTATCATTCTATCGCATAAAAAAGAATTCGGTTTTTTTTTAATTAAATTTATATTCATTATTTTATTAAAATTGTTCTTAATCCATACACAATATTTTAAAATACATTCAAATTGCTACAATTTCAAATATACAATATACTAAACAGAGACTTTGCACAAAAGTCTTCTACCTCTGTCCTCTGTCCTATTCGTGTTTCTACCGTGAAGCAGTTGTGTTTGCATGGCTGTGTTCCGGTTTGAAGGGTGGGATATGGCAGTAAATTTACAGGGTACAGAGGAATAACACCTTAATCCACAGGAATGACAACGCATGGTAGGGTATTATGGCTAATACATTATACCCATGTTATGTCAGTGGTACTGCTCATGTCTATAGGTGACGGTTACCACTTTCCATCAGGTGAGACGTCAGCTTGTTTGTCATTATATGTTGCTTAAAAAAATAGAAATACTGACGCCATGACTGCGTACAAACTTTAATATCCATTTAAATTCAACTCATCTTTATTCATATAGATTTCCTTCATGTCATGTAATTTTTTTTAATGTAGGATTCTGAAAGTTTAGAAGAGCCAGCGGAAAACTCTACATTTAAATCTCTTTTAAATCTTTTTTTTATGCAACTTAGAAAGGCAAACAAGCTGACTGCCCACCTGAATAAATCAAAGTTGTGAAGAGCCAGCAAGAAATGCAACAGTTACTTTTATATCTCTGTTAACATTATATATAAATATATTTTCAATATCGACTCACCTCATTGACAGAATTGTTGGTGCCTACGATGCGTATAATGGACACGGGCCGCGGCGAGAAATATATCACTTGCCACGATCTGTCAACATGAAGCGTTTTCATTAATTACTGTATTTCAGAAATAGGAGAAGATCATAGAGGTACACGAACTGTGAAAGTGAATGGCTTAAAAGATATACATATGTAATGATAGAGGCTTAGTTCACTCGTTTCACCAGAGGGAGACTTTGTACAAAAGTCGATTGCTTGGGTACCTCTGTCCTATTCGTGTTGCAACCGCGAAGCAGTTGTGTTTGCAAGGCTGTGTTTCAGTTTGAAGGGTGGCATATGGCGTGAATTTACTGGGTACAGAGGAATAACACCTGAGTCCTCAGGAATGGCAACGCATGGGGGTATCATGGACGAAACAGTATACTCTGTTATGTCCATGGTACTGCTCATGTCTATAGGCGACGGTTACCACTTTCCATCAGGTGGGCCGTCAGCTTGTTTGCCATTCTAAGTTGTATAAAAAAAAACCTCTTGTCGGTGCATCTCACAAAGAACTTAGTATGAAGAAAATTTGAACAAGGAACGGAGGAGAAGGAAAAGGGACTGTTAACAATGGAGTTTGACAGTCCCACTGTTAGCAATGGAGTTTGACAGTACCATTGTTAGCAATGGAGTTTGACAGCCCCATTGCTACCAATATGCTCTATTAGGTCGACCTCCACGTGGTTTCCCCTGGAAACCGTCGTCAACAATTCTTGTTGAATTCGTCACGATGGGCTAACTGACATGCTTCATCCTCACCTATCATCTCTCTCTGGTGCTCCGCCGGTGTATACCAATAGCGCGGGTGGGGCTACCATTCCATTATCACGCATTAAAAAAAACCGTTTCGCTTTTGCTACATGCTTCTTCACACACTTCTTTTTTTCTTTGACACATGGTATTGTGCCAATAATTCGACGGTCGGTATACCTGCAGGCGTCCCTGGTGCGGTCGCAGACCACCTCCCAGTCCCAATAGTTGAGCGAGGTCTCAACATAGTACGAGTAGTGGCGGTAGTCGCAATCCCAGAGCAGCATGCGCATGGACGACAGCAGGTAGGGCTGCGCCAGCTGCACCACGATGGCGCCCGAGCCCAGCTGGTGGCACGTGTAGCCCTGCTCCCAGTCGTAGTGCTCCGTGTCGCCGTTCAGTAGCACGTTGCGGGTACGGCTGAAACACGCCTCATACGTGAACACTGATTCCTTTACTCATAAAGATGTTACAAAAAAAATATATAATTTAAATAATTTGTTAGATTCTAATTTTTTTATATACAACTTAGAATGGCAAACAAGCTGACGGCCCACCTGATGTATAGTGGTAACCGTCGCCTATAGACATGAGCAGTACCATGGACATAACAGAGTATACTGTTTCGCCCATGATACCCCCATGCGTTGCCATTCCTGAGGACTCAGGTGTTATTCCTCTGTACCCAGTAAACTCACGCCAGATCCCACCCTTCAAACCGAAACACGGCCATGCAAACACAACTGCTTCACGGTTGAAACACGAATGGGACAGAGGTACCCAAGCAATCGACTTAGTTACAATTTAGTAGTAAAAAGCATCCCCCTGACCTGATGCCCTCGATGACGACGGCGGAGCGCTCGACGGTGGCGACGTTGTGCACGGGCCGCACCAGCCCCGCGCGCAGCGGCGGCACGCGAGCCGTCTGCATCGCCTCCAGCGACACCGCGTGGAACACCTGTATTCACACATCGTTACTGAAACCTGCTCGCACACTGCTAGCCGTATGGAGGATGCTAGCCGTCAGCTTGTTTGCCATTCTAAGTTGTATAAAAAAAAAAAGGAATTTATACTCTGTTAGATCGACTTCCACGCAGTTCCGCATGGAAACCATCGATTTTTATAGAATTAGTTACGATGGACTAACCAGCTTTCATCCTTACCTATCATCTCACTAGTGCCTCGCCGGTATATATTGACAGCGCGGATCAGCGAGTCTACCATGACCAGAGGGAGACTGTACAAAAGTCGATTGCTTGGGTACCTCTGTCCCATTCGTGTTTCAACCGCGAAGCAGTTGTGTTTGCATGGCTGTGTTTCCGTTTGAAGGGTGGGATATGGCGTGAATTTACTGGATACAAAGGAATAACACCTGAGTTCTCAGGAATGGCAACGCATGGGGGTATCATAGACGAAACAGTATACTTTGTTATGTCCATGGTACTGTTCATGTCTATAGGCGACGGTTACCACTTACTATCAGGTAGGCCGCCAGCTTGTTTGCCATTCTAAGTTGTATAAAGAAAAAACACGGTGATTGTGAGATATTTATAAATATAAAAAAAAAATTGGCAACCTTGTTGACAGTGTTGCTGGTGCCGACGATCTTGATGTACTGGACGACACGCGGCTCGAAGTACAGGTTCTGCCAGGAGCGGCAGAAGTAGTTGCTGTGGTCGATCACGCGCACCCAGTCCTTCTGGTCCACCGACACCTCGATATAGTACGCGTACGACCTGCCCACACATACACACACACATCTTGTGTTTTTTTTTTTGATGGGTGATAATGGAATGGTAACCCCGCCCGCGCTTACGGGATACGCTGGCGGAGCACCAGTGAAGGGTGATAGATGAGAATGAAAACGGGCCAGTTAGTCCATCATGATGAATTCATCAGGAATTAACCATGATAGTTTCCAGGGGGAACCGCGAGGAGATCGACCTGGTTGGGTATATTGCTAGCAATGGGATTTTTAGTAGCGATCGACTCTAGGTTAGCTCGCTTCACCCACTGCGTTACCGATTTTTGAAATTACCAAATTTCGATTAGAGGTTATAGATGAATGTGTTTATTATATATAAATTTAATGAAAACGACGCTGCTTATTCGAGTTATGCAACAGACGCTATTACATTAGCGAGCGGTACCACATTTTTATTCGATACAGCATATGATGCATAAACGCTCGAGAAGATTTTTTTTTATGGGTGATAATGGAATGGTAACCCCAACTGCGCTATCGGTATACACCGGCGGAGCACCAGTGAAGGATGATAGGTGAGAATGAAGCAGGTCAGTTAGCCCATCGTGACAAATTCAATAAGAATTGTTCACGACGGTTTCCAGGGGAAACCACGTGGAGATCGACCTAATAGGGCATATTGCTAGCAATGGGGCTGTCAAACTCCATTGCTAACAGTCCCTTTCCCCCCACGCTCGAGGGGTTAGCTATGGTAACATAACTGAGATCAGAAGCGTGCTTATTCTGACCAGATTAACGCAGGGACTGGTTTCCTTCGAGACTGCGAACCCCTTTATTTTTCACAGAGGACGCTTGCAGACCTACCTGCCAGGGTATATGGTAAGCGAATAACAATGGGCGGGAGAGTACCTATTGTCGCGGTCCCAGAGCAGCAGGCGCAGGTGGTTGAGGATGGTGCAGGTGGCGAGGCGCACGAGGATGCCGGGGTTGTCGGGCGCGTCGCTGATGGTGTGGCGCGTGTAGCCGCGCTCCATGTCGTAGTTGTCGGTGTCGCCGTCCAGCAGCGCCGACCGCATGTCGCCGGCGATCACGCGCGCGCCCCGCGCCACCGTCGCCACGTTCTCCTCGGGCACTGCGCACCAGTAACACCACATTCGTACACGTGTGCATCCCAAAATGAGAGCGTATGTAAAGCAAGACAAAAGAATATTTCCCATTACTGTCATTGCATGTCGTACCTACTAGGAGTTTAGGTATTATCCTAAATCTATCCGGAAATTGTTGCCTCCAAAGTTGAAGCCAAAGTAGTGAGATTAGCCCCGAGGCCCCTACCTAACCCATTTACCCACAAATGGTAAAAGACCTGTCATGGTCGACGTACGCACAGCATCTTAGTATATTTTGCGATGTCCATGATGGTGTTTATGTACCTAAGCGAAGATTGCCGAGGTTTTCCCAAGAGACTACAGCATGGGGTTCTTCAAAAGGGGGGTAAAGAGGTTTCTTCAGGGTCGGCACCGCACGCGTAATACACTCTGGTATTGCAGGTGTTCATAGGCTACGGTAACCACTTACCATCAGGTGGGCCGTATGCTTGTTTGCCACCTCAGTGGTATAAAAAAAATACCACTTTCCATCAAGTGGACCATTAGCTTCTTTGTCATTCTAACTATCATAGAAAAAGTGTGTACAAGAGAGCAACGTACGCAGCAGCCCGCGGTGCGGCAGATCAGTGCTTTTGGTCTGCGTCTTCTCCTGTATCGCGTCGAGCAGCATGTCGGGCGTCACCAGCGAGAACGGCCGCACCACCGTCAGCAGCTCCTCCAGACTCATCAGCGTCAGCCGGACACACTTCAAGATCTTCTCCTATGAAACATTGCAAATTGACATTTAACGCTTTAAATATTAAACTCGATTTAATTTGTATGTTTACATTTTCATTAAGAATATTAAGAGAGCTGATTTATTAATAATATGGACTACCAGTCCCGTTGCTAGCAATACACCCTATCAGGTCGACCTCCACGTGGTCCGCCCTGAAAACCATCTGATTACAGTACGTACTGATTTGCAGGTGTATTCATCACGATAGGCTAACTGATCTGCCTTTCCATTCTCACCTATCATCCGTCACTGGTGCCCCGCCCGCGTATACCGTTAGTGTAGGCGGGGTTACCATTTCATTATCATCATCCATTAAAAAAAAAGCTTTTTTTTCCATGGAGGCATTTTGCAACGTAATTGAGGTATGTTTTAGGTAGTTCATTATGTATTATTTACTGTATTGTATTTAACGGATACTCAACTATAAAAATGAATAAAAATGCACAAACTGTTTATTCGCAATATAAATATAATAAAATACATACGGGATAGAAGGAGGGTAGGGGGTCGCGAAATATTTTTACATACTAAAAGGGTCAGAAGGACAGAAGGGGAAAAATGTTAGGACACTTGATACGACACGACGAACTTATGAACATTATAATAGAAGGTAAGATAGAAGGAAGGAGGGGGAGAGGGAGACCGATACATAGTTACATCAGGCAGATCAAGGAAGGAGTTGGTGTCGTGTCGTATCAAGAGGTGAAGAGACTCGCTGAAAATCGTAGTGAGTGGCAAGAGCTCCACCGACAAGAGCGCAGCTCTTAAATAGATAGATAGATAGATAGGTTAAAAGGGTCGCGGCATAAAAGTCTGAAAAACACTGCTATAGGCTATATTAATCCATTACCACTATTCTTGTTAGCCACCAAAAAATCTCTTATCTTACCACTTGCGACTGTCCACCCTCTGACTTCACCCAGGTCTGATTTGCTGAGAACCACTCGCACACCGCCTTGAAGATGTCGACCTCGGGGGCGAAGAACGAGTCGCGTTCCAGGAGACCTTGCAGAGCTTCCTGATAACAAAAATAATGAACATTTATACCATCTCGTGTACACTTTGATGACCTGGCTGAACATTTTGGAAACCGGGATGCAATGTTACTTCGCGTAAATGAGTTCCCCTTGTTGACACATATTTCAAATACACTGTCGGGTATTAATGCGACGCAATTGCATGTAAAAACTTGCGACGCAAGTGCCCGAATTTTCGGGCTCAATTTTGCGTTTTTGTTCGTACCAAAATTGACCCAGTAAATGGAGTTTAACATTTTGTTCATCATAAATCCTATCCTAATAGTCCAGAGGAATGATATTTTAACATTTTTAATCATTTTAAACGACATGTATTATGTAATTTTAACATCAAATTTCTGTTTCGTTCGTGCATGAAATTTCGGAAAATATTTCATGGTAGGCCCTCTGCTTCTTTGTTGCCGACGTTTCGACGTGGATTGCACCGCGTCGTGGTCACAACAAGACTGAAGTGAGCGGCGTCTTCTCTTGGCAGTCTCTTCGGGTACCCTCACATTGTCACTATTACTGTCTAGACACTGTATGCCGCACTTGCATTTGCGTCGAATTAAGTCTCGATAATGTATTTATAATATTTTTTTTATACAACTTAGAATAGCAAACAAGCTGACGGCCCACCTGATGAAACCGTCGCCTATAGACATGAGCGGTACCATGGACATAACAGAGCACACCGTTTCGCCCATGATATCCCTCATGCGTTGCCACTCCTGAGGACTCAGGTGTTATTCCTCTGTACCCTGTAAATTCACACAATATCTGACCCTTCAAACTGAAAAACAGCCATGCAAACACAACTGATTCACGGTTGGAACAAGAATGGGACAGAGGTACCCAAGCAAACCACTTTTGTACAAAGTCTCCCTCTGGTGATATATGTCATTCCAAGTTGGAAATATTTTAAAGGCTAATAATATGACTATATACCTATTTTTATATATATCTATTTTTTTTGATAGGTGATAATGGAATGGTAACCCCGCCTGCGCTAACGGCATACGCTGGCGGAGCACCAGTGAAGGGTGATAGATGAGAATGAAAACAGGCCAGTTAGCCCAACATGACGAATTCATCAGGAATTAACCATGATAGTTTCCAGAGGGAACCGCGTGGAGGTCGACCTGGTTGGATATATTGCTAGCAATAGGATTCTCAGTCTCCATTACTAACAATCTCTTTCCCCCTACTAATGTATCTATTAGTAAAACAATTGGCGACCACTTACGACTGAGAGTTGCAGGAATGTCTCATGCTGCAGTACTTCTGTCGCGTTCCTGTCCAAGAAATTGTAGCAATAATCCATCAACGCCTCCAGACCGTACAATCTGAAACAATAGTGAGCCAATAACATACTGGACTTTAGCTGGTGTTATGAATGTTACAAATAGATAGATAGATAATTTATTTGCATTACTTACAGCACACAAACGACAATACAAACATATACATAATACAGACATACACAGTAAAAGAAATAGGATGAAAAACAAAACAAAAAGCAAAAAACAACAAATTCCTTTTTTTCATGTAAAATTTTTCAAATAGGACATTAAAATCTTTAATAAATATGAAAGTGAATTTGTATGGATCGTGCCAATCCCAAAATTAGGTGGTGCCCACTCCAAATGCGAGCGAAGCTTTGTAACATGTCTGAGATACACCTTTTTTTAAGGGGCCACTTCTCCTATGGAAAGTAATCCTTAATACTAATAGCCGATATAAACAGCAGTTACCTGGCAGCGTCGAGGACCGCGCACACGTTCCTGAGCGCGAGCACCTGCCGCAGGTAGTCCGATATGGCCGCCTCCAGCTCCTGGAAGTTGAACTGGTGCGCCAGCCCGAGCATGTCCAGCACTGTGTCCTCGCGCAGCAGGGACAAACCCATGTGACCTGATCGTGTGATATTTTTTTTTATTGGATGAAAATGGAATGGTAACCCCGCCCGCGCTAACGAGATACGCTGGCGGGGTACCAGTGAAGGGTGATCGATGAGGATGAAAACAGGCCAGTTAGCCTATCATGATTAATTCATCAGGAATTAATCATGATAGTTTCCAGGGGGAACCGCGAGGTCGACCTGATTGGTTATATTGCTAGCAATGAGATTCTCAGTTTTCATTACTAACAATCCCTTTCCCCCCATCGTGTGATATTAGAAATCAAAAAGAAATTTCTTACTTGACAAAAACACAAAGTTACAAACACAATGGCCCCCACACTAGGTGAACCTGTATCGTGGGCACCCGACAAAGGTTAACAAATCACAATCTGTTATAATAAAAAGTACATAGTGGGCGGGTATTTATATAAAGAGAAGGAATATAAATTTGGCATAATGATCATTTGCTGATCAAACTGTTATGCTATGGTTATTTTATTCTCTATGGCTCTCTCACCAAAAACGGTAGATGTTTGTCTATTTTGGATATTACCTAAACGTGGCAACTATTGGCAAGGACACCCTTATGGGGTAGGCCTATGTTCAGCAGCGGACGGTTAACGGCAGATATAACAATTAACTTATTTGTTGATCTGATTGATTTAAAAGGAACTGAAATTTCTTTTTTATGCAATTAAAAATGGCAAACAAGCTTTTTTTTTATACAACTTAGAATGGCAAACAAACTGACGGCCCATGTGATGGAAAGTGGTAACCGTCGCCTATAGACATGAGCAGTACCATGGACATAAAAGAGTTTCGCCCATAATACCCACCATGCATTGCCATTCCTGAGGACTCGGGTGTTATTCCTCTGTACCCAGTAAATTCACGCCATATCCCACCCTTCAAACCGAAACACAGCCATGCAAACACAACTGCTTCACGGTTGAAACACGAATGGGACAGAGGTACCCAAGCAATCGACTTTTGTACAGTCTCCCTCTGGTATAAGCTGACGGCTCACCTAATGGTAAGTGGTAACCGTCGCACATAGACATGAGCAGTACTATGGACATAACAGAGTATACTTTGTAATTTATAGTATAATTTTCCTGTAAGTGTTTGCGATTCAAACTGGTTGTTGAACTAAACTAGGATATTGTTAATCTCAATAGAAATTTATTAAAGAATAATGGTAAAAAAGTGAATTGGGCAAATGTACATGAATAAGGGGAGGAAGGGATTGTTAATAATGGGGGTTGAACAGCCCTATTGCTAGCAATATATCCTATCAGATCTACCTCTAGATCCTACCTCTTCATACTATCCTATCCCTCTGGAAACCATTGTGGTTAATTCTTGTGAAATTCATCACGATAAGCTTACCAAGCTGCCTTCATCTTCACCTGTCAACCTCATTTCAATGGTGTCCCATCAGCATATACCAATAAACACAGGCAATGTTACCATTCCATTTTCACCCATTAAAAAAGTCTATGGCATCCTTTATATGTTGCCATTCTTAAAGCTAAAGAGTTACCATTGCAAACTGGGTAAAAAATATTACAAAGCAATTACCGGAATAGACATAACGAAGGAGAGCCTTGAAGGCTTGCAATGGTGCCTGGAGCTCCACTTCGGCCTGAAAGAAATAATTACATGTAAAAAAAAAAGGTAATAAAAAATGTTAATGTAAGTGAAATCGACATTAATTGCGTTCACTCAAGCACTGTTGTTACATTATTTTTTTATTAATTCAAAGAGTAAAAAATAAACTATTGGTTCACGTAATGGAGGGCAGTGATATCCTAATTGAGGGCTAATTTGTTATGAAGAATTTTTTATGCAACTTAAAATGGCAAACAAGCTGATAACCCACCTGATGAAAAACAATAACCGTCGCCTATAGACATGAATAGTACCAGAAACACAACAGAGTATACTATGTCGCCTATGATACCCCTCATGTGTTGCCATTCTTAAAAACTAAGTTGTTATGCCTCTGAACTCGTTAATTTCATTGCTATATCCTACCTTTTAAACCGAAACACATCCACAGATGATTGGTTTCCAGGTCTACCATTTTTTTCTCAACAGAATTTTGTGGTCCTTCGAGCCGGATCGGAGTAGAACAATGCGTTATGTCATTTCACGATAAAATTGAGTGCGGCAGTGGTACAATAAGTATATCGCTCTCACCTGATTAGCCTCCCTCATCCCACCATAGAGCAAGGCTCTGAAGTAGTCGCTGCTGGCGGCCAGGATCACCTTATGGGCGGGGATCCTTTGCCCCTCTACTATAAGGGTCACATCCGAATACTCGGATGAAAGGCAAAGGGACCCTATGTTTTCTGACAAGTGATCTGCACATAAATAATATTATTATTAATATATCTATATACATTATTAGCAATCATTATAATTAGTAATTCGTTACATTATGTAAATGTTTGACATCACTACCATCTATTGTGCATTAGTGAACAAATTTATCATAAGGTCCTGCTTTTATTTCCTGCATTCATAAACTCATAGTACCATTTATCAGACGTCATTATTCGACCTCAGAGGTCTCTTAGAGATTCTCTTACCCACGTGTCTAATATGAAGTTTCGTGCAGAGTCCTATCAAATGCCGGAAATGAGGGGCAAAAATGAGAGACTGCGAAATTGAGGGCAGTGTGTTGTTTTTTAACTGGAGCGGCAAAATATTTAGATTTTTTATTACTTTGATTGTTTTCGAAATTTTTGATTTACCAATATGGAACTTACAGGTTGCTCCAAATTGCACATCTTGTTTCTAAATATTGTAAGTTTTCAAGTAATAGCTTTAATAATATTTAAAAGGCATTATTTATTCTTATAATACATAATCACTTTTTTTTTATACAACTTATAATGGCAAACAAGCTGACGGCCCACCTGATGGAAAGTGATAACCGTCGCCTATAGACATGAGCAGTACCATGGACATAACAGAGTATACTGTTTCGCCCATGATACCCCCCATGCGTTGCCATTCCTGAGGATTAAGGTGTTATTCCTCTGTACCCAGTAAATTCATGCCATATCCCACCCTTCAAACCGAAACACAGCCATGCAAAAACAACTGCTTCACGGTTGAAACACGAAAGGGACAGAGGTACCCAAGGAATCGACTTTTGTATTCTCCCTCTGGTTATTTATCGCAGTAATAATAGAGAGTAATTAAAAATATAACCGAATCCATGTCTGTAGGCGTATGCGACCTTCATACAATGTTCCAATACTAATGTTTGTTACAAAAATAGTTCAGTTGTAATATGATAGAGGGATTAATTTCTTCTAATACACACATAATATATAGTATTGGAGGGAAGGGATTGTTAGTAATATGTACTACCAGTCCCATTGCTGGCAATACTGTCATGTCGATCTCCACATGGTCCACCCTGGAAACCATCGTGCTGAATTCCAGGTGTATTCATTACGACGGGCTAACTGACCTGCCTTTTCATCCTCACCTATCATCCCTCACTGGTGCCCCGCCAGCATATACCGATAGCATGAGCAGAGTTACCATTCCATTGTCATCCATAAAATAATCCATACCAAAATAAAAGATGGACAATAGAAGCAACAAGATGGACTGGCCCAAATGGAGAAAGAAGGAAATGACGACCTAGGAAGCAATGGAGTGATAATGTCTTATAACTACAGCAGGTAAAGAGTGGGAAATAAGAGCAAAAAACAGAAATAGTTGGTTAACACTGGAGGAAGCTTGTACTCAAAAAGGGGTTCCTATCCTAGAATAATAAGGAAGATTAATTTAGGATATAAAAAAAAGACTATGAAATTACATAAGTTTATATATATATATATATATATATATAGCTTATTATTATATACAATTTGAATAATATTATTATTAGTGTTCAAAGCAGCATTCAGAATTCAGTTTTCAGAATTCAGTTTAAAGGGCTATATAAAAATTAATACACTGGTGATTCCAATATTTATTTAAACTTTAATGCACAGTGAAACTATGTACATATGACAGACTTCACCCTTCTTTGCATAATGGTGGAGATTTCCATCATAACATTGAATGCCCAAGAAATATTTAAAAGAACAAGTTCACTTCAAGTTGATCGTGTCCGGATACCTTTTTAATGTCCATTGAAGAAAAAAAAACATAGCTGTCAAATTTACTTTTTAACCATTTTTCCTTTAAATTTGAATATTAATTATATCACCTTGATTTATTTCACCTATAAAAAAAATAATGCAAAGAAGGGTTAACACCGGTACTAAGTTTGTCATACATCTTGAAGTACTTACTAATATGTTCGATATCTCCGACGCGTGAACTTGGCGTATTGTTCACACTCATATACTGGTGCTGGCTACTCATCTTCTGTGCTGATCATCAAATATTATTTGAGGACCTGCAGATATTGTACAATCCTATTAATATTAATATTATAAATGTAAAAACTTTCTAAGTATAGATGTTGCTTGTTATTCTTTCAGGCAAAAAATACCGAATGGATGTGATGTATTATGGTATATAGGTAGGTTTTATCCTTACTTAGCACATAGGATAGAAGCTGCAGGTGCAAACTAGTACATTTTATAAATTATGTACACAGATCCTTACTATGTTTACTAATATGATAATAAGTTTGTTTGTTTGCTGATTTGGGATGGAGCACATAGGCTACTTGTTATCCCAGTCACATGAACAAAGTGGGAATCAAAACTAGTATTGACATAAAAACGTGGATCTACTGCATAGTAATTTTTTTTAATTAAGCTAAATAACTCCTTGGGCCTTAATAATTCCATCCAAATTTTATATTTAAATTGTTATATAAAATTTAAAAAAATAATATTATATTAGAGAGAAATGGAAGAACATGGGTAAGGCTTTTACCTATCAAACGAATTTAGTATGGAAAGGTTTACTTTATGGATAAAATTGCAATGAGAATAATGCCTGTGCTATTGATATGTGCTAGCAGGGTACTAGTGACTGATGGTAGGTAATGACGGAGTCAGGTCAGTCTGCTCATCATGATAAATTCTCCAGAAATTAAATACAAAAATTTCCAGGAGGGACCGCATGGAGGTCGATCTGACAGGATATATTGTTAGCAATGGGGTTTCACCTCTTAATAATGATTGTCCCCTATAATGGAGACTACTAGAATCCATTATTAACAATCTCCAATCTTGGGGTAAGGTTGCCAATTATAAGGTATTTTTTATAACATCAAGGCAAGGAGGAAATAGATTGTTAGTAATGGGGATCTAACAGCTTCATTGCTGGCAAAATATTCTATCTGATCAACATCTATCCAGTCTATCCTGGAAACCGTCTTGGTTAATTCTTGTAAAATTCAGCACAGTGGGCTAACTAACTTGCTTTAATCTTCACCTGTCATCCTCATTTCACTGGTATACCACTAGAATACACCAATAGCACAGATAGAGTTACCATTCCATTTACACCCATTAAAAACAACAAATATAGTAATCATATAAATTAAGGTAAAACAAAAATTATAAAGCAAGTTATAAACAAATTTCTCACTAACAATTAGACAATTATTCCATATTTTATTTTTGAATAGTTTGCAACTGCAAATTCAAAATGTTTGTGCTAAATGGAATTTTAATACATGTTAAATGTATTAGATCTATTTCCAAGTGCTTTATAAAAAACATGTACACATTTTAATAATGCAAGTATCACACACAATAGTTGGAATAAAAGTAGCTATATATAGCTAACCAATAATCACAATAAGGATATTAGAAGGACACAATACATTGTCATCTACCATTGCCACCTCTATTCTGTCTCCTATTACTGCCACTAAGGTGGACTTCAGATCTTCTAGGTAAGAATGGCAGTGAGATATCTGCTGCATAACACTTTAGTGATCAGCAATTGCAATCGTAAGTGACTCATGGTACTCTTATGTACTGCAATATTATTATTTAGTATTTTGCAATGACCACTGTGTTGTTCATATTTTTAAGCAAGTTGGCAAAGTACCACCTTTCAATAAGTAAGGTATTAATTGCAAGCTGTACAAAAACAATCCATAATACTGAGTCCTCTTTGTACACTTAACTACAATTTTCTTTTTTATATTAATCTACTTAAATCTATAAAACCCACTAGAATTGCAATAATTAGGAAACAAGACTTAAACTAAACTATCCCCATAACATTCTGATAAAAAGAAATTAATGATAACTAATAATACTACGAAAACAGTTCCTCTCACTGGTAATATAATTTACTGAGTACTATTTAAAAGCAGTATGGAGAAGTTGCACCAATTGTGAATTACTGAAACTCGGACATTCATTTAAAATACTAATTACTCATTTCGTAACATTTGTACATATATTTGAATTATGATAGAGCTACTACCATACCTGGACAAAAAATCACTTCCAAAATTATACACTTTTCAACTTCTTTGAATTCGATTAATGTACGATATGAAAATTATAAAATTGCATTTATTCAAGGCTAAGGCAGAATCTAGTTTTATATCCTGCGAAAATATAAAAACGACGTTTATTTATCAAAATATTTATATGTACTTCGTATTGCAAGATTTTTAAGACATTCTGTAATGTCTGTAAATATTGCTTTAGCTCTGTATCTGTATTATACTGTAACTGTCAATTTCAGCAATTTATGTCATGTACTCAGTTGTCATTAATAAATTGCTAAATTTACACTTTACGCACATAAAAATTGGCGCTAATGATAATTCTTAAGTAAAAATTACAGTGCAGTAAAAATATACTAAAATATGGATAAAAAACGTAACATATTACTAAGGGGTAAACATAGTTTAATATAAATTTTTGCACCGGGCTCTTTATATACCTATAATATATATTAATTTGTATAATTATACCTAATTCACTCAAGACCACCGCAAAAGTAAAATCCAGCATAGACCAAGAATTTTAATTTTTTATATAAGTAATTGCTTTCGAGACAAACGGATCGATTCTGAGGCGCTATTTCTCTTAATTTATGTCTAAAATTAAAAATTCAGTCTGATATCACAGCGAAATATGCTTAGGGTCAATGTGAAACAAATTCCTAATAATTTTATTCAAAATAAATATATATTAATATAATGGTTCACAAAATAATAGTATCGCGTAACTATCAATTAAAAATATTAGATTAAGAAACATAATTTAAAAGAATAGCGCCTCAGAATCGAGCCCAAATATTATAACTTTTGATTAAAGAACTTAGAATAACATCATAAGACATTTTTTATTATTGTTTTTAACGTGTTTTAATTATACCTATTGTCCTTGACAAAAAAAAAAAACTCAAACTACGACAAGACCTGTTGGAGTTGAAATAAACAAAGAAACTCTATATTCAAAGATTTTTATACAATTTCTTTTATTCTTTGTCACAATTTTTTTTTTTTTTATGCTGAACACTACTGTGTAGCCTATCTGCTCTTGACTTTACTCTCTATGCGTGTGTATTTGGCTTAATTCCGACGAAATTGCTTGAAAGATACCACAGAACCGTGAAGTGACCAAACGATTGGCGGGCTGTTTTTATATTATAATAAGATTTCTAACTGTAATTTATCTCTTTAATATTTTCGACAAAAAATTAAAGTTCTTTTATATGAAAAATCATTTGAAAGCTGTAGAAAAAATTTCTTTTAATTTTTCATATTTAATTCTTTTTTTAAAAGTATTTTTAGCATCTTACTAGTAGTCGTTGTCTTTGTTTATATTTTAAAATCAGGCTCATTGGCGAATCCTTAAAATTAAATCAATAACTTGTAGCTTATAAACAACAAATTCCCGGTAATATTTAGAATACAAACTTAGCTAATTTTTCGCTGATTAATCAAGCGCGCGCGAAAGCTTTGTCAGATAAACACTTGAATACGATTGGTGGAGATTTTCGAGAGTACCAACGTAACAAATACTACAACGTTTTGGCAATGTTGTCAAAATTATTACCAGTTGTGCTAGCAAGTAAATATCGTCGCTTTATTAAAATAATTTATTTTTCTTTAGTGCTTTTCAATACGAAAATGGTGTTATTATAGCAAGATTGGTACTTGATTAATTACTATTTACGTTGATATAGTAAAACGTAAGTAAGAAATTTACATTTGAGTGTTTCATGAACTTTTTTGGGGAAGGTTGTGATTCTCTAAAAGTAGCTGCACAATGATACGAGTGCGATCCTCGCGAAAGAAAAATGTAACGAACATTATAAATGCCCGTAATTATTTAATAAAAATTTACATATATCTTATTAAATAAATTATATCGAGTGACGAACGAAACTTATAACTCAGTGGCAGTGGAAAATATTTCATGATAAAAGTGCGTCTATATGATTTTTCACTTCGAAATATTTTATTTTTTTATGCATTACAGGTCATCAGTAATGAACTGTAAAAGATAACTGAGTTTCTGTAATGACTCCAAAAACATTTTCGGGACCGAGAAATGGAGAGACAGCAGTGTAATTCACTTCAAAACTTTGACGAGCCTAAAACAGAAATTTTGAAAAAAAGATTATTAAAATCTTCGAGCGCCCCCGTTTCTACTAATCTCTCACAGAATAGTTCGCAGCACAATGTGTTATTGAATACGTTACGTGTGAGTTGCTATTAAAACTGGTTAATTAATTAAAACAAATATATGGTACTTAACTTTTGCGTACTGACGTCGCGTGTTCTATTTCAGGCACCGATATCAAGCAGCATGATCGTGTCCTCAGTGCAGGCCCCTCAGAGCTCTATGCCAATTACTCATAGTTTGGTTACCCACTCTATTGCTCCTATGAAAATACATGGCAACAATGCCCCATATCCCCTCCAGCTGTCTACAGTTCATGTGCCTGTGCAGATACCAGGCTCCACCTCAAATATAAATGTCCCTGTTCAATTGTCAGGTCCTACAAATACAGTACCTTTACAAATAGCTCCAGTCAGTCTTCCTCTTCAAGTGTCAGGGGCAACCAGTGTGCCTGTGCAATTACCAGCTGGTGAAACTATAAATGTGCCCCTTCAAATTCCTGCTGCCACTCAAAATATTCAATTGACCACACCTGCATTACCTTCTATGCCTATTTTGCAAAATACCAACCAATCTCTCCATAACTCTATAATACATGTCCATATGAGTTCAAATACAAGGCCTACCAATGTGGATGGGACATCTGACTTGACAGTATCTAGTTCATCACAGCTACAGATACCTGACAACTCGGGGGTTCAAGTTAAAATAAATAATCCCACGTCTGCTTCACAAGTGCATGTTGGTGGGAACCCAGCTGTTGTACAAATTCCAAATACAACTAACAACTCCATACAGTTGGCTCTACCAAATAATGGGAGCTCGGGCACTGTTCAGTTGAGGGGTGCGGCAAGGCCTGTCCCCCATATGGTGTACATCCAGACACCAACAGGTCTGAAGGCTGTTACCAGCACTGAAGTTATCAGCCAGGCCAGCACTAGTGGCAATCCACCTCAAATTATTGTAAGAAGACCTGTAAGTATATTTATATGACAAAACTAGTTTATTATATCTCACTTTATTTATTTAAAAAAAAACTAGGCATTTTTGTTTACCTTTGAAAATTATTTTTTTACACAAACAAGATTAGAGAGATTATGATATGTTTATACCTAAAAAAAAAATATTAATAATTGAAGATATAACATGACAAAAATAACATCAACTGTTGTGATGTGAACAGTGATTTAAAATAACACTGTGTTTAATTATTCATTGATTGTTCTAAATATAAAATTTATCTATTAAGGTCACTTAATGGCAATGTTGCATACATAATATTGTAAACACTGCAAAACTTTATTAATTATTCTTTGTTTCTTTTTTATGCAACTGAGAGTGGCAAACAAGCCAAAGGCCCACCTGATGGAAAGTGGTAACCATCACCTATAAACATGAACAGTATCATGGACACAACAGAGTATACTGCTAGACACATCTTATATGAGACAGACAAAAAAAACAAATAATAAATACATAGGTGATGTCTGTCTCATATAAGATATGTCTAGCAGTAAGCCATTAATAGTTGTTATGTAGAGAATTTATAATTGTATTTCTTATTTACATTTATGTTCGTCGTATAACAAATAAAATTGCATTCCACAAAAAACTGACTTCAATTATGGCTTAGCCAATTATTTTTATTTAAAAATTAAACTATTGAATCGATTTTATTAAAATTTCTATGGGTTCAATCTTTAAATATAGTCTTTTAAATAAAAAAAAGATTTTTCCATTCCATTATGTGGTATTATGTAGATATAAAAATATATATACAACTGAATTGACAACTTCCTTCTATTTGAAGTCGATTGGAAATAGTAAAAGTTGTTTAAAAGAAAAAAAAAAGAATTTTGCACACTAATCAATAAATATAAATAAATCCTTTAGTATTAAACGTTTTAGTCTAATCCATGCACACACACACACACACACACACATTCTCTAACATAACATTCATTGACTCATCACCAATTTTTGTTATAATTTTTAATAATAATAATTGAAATAAGTAATATTATTATAATGGAAGAACGACCCAATTAACTTACATGTACTTAGTCCTTAAATTTTGTGACAGACATTAGGGCATAAAATAAAAAAAAAGTAAAGATGTTTTAATATATTTTTTATTACTAAAATATAAAGTTTAAATTCATTATATTAACAATATTATTTGTTCAAAATGGCGCCCTTGATTTTGAATACAATCAGCCCTCAATCTTCAGGGCTAGTTGAGTGAATCCTTTAAGGAGTTCAATTTTTTTGTGAAGTTTACCAGGTAGTAGTAGTTTTTCATTTATATACTGCCATGTTTTATAGACCACCTTAGGTAGATGAGAGGTAATCTTTATGTCGTATGAAATCTATTTTGTTCATGTTTAACTAAGTTTGTGTACTTTAATGCGCAGGCGCCGAATTTTATTAGAATACTCAATGTTTGTTTTTAAACATTGTTTCAATAAGGGGCTCCACATTCTTTCCAAAATCGTATCTTGGTAGACTTTTCTTTTTATAACAAAAGAGAGAGAGAGAACAAAACAAAAGGGTCCCAAATACGATAATCCCAACCGAATCATCACCGATCACGAATAATGACGTCGATGTACATTCGAAATGACAGTGTTGGCTTCTTCCCTTGTGTGCATACACTTTGTTGTATTTCTGCCCAATATATTTTTTTTCTTTTCATCTGAAAACAAAACTTGGCGGCGGTTATTTGTAGAGTACCGTTTTAAATTACTTGTCATTTTTGACACACGGTTCCATTAAACCGGAATATGGAAAATAATCTCTTTTTTTGGGAAGCACGTAACAGGAAGTCTACATTTAGCACCTTCTTTACTGTATATCCGCTTAATCAACTTCTTATTTTAATTGCCTTTACTATAGCTGGGATTCGAAAAGAGCGAGGTCGACCTGATCTCATTCTGTCATCTATGTTAGACATCACACTATATCGTTTAATTGATCGATGAATAAATTTACGCGTAATATTTAAAAATTGTAAAGTAATGGCGAAAATATGACAATGACGGTGTAGTACAACAGAAGCCACGTGGTCTTTTTTCCAAGTCCACTCCATTGTGATTACTATAGAAAATTCTAGAATATCGATATTTTTAATAACTAAGCATTCATAATTCGAAATGGAAAAACCGTCTTCAAAATCATTTGAAATTCAGAATTTGACTTGTGTGAGAGTACTTACGCACTAAACTAAGTATTTTAAACTAGAAAGTTCAATTCCGTTCGTTCGTTTCCGAACCTTCCATGATTCGTAGTCACAAGCGGCCATGATGCCAGTTAGATTCGCGTACCTGCCGCGGCCACTTCACTAAAATAATACACGTAAGTCAATCCGGTTGTTCTTACATTTAATATAGTATGTACTTGCGACACTTAAGTAATTAAGAAATTAGAAAAACCGCATATTATATTTTGTACTTATTTTCTTTATAAAATTGTATATTTAATTAATTAAACTTTTTTATTCTTTATAAGCATATAATTGAATGTTCTATTTTAATATTTCAGGTTACCAGCAATTCGAATATTTTAATATCAAATGTTGGTAACAAACCCAACATTGCACCTAAAGCACCCAGCCAAAACAAGTCTTCTCTGTTAGCTCCTGTTAATACCACACAGCCCATTGTTATTCAAAAACCAAAATCAAATGATAAAATGATGGTTCCAGTAAGCATTGCCCCAGGAAATCAAGGCAAGCAGGCCATTGCCTATCTAAGTTCTGTTAAAAAGCCGACTACCAAATCTTTACCTGATAACCAGTCAATTTTAATATCAAACAATCAGCCGAATGTGCCATCAGGCAACCAAAAACTATTTCTAACCCCTATGAATATGCCAAAAATACAGAATACTAAATTTATTCTTCCTGTAACTTTACCAGCAACTATGGCATCAAAAGGTCCCTTTATCAATCTTCAAATAGCTAATGGGCAGATACAAAATGATCCACAGGGAAATATTACTGTAATGAGAGATCCTACACCCATTGAAACCACTGAAATACCACCATTACAACCTTTGGGTAAAGTTGTTAGTGCTAATGGCAAAGATAACAAGAACTCGATGCCTGAGAGTCCTAAAAGTGAGAAAGCATACACTTTTTCAATATCAGGGTCACGAGCAGAGCCTACGGGGGAGCAAGGAGAGTATACTTTGTCAATACCAGAAACAAATGCTTCTATGAATGATGATATTTTTACTGTTTCTATAGCTGATGACGAAGGAGGACAGACTAGAGAAAAATCATTTACTTTGGCAATTCCAGAGAAGGGAAAGAGTTTATTAAATAGAAATATTTTAGATAGGAATGATATACCAGGCCCAGTTACGATCGCCGCTCCTGCTATATTGAGACGCTCTAATTCAGACAACAGTGAAAGAAAAACTGCTAATGCAAATCTTAAAAGACGAATCTCTCTTTGTAATGAGAACTTGACAAATAAGAAGATTAATTTGACTTCACCTCAGCAAAAACTTGATAAATCTGATGACCACCACGATTCTGACAATAACGATGATCACAGAGTGCCATCTTTGTTTTGCGATGAAAAGTTGGACAAAGATTTAGAAGCAAAAGTGAACTTAGGTGATTCCGATGAAGATTTTAAAGAGGTGAAAATGGAACCTAGTTCTGAGAAAGACGGCCATACTAACAATCATGATGTACTATATTATCATAAAACGGATACATTTGTAAAGAAAGAAAACAGTTTTAGTGCCCAAAATAAATTGAATAGCCCTGTGGAAGAGGATCCTCCAGGTTTAATTTGGAGCAATGGGATTGCAGTGCTTCAAGGGAGTAATTTACAATTTCAGACTAATGAGTTTGGTCTCATCGATTTAATTGATAATAGTGACCAAGAGGATGTACTAGCAAATCCAAGTGCGAAGTACCACACTCCACTGAAGCAGCGCATTGACAGAAATCCTAGAGAAAAAAAGCCCACGTCCCCTGAAGATATGTATCGCTGTGATGGATGTGGATGTCATGGCATGGCTGCAGATTTTATTAATCCCAATTTCTGCAGTTCAACATGTCAAAATGAGGTGCAGAAAGCTTTACAAAAGAAGAAAGATAAAGAAAAGGCAGAATTGACTAAAAAGAAGAATAAAATGAGACGAATATTTATGAAGAAGCAATGGTCTGATGAAATGATAATGCAAGACAACAAGGATGATAAAGTAGTTTTAAAACATTACGACTCCGCGCCTGCTGAGGTTCAGAGTGATACCGCTATAAAAATGAGCGAGGATTTGATAGAAAATGAGAAGTACCCTTGGATGTGTGGCAAGAATGGATTCTCCTGGATGCGGTATCTGGATATCTGTAAAGCGAAGGCAGCACCTGTAAAGTTGTTTAAAGATCCATTTCCCTACCAGATCAGGAACGGTTTTAAGATTGGTATGCGATTGGAGGCGATAGATCCACAGCACCCATCGCTATTTTGTGTAGTATCTGTGGCGGAAGTACAGGGCTATCGGATGCGGCTACACTTTGACGGATATCCGGATTTGTATGATTATTGGGTTAATTCAGATTCAATCGACATCTTTCCGCCGGGCTGGTGCGAGAAGAACGGTCGCACGCTGAAGCCGCCAGCCAACTACAATACTTCTGTTTTCTCCTGGCCGATGTACTTGAAACACATGCGAGCGATCGCTGCACCTAGACATTTGTTCCCACATATCACTAACACGGTAAATATTACATAATTTACTTTCTTAATTTTACATTTATCATATCATATTAACTCTTAACTATCCACTGCTGAACATAAGCCTCCCCCTATTGGGGGGTTTTGCCAGTAGTTGCTACGCTTAACAGGCAGGTTGGTAATGGCAGGTATGGTTTTGATGATGTTTCAAGAGAGATTCTGCTGCCCATTCCTTAACCTATAGGTCCCACTAGGCGCCTCTTACAACACCCATGGGAAAGGAAGGGGTTATAGCATTTATATATGCTAAGAATTGAAAATGTTTGGTAAACTATATAATAGAGGCAGACACTATATGAATTCAATGACTACTGCTGATCTATCATTATTTATTAGGTTTTATGATGAAAATCAAGTTTTTTGTGTTATTTTTGCTCCTGAGAAGTACGGCTTGTTCCTTTCGTGTTAGATTTTACTTGCAATATTACCTTTTAGACAGAAATAACAATACACATTTCTTTGTTATTGTATATAATTACTCCACATTTTGTTGTAATTTATTTTAACTTAGAAATGTAGGACTTAGACTTCTATGTAAATTTATAAACTTAAAATAGAAAATAAGTTAAAAGGCCGGCAGTACACCTGCAATGCCGTTGGTGTTGTGGGTGATCATGGGCGGCGGTAGTTACTTACCATCAGGTGAGCCGCATGCTCGTTTGCCCCCTGTGTTAAATTAAAATTAAATAAAAATAGGCACTTGCGATTTCTTGAAAATAATTTTTAGATATATTGTAAAATTACTGGGTTCTCGAAATAGGTGATGAACTTTTTTCCACTGTCAATTTGTATAAAAATCTAATATATAAATATCGGAGCGGTACTGATATTTCCCAGATCTAGTTACAAAACACGAGCTATGCAGTTGTATGTTTCAGGTGACTATAGGCTTTGGTAGCATCAGGCAGGTCTTATGCTTAATAGTATATGACACTTGTTTACACAAGAACATTACAGTTAATGAATAAAAACCTTTAATTTCCTAAATAGATCTTCAAACCAAACTGCTTCCGAATCGGGATGAAGCTAGAAGCCGAGGACCGCAAGAACGAGCTGGTGTGCGTGGCGACCATCACGGACATGATGGACAACCGCATGCTGATCAACTTCGACAGCTGGGACGAGATGTATGACTACTGGGTGGACCCAACGTCCCCGTACATACACCCTGTTGGCTGGGCTGAGGAGAACGGCATCTCGCTCACACCGCCAAACTGTGAGTATCTATGTCATTATTTCACTCATTATTAACTGCTGCAGAGTGGGGGGAAAGACTGTTAGTAACGGGGTCTAACTGACCCATTGCTAGCAATACACTCTATTAGGTCGAGTTTCATTCCTGATGTATTCATCACGACTAACTGATCTGCCTTTTCATTCTCACCTATCATCTCTCACTGTTGCCCCACACGTGTATACCGTTAGCGCATGCGAGGTTACCATCCCCTTATCATCAATTAAAAAAAAAAAAAACAAAAACAATTTGTAAATTAAATAAATATTTTGAGAGATAACAACATTAATACATTTTAATATAAATAAACATACAAACATAGAATAAAATACTTACAAAAATTATACATACATACGTATGTACAGTACAATATTGCTAACAATGTGACTGGTAGTCTGCATTACTAATTACTCCTAAACTACTTGAGTTTGCCGATGATGATGATTATTTTTGATGTTTATGCCAAACTCATAACGATTAGTCGACCAGTAAACTTAACAGACGAATGAACATGTTCAACATGAATCAACATGACAGTGTTTGCATGGCTGTGTTTCGGTTTGAAGGGTGAGATACGGCGTGAATTTACTGGGTACAGAAGAATAACATCTGAGTCCTCAGGAGTGGCAACGCATGGGGGGTATCATGGCCGAAACAGTATACTCTGTTATATCCATGGTACCGTCCATGTCTGCGACGGTTACCACTTTCCATCAGGTGGACCAGTCAGCTTGTTTGCCATTCTAAGTTGTATAAAAAAAAAAATACAATTCTCACGTTCATAATATTACACGCCGCTGATGATACTTATATTTTTTATAGTCAATGTAATTCGAGCCAGTTATGCAGACGCATTACCTGACAAATGCATAAGTGCCTGCCGTTTTTATTTTTATACATACATTGCACGTTTTTCATCGAATAATCATATTTTTCATTTAACACAAAACGTGACGGATTTATTGCAGTTTTTCGAATTAATTCGCAATGTTGACATTTTCTGTTACCGGACAATAAGTTGAAGGTATTTTAGAGGCCCAGTTTTAAGTGTCGACGCATGGGTCCTATATAAGTCGGTGTAGTAAATCACTAGGGAAACAAATATTTTTTTTTTTTGCTATTCATCATCGTCATTTCAGCCATTATTCGTAAACTGCTGGACATAGGCCTCCCCTATAGACTGCCATAAGCAACGGTCCTGAGCCACCTGCATCCTGTGACTCCCTTTTTCCTATTACGCAATAGAAAATTATTTTCATCATGTCAGCCTTTAACTGGCCATTGGTTAACATAAGCCTCCCCCTTGGGGGGTTTGCCAGTAGTTATCACGCTTGGCAGGCGGATTGGCAACCGCAGTTAGGATTTGGAGATGTTTTAAGAGGGACACTGCTGCTCATCCGTCGCCCTACCTTAGTCGCCTCTTATGGCACCCACGGGAAAAGAAGGGATGGCCCATTCTATCCCGGGATCTATTAATTTTAGTAAGAATGACTAAGTAAATAACCCAGAGGAAGACTTTGCACAAGTCGTTTGCTTGGGCATCTCTATCCCTTTCGTGTTTCTACCGTGAAGCAGTTGTGTTTGCATGGCTGTGTTTCGGTTTGAAGGGTGGGATATGGCGGTGGGATAAATTATACGGTAAAGAGGAATAACACCTGAGTCCTCAGGAATGACAACGCACGGAGGGGTATCATGGGCGAAACAGTATACTCTGTTATGTCCATGATACTGTTCATATCTATAGGCGACAGTTACCATAATTTTCAGGTGGGCCGTCACCTTGTTTGTCATTCTAAGTTGTATAAAAAAAAATGCTTCAATGATCATGTTTGTAACATTTATAACATGTAAATTGCTTGACGTTAACCGCAGCACTTTATCGCTGTTTGTTGCAATGTGAATATCGCTGTGCGGTAGAATTACTAGAATTTTGAAATATGTAATGGCTTTTTAATTAGATGGAGTAGTTACTTAATTAAGTACAATTTATTAATGACTTATAGACATATTTTTAAGTTGTTATATCCCACTGCAGGGCTTAACTGGTTAATTATTAAAATGAAAAGTATGTTCTATAAAATTATTCAAAAGTAAGCTATGTGACTATCTATCCTTCCTAATATTATAAATGTGAAAGTAAGTTTGTTCGTTTGTTACCTTATAACGCCTTAACGGTGTAACCAATCACTGTGAAATTTGGTATACTTACATATATGGGATGAAGAGGGATATAGAATTTTATGAAATTTTATCCTAGTCACGCGGAGAAAGTCGCGGGTAAAAGGTAGTTAACAAAACATATTATTAAAGTGATGTTTGCATGACTGTGTTTCGGTTTGAAGGGTGGGATGTGGCAGTTAATTTACTGGGTACAGAGGAATAACACCCGAGTCCTCAGGAATGGCAACGCGTGGGGGGTATCATGGGCGAAACAGTATACTCTGTTATGTCCATGGTACTACTCATGTCTATAGGCGACGGTTACCACTTTCCATCAGGTGGGCTGTCAACATGTTTGCCATTCTAAGTTGCATAAAAGAAAAAAGAAAAAAATACCACTAAAGTGACGTTTTCCTAAGAAAAAAAAAGTAGATGTAATGACATATGTATATTACCTATTTTAATTTAATTCTCATAGTTACTTTTAAACTTTCGCGTTGTTTACACATATTTTAAATACACAATTGGGACTTGACGCGATGAAAAATTTTTGCAGGCAAAATAGTACCTACATACCTGCTTCTTTAATGCCGACATTTCGACGTCGATCCCACCCACGTCGTGGTTACGACAGGACATTTCTTATAGCTTTAACTCCCAATTGTGTATTTAAATCTCTGATAATTTAAACAACATATTTATCTATATGTCCGTCCTTGAGAGGTTACTCATAGAAAGCTCATTATATTTTTATCACCAACTGTTATTTGTGACTCACAAAGTAAATTTTCGTTTGGAAATGTAAATAGATAGATAGATAGATACTCTTTATTGTTTCCTCCAAAAGATTACAATAGTAAACTTATTATAGATAGAAACAATTACAAGAAATAATCACAATGAGAAAAAAATGGGCTTCCTTATCACTGAAAGCGATCTCTTCCAGGCAACCTTTGGGTGGAGAGAAGTAATTATAAACAATTTGGTGGGAGGCACGATGAAAAATTTTGTTAGTTCTAAATATGGGAGATGTGATACATATCGTCACAGTCGTAGAATACTGACGGATCTGACAAAGATTACATATATATATCCGTCAGTATTCTACGACTATGACCATATAATATTATAAATATTATCCTTACTTATTATTATAGTTTTTATTTCCGTCTTATGCATAATGGAATATTAATTTCCCATGATAAAAGTATCCTATTTCTCTTTTTAAATCCCAAATTTTATTTGTATACCAAATTTTGTGACGGTTGATAATGGCGCCAAGAGGTAAGTAAGAATTTAAAATAGACACAAAATATACATAAGTCTTTTTATTTTTATCAATACTTCTATACTAATATTATAAAGAGAAAGTATGGTAATGCAGTCCCATTGTTAGCAATATACCTATCAGGTCGACCTCCACGTGGTTCCCCCTGGAAGCCATCGTGCTGAATTTTAGGTGTATTCGTCACGGTGGGCTAATTATCCTGCCCTTTCATGCTCACCTATCATCCCTCACTGGTGCCCCGTCAGCGTATACCGTTAGCGTAGGCGGGGTTACCATTTCGGTATTGTACGCCGGTTTCTCTCCCTGGGGCCCTGAACTCCGGCCGACTGTGCTTCTGCCGGGGATTAGTTTGCCATCTCCTCTCCTTAAGAGGGGAGACGTGAATTTTCTAAAAATTTAAAAAATAATAATAATAAATGACAATTAGTAAATGCGTCATAAATGTAATAAGTACTAAATAATTATTAGTCAACATAATTGTTAGTAACTAATTAGTAACTTAGTAATTAGTGCCACTAAAATTTACCTACCATTGGTAAAAGCAACATAATGAACGCCGACATTAGTACGATAAAGTTCTCGTATTAATAATTAAGAGATAACATTCATACTGTTATATCGAATTAGTATTTGACAATAGGCGTTTTGTATTATTTTTGTATTTTATTTAAAACTTGAAAATAATTACTCGACTCCAACACATAATCGCGTCGTTATATAACGTCAAGAACTATGTGAATAATTGAGATGTATTTGTTTGTATATTTGTGCTACATTTAATGCAATGCGACCACGTTACGTTATCTACTATTGTGAAGTACTCGCGCTTGGCACACTTTAGTTTTGGTAATAGTTCTTTCAAAGAAGACGTCTCGTCACGGAACGTATTTGATTTTTTTTTTTTCGGTTAATTAATGATTATAGTATTTCCCGCCTTTTTCCTTGTCATTGTGGTTCTTAAATAAGGTATACATAAATTTAACTGCTTCAATAAGTGATAACTATATGTTTATTATGTGGGAAAAAATAAGGAAAACACTGTTATGAATTTATGATAAAAACACAGTTTGTTTCGTACATTTATAAGCTCTTTATTAAATTATTTATCTTTCTACGAATCTATTTCTAAACGACTTAAGTGAGCTGTTTTTAATTTTCTGGCTGTTTTTTTTTTTGTGTATATTATATCTTCAGCATGTTATCAAATTACAACAATTGTTTACTTGCAGCGTTACTGTCTACATAATAATGTATGTAGTTTAAAAGACCGAGGACAAAACACTGGAATATCTATAATTATGTTAGAATCACATTTTTATAATGAGAAGTATATAATTTATTAGCATCTATTTTTGAAAATAGAATATTCCGCGTTTGCGAAAGTATCACGATTTTTTTTTTAATATAATTAGTTTAAGCGCTCAGTCATTAATTTATATAGTTTCGCATCTCTCTATATCGTTATAAATATTAATAGGAATATAGTATAGTTTTTTTTTAATGGGTGATAATGGAATGGTAACCCCACCCGTGCTATCGGTATACACCGACGCAGCACCAGTGAAGGATGATAGGTGAGAAAGAAGCAGGTCAGTTAGCCCATCGTGACGAATTCAACAAGAATTGTTCACGATGGTTTCCAGGGGAAACCGCGTGGAGGTCGACCTGATAGGGCATATTGCTAGCAATGTCGAACTCCATTGCTAACAATCCCTTTCCTCCTGTAGTATAGAGATAGTAGATAGATGTGTTATTTACAGTATATCAGTATAGACGACTATCCGAGCCCCGTACTAAATCTTATATATAAATTTCTCGTGTCACGGTGTTTGTTACCAAACTCCGAAACGGCTTTACCGATATTTATGAAATTTTGTGTGCATATTGGGTAGGTCTGAGAATCGGCCAACATCTATTTTTCATACCCGTAAGTGACAAGGGTGACCCACCCCAAATTTTTTTTTTTATTTTTTGACAATTTTTTTTAACTTTTATTTTATTATAATTTAGCATTGGAAAATACATACAACTTTAAATTTTCATCGTTTTACGATCAACCCCTGTATTTTAATCGCGACTTTTATATTTCGCAATAAATGGTAAAACAACGTTTACGGGGTCAGCTAGTAATCAATATAATTATAAATAATAATTATATTAACGCATTATGGGTAGATATCGTGTCGATTCGTTATATTTATTGAAGTGAACTGTTTTTGTACCTTTTATTGGAACTTGTTTACTTTGACGCCGCTGGATTTATTAATATTTATCAACATCGACGCGAGCGAGTGACCATCTATAATATCATCTTTCCCCGAGTCTATAGAAGTTATATCTCTAACTCGCGATTATGTACGTTCTAGTTACAAAGATAAGATTTATCAAGTAATGCTTTATTTTTCCTCTAATAAAAAATGCACCGCCTACGTATTTCTCTGTTAGCCCAATGGTTGGCTGGTAGAGAACACCGTCCGGTTTTAAGTATGCCATATGTACATAGAATTTTACTGTGCATTAAAGTTTAAATAAATCACCAGTATCTACTAATGTAATGTATGTAAACGTATGATAGGGACATTAACGGGCCATTGTCCATTAAACAAACATTTATACACAATAGGAGCCACAGACAGCCCTCTATGTCGAGGCTGTTTCGACGCCGAAGAAACGGCTGCTCACGTACTCCTGGAATGTTAGACTGTGGCCCATCAACGTTTAGAAATCCTCGGAACGGTGAGGTCGCTCCGTGAGGCCTGTGGAGTACCCAGGAAGCTTCTGCGCTTCTGAGCGGAGCTAGGTTGGCTGTACTAGCCACGACTCATACGCACAACGGCCCAAATGAGAGGCTAAGCGCGGAAAACAGAGTCTTTCTCACATTCACATTCACACACACAGTATCTACTAAGCGACATTTGTCAAATAGATAATAATAATAATCTTTATTTCAAACAGAAGATTACAAAATTGCTTAACAACGGTCCCCATATGGGTCGAGCCTGTATCTGGGGAACCTATTAACTATTAACATATGGACGGTAGGGAAAAAAAAATAAAATTATAATGTAAAAAATTTGACGTTCATAAGCGGCTAAAATGTCCTACATGAATAAATGATTTTTGAATTTTGAATTTTGATAGATATAATTTTAATATAAATATATATATAATAATTTTTAATAGTGTGTGTGTGTGTGTGTGTGTAAACATTTCTAACTTATATGTATAGGCAGCTCTATTTTTTACCTTGCACTAGGAATCCAGTCTAGTTCCGCGCTTGTAGTTAGAATTTTCGAAAATAAAATATGTATAGCCTATGTTTATTCGTTGATAATTTAACTTTCTATGGGTGAAAGAATTTTTAAAGTCGGTTGAGTAGTTTTCGGGTTTATTTATTATAACCATATAAACCTTTCCGCCTGGGAGCGAAAGGGATTGTTAGTAATGGAGACTGAGAATCCCATTGCTAGCAATATACCCAACCAGATCGACCTCCTCACGATTCTCCCTGGAAACTATCATGGTTAATTCCTGATGAATTCATCATGATGGGCTAACTGGCCTGTTTTCATTCTCATCTATCACCCTTCACTGGTGCTCCGCCAGCGTATCCCGTTAGCGTAGGCGGTGTTACCATACCATTTTCACCCATCAAAAAAAAACCTTTCCGCCTTATAATATTAATGTAGATAAAGAAATAATGTTTGCCTAAATATATTGATAATTTATCATAAAACTACTATATTTACTTATTTATTTACACCATTTAAAAAATAATAAATACAGTAAATATTGATGAGAAGTGATACAAAAGGCGGCCTTATGGCTACTATATTTTTTGCTTTCATCGTATTTAGTATAAATTACGAATTAGTATGTTTTTTGTGTCCTGTAAGATTTTCCTTGTTAAAATTTAGAGATAACGGGCCGAATTTTCGGGCTCAATTTCGTGTTTTTGTTCGTACCGAAATCGGCCCAGTAAATGGAGTTTAACATTTTGTTCATCATAAATCCTATCCTAATAGTCCAGAGGAACGATATTTTAACATTTTTAATAATTTTAAACGGCATGTATTATGTATTTTTAACATCAAATTTCTGTTTCGTGCGTCCCCGAAATTTCGGAAAATAGGTCCCCTGATAGGTCCTCACGTTCATGATAGGCCCCCTGATTCTGAGGCACCATTTCCCTAAATTTATTTCTTAACCTAATAATTTAACTTTATGGTTTCGCTAAATTACTGTTTTATAGACCACCATTGACTATATTTATAACATTTATTGTATTAGAAATGCAGTTCATTGACCTTAAGTACTGTGGTCGGGTCGATTTGGATCGTAGCCCCCACATTTTATTTTTTTACAACTTAGAATGGCAAACAATCTGACGGCCCACCTGATGGAAAGTAGTAACCGTCGCCTATAGACATGAGCAGTACCGTGGACATAACAGAGTATACTGTTTCGCCCATGATACCCCCCATGCGTTGCCATTCCTGAGGACTCAGGTGTTATTCCTCTGTACCCAGTAAATTCACGCCATATCCCACCCTTCAAACCGAAACACAGCCATGCAAACACAACTGCTTCACGGTTGAAACACGAATGGGACAGAGGTACCCAAGCAATTGACTTTTGTACAAAGTCTCCCTCTGGTGACACCACCACATTCATAGTTGCGAGTGTATTTGTTTATTTAACATATTTGTTATGCAGTTTACAAGGACCCCGACGAGTTTTCCTGGGAGAGCTACCTGTCGGAGACTGGCGCGTCGGCGGCGCCGCCAAGAGCGTTCAAGACCCGGCCGCCGCAGGGGTTCAAGCCCGGCATGAAGTTGGAAGTGGTTGATCCGAGGGTAATTATATTCTCTCATCTTTCTAGCTGCAGTTAGGTGATGGTAGCTCAATTGAACAGTGCTTGACTGAATTTTTGAAATTCATGTCTTTTTTTTTATGCATAATAATGGAACGGTGACCCCGCCTGCGCTAACGGTATACGCTGATGAGGCACTAATGACGGATGATAGGTGAGAATGAACAGGCAGGTCAGTTAGCCCATCGTGATGAATACACCTGGAATTTAGCACGATGGTTTCCAGCGGTGAACAAAAAAAAGAGCACACGTTCAATATAGATAGCAGTTTTACTATCGCATGCTTTTTCTACTTTAAGGTCTACTTTAAGGGACAGCGACCATAGATTGCAGTCTCATAATCATATCAAAAGTTATAGACAATTCCACTGCAAGTCATAGACATTTCTCAATTTTTTTTTTTTTTTTTTTTTATAAAATTATTTATGTCACATGTAATCTCTTATCGATATCACTATCTGTCCACTATTATCAATTTGCATGATATTAATTGTTTGTAAATACCGAGAATATCATATCTGTCTGTAATTGTACAAACTCTAAACTCAAATATACTTTATTTAGACTCGTGTACAAGCAACTTTGAATCTTAATTTGTCGTTTTAATTGTTATCTAAATAGATACTGTCAAGAAGAAATTTGGTAGTTGGGTACAATTGTAATATCCGCCATTTTTATATTTTTTACTAGTGGTATCCCGCAGCTATACCCATATGAATCAGTACATACAGTATCCTATGTACGAGGTCTGTCCGGAAAGTTCGTATAAAAGTGTTCTGGAATGCGAGAAAGAGGAGTGGGGAGGCCAGGTAAGCGCAGGACCCCTTCCTTATGTCCCTAACAATGCTTCAGTTCTGGTCTGACCGCCGTGCGGTGCGATCTGGCTTGTCACGCCATCTGTGAAGTTACCTCTTAACGAAACCCCGTCGGCATGGAGCCCGCTTCCGTTGAAGAGCAGCGCGTCGTAATCAAGTTTCTCTCGAAACTCGGCAAGAATGGCCGTGAAATTTTTGCCGATCTCAGAACAGTTTATGGGGATGATGCTGTGAAGGAACCAAACAAGTGGCTAAAAAGATTCAGAGAGGGCCGAGAAAGCGTTCAAGATGACCCACGTTCAGGACGTCCTTCCACTTCACATTCCGACGAAAACGTGGAAAGAATTCGAACTTGTGTTAATGGGGACCGTCGTTTAACGGTCAGACAGGTGGCTGAAGAGCTTAATTTGGGCAAAACCGTGGTCCACGAAATTATAAGAAAAGAAATTCAAATGAAAAAAATTTGCGCCAAGATCGTTCCGTGAGTTTTTGATAAAAATTCCATTACGGTGACCGAACACCCCCCTATTCGCCGGATTTGGCCCCGTGTGACTTCTTCTTGTTCCCAAAAACCAAATTGGTACTTCGGGGGCGGCATTTGGGGGACATAAATGAGATAAAAAAAGCTACGACGGGGCAGCTGAGAAACCTACAACCAGAGGACTTTCAAGGAGCCTTCTCACAGTGGAAACGGCGTTGGCACAAGTGCATTATGTCACAGGGGGAGTACTTTGAAGGGGATAAAATTGATTTACCTGAACAATTGTAAAATAAAATTTTTAAAAAACTTTTATACGTACTTTCCGGACAAACCTCGTACTAAGTTAGGATATATCCTGCCCGTGTACCAAATCTCATTCGAATCTGTTAAGTATTTTTTGCGTGAAAAAATAACAAACATTCACACTTACAAACTATCACATTTATAATAGTAATAGGGTGCAACTAGAAGAAATAGACTGATCTGATAATCTGCAGTGGGGCCGCCAATCCCCTTTACAGGAGACCAGGGCAAACTGATTTGACTTCTCTGACATCGTGCCAACGTGTGTCGGTAGCGCAGGTGGCATAACCATTGCATTTTCATCCATTAAAAAAAAAATGAGTAGTTAACATAGGTTTCAGTTATCAAGTTGCAACTGATCACCAGGTGCCGTTTCTGATCCGCGTGGCGAGCATTAGCGAAGTGAAAGGTCACCAGGTGCGCGTATCGTTCGACGGCTGGCCCGACGAGCTAGCCGTCTGGATGGACGACGACTCGCCCGACATACACCCCGTCGGATGGTGCCTCAAGACCGGCCACCCGCTTGAACCGCCGCTCAGTGAGTACCATTGGGTTTAAATAATTAAGTTCATTGTATATGTATTTATAATAAACTAAATATATCCCACGGGTTTGCTCACGTGAGTCTGTATAGATTAGGATGTAACCTACCCGTGTAAAAATTCAATAGAGGAAAAAAAAATTGTTTTTTTGAGACCCTATTAATGAAAGCAGTGTTTTATGTCACACCTGTTTCAAAGGGCTTCCTAATGTCCAGATTAATAGCTGGAGCTTACTCAATTACCACCTATGCATGTGTTAAATAAACTCTAAATACCACCTGGGGGAAAGGGATTTTTAGTAATGGAGACTCAGAATCCCATTGCTAGCAATATACCCAACCAGGTTGACCTCCTCGCTGTTCCCCCTGGAAACTATCATGGTTATTTCCTGACGAATTCATCACGATGGGCTAACTGGCCCGTTTTTATCCTCACCTATCACCCTTCACTGGTGCTCCGCCAGCGTATCCCGCTAGCGTAGGCGGGGTTACCATACCATTTTCACACAATAAAAAAAAAACTCAAAGACCACCATTGGAATGTCCGGTAAACAGCGGTGCCTTGTGTGATATGTAAAGTGTGCGTTTTGGTTCCGCAGCGGCTGAGGAGCTGGCGGTGGAGGGCCCGTGCGGCGTGGGCGGCTGCCGCGGGCTGGGCTCGGCGCGCGGCGGGTCGCACAAGACGCACGGCGCCGCCTCCGCCTGCCCATACCGCGCCCGCCGCCCGCACGCCGCCGCCGCCGCCGCCGCCGACCGCCTCGCGCCGCACCTGCAGCCCGCCGACCGCGCGCTGCCGCGCTCGCGCAGGTAACACTACCACTCTCTTTCGTTTATACAACTTAGAATGGCAAACAAGCTGACCGCCCACCTGATGGAAAGTCGTAACCGTCGCGTATACACATGAGCAGTACCATGGACATAACAGAGTATAGTGTTTCGCCCATGATACCCCCCATGCGTTGCCATTCCTGAGCACTCAGGTGTTATTCCTCTGTACACAGTAAATTCACGCCGTATCTCACCCTTCAAACCGAAACGCAGCCATGCAAACACAGCGTCACGGTTGAAACACGAATAGGACAGAGATACCCAAGCAATCGACTTTTGTACAAAGTCTCCCTCTGGTGAAAACCTCCCTCTGCCCGGTGTATCGTCATTTACAAACGTCTTCTTGTCGAGTTGTAACGCATCATTTGAATAAACATTTACATATTGTATTTCTTTTCCAGGGTACATCCGAAAGCACCAAAGTCAATAAACACCAGTACTCCGACTAGTGATACCAAAGAAAAGTACGTATTGACATTAATATTTGTTATTCTTTTCTTTACTGAAGTATTTTTAAGTGATTTTTGAATATTATTTTATTAGGCCACAACGAGGCAGACCACCGAAGCACAAGCGAGTGGACGAAGTCACGAAGAACGATCCGGTGAGTGAAGCCAAGTGTCGAGCTAGTGTAATGGTTGTTAGATCGAAATAGATTTAAGTTAACCAACCATTGTAGAACAAATAGTGTTGTGTTAATGTTGCATTTTCGTTTGATAAATGTCTTATTACCAATTTATAACAAAAAATATGATCACAGTGAGTATTGCCTGAAAATGATTACATACGTTCATAATAACATGTACGCCATTTTTTTTTAAACGGGTGATAATGGTATGGTAACCCCGTCTACGCTATCGGTATACACTGGCGAGGCACCTGTGATAGATGACTGCTGAGGATGAAAGCAGGTCAGTTAGTCCATCCCGACGAATTCAACTAGAATTAGCCACGATGGTTTCCAGAAGGAACCACGTGAAGGTCGACCTAACAGGGTATATTGCTAGTAATGGAGCTATTTGACCCCATTACTAATAATAAGTGTGTAAGACAATGTTACCTATATTTATAATGGTATTGTGCATGGCAGGCGTCGGACGACGAGTCAGTGTCGAGCGGCGGCTGGAAGCGGTGGCGGGCGAGCGAGCCGCCGCGCGCGCGCCGAGCGGCCGCTGCGCACGTACTCGCGCTCGTCCGCCGCGCCGCCGCCCGCCGCGCACCACCCGCCCCACCCGCCGCCACACTCGCCACACTCGCCACACTCGCCACACTCGCCACACTCGTCCCACTCGCCAGCCAGGGCCATGCTAGCGCGGCACTTCGCTGAACTCGACCTGCCCTCCGATCCCACCGTCTGGACGCAGGTTAGTGACATATTCTTAATTATTAAGAGTTGTTACTCACGATAAGTTTCGATATAGTCGACGTAACATTGTCAACCGATTTCAAAAAAGAAGATTTAATTTGGTTGTATTTTTTATGTTTGTAACTTTATAATTTCCTATAAACAAATTAAATGATTTTTTATTTGCAGAGATAAACTTTAATGATTTAGTCTTAAAATAAAGACAACTAATTATGCCACGATTATATTTTGTTTTATTTTTTGTGGAACAATAGATAAATTATTATGGAATTTTTCAGTCAATTTTCATGATTTTGAAATGCTATTGAAAAACATATTAGAGGACAATTAAAGCACTCCACCATTTTGTATTGATAAAATATAGGCAAGTCCATTACTCTGTTCATGTGCTAAATGAAGTATTTGCAATGCATTGAACACATATTGAACTTAACGTAACAAGCGTGAAGCTGCCTCAGTGCTGTCTATCTAATTAATCAATACAACTATATACGTAAGAATGTAATATGAAGATGCTAAGATAATGCAATGTAACAACAGAAGGAAGTGGTGGCGCTAGTATCGCGCATCGGCGGCGAAGCAGCAGGCACGCTGGCGGCGCGCGCGCGGCTGGCGGGCGCGGAGCTGGTGATGGCGTCGTGCTCGGAGCTGGCGGCTGCGCTGCGCCTGCGCCTCGGGCCCGCGCTCAAGCTGCACGCCGCCGTGCGCCTGCTGCGCCGCGCCCTGCTGGCCGCGCCCGCCGCGCCCGCCGCGCCAGCCACGTCCGCCGCCTGCCACTAGGACCACACTCACCAACACATAGTGACGAGTGAAGTGAAGTGAAGTGACAATTTACATAGTCCAAATTGTTAATTTTCAATCACATTTCCTCCAATAATCAGATAAAAACTATATTCAATTGAACATTAACGTGTACAAACATATAACTGCACACTCTCCCCTCGGCTAAGTGACTAAAACACTACGAACTAGACCTAGATGTGGCTGTTCGAGCAATGGACGCCGAAGTGTGCATACATAGTGCTTCTTTAATGATTGTATGATAGTTATCATAATATAAACTAAGTGACATGGTGATCATTGTATAGTACGGACGCCGTTTGATCTCTAGTATCGTGCAATACAGTGTTGTAAATGAATATATGTGAAGACATGAAATTGCTCATTGTGACTCTCAAGTGTTGTTAATTTAATAGTACTAAAAAAATTTAATATAATCGGCCCCCGAGCTTAAGATTTATTATTTTGATATTTGTACTAAATCACTGAATATTTTTGTAAATAATTTGTGTAATTATAGTCAATTTGCAGTTGACAATATTAAGTGAGAGTTAATTTTAATTTGCATGAAGCAATAATATGAAATTAGCACAAAATAGATGAAGATCATGCTTTAAATGAACTGGTTGTGATAGTGTGAGATCTATTTTGTGTCGTGTAATTGATTGGGCATGTATTTTAGTCCAACTTGAAATTATTTCGAATTAATTTGATCACAAATTAAATACTTTTGCAAATTGGAATAGTTAAATTATTAGAGATATATGAATGTATGCTGGATAGTGAGCCTAATCGGATTTTAATCGAAAATGTTAACAGAAAATCATATCAAAGAATCAAGAGAGTTTTATATATCTGACTATATGCTTAGTTATTTTTTTATTAATCACATTTTTTCATATATTGTCCAGATTTCAATTAATGATTACCATTTACATACAATGAACACACATACAGAAGAATGGGCAGTAGTGTCTCCCTTAAAACATCTTTATACGCCTAACTGCAGTTGCTAACCCACCTGCCAAGCATGGCAACTACTGGCAAAGCTTCCCTTATGGAAAAACTTATGTTCATCAGAGGACAGTTAAGGGTTAAAATGATGATGTTGATTTAAAGTAAATTTTCAATTCAAAGTAAATTTGGACATAAGAGAGTCCTACTCTATGTATGGGGCTTTATACTATACTAGCATTTACCCGCGACTTCGTCTGCATGGCCAGAATATGTTCTTAATCCAGTTAAAATGTTGCCTGTATTCTTCATCCCATATAGTATGTGTATACCAAATTTCATAGTGATTGGATAAGCTGTTAAGACATTATAAGGTAACACAAACAAACTTACATTCACACACACACACACACACACACACACATATATATATATATATATATATATATATATATATATATATATATATATATATATATATATATATATATATATATATATATATATTCTGTGGGTCTCGCAAAATTTCACCATAAAATATGACCACCCATCTAGTAAGCGTCAAATGCCAGTCTATTCTATGACTATTTCCATTTACAGTGATTTATAATATGTAAATAATTTTTCATAACTTACTTAGTGCAATTTAGTATTTATTCAACACAGTCATTTTGCTAAGTTTCTAATGTGTATAATTTGTAATTTTAAAATATGATTTTTTTATTAAAACTATAGGAGCTTAATTTCGCAAAGTTATATATGAATTTTCTTTTATTACATAGCACTTGATAACTTGGTACCTCTTATTGATAAATGATACTACGCAGTAGGCATGTGTAATATTGGCACTGTTCCAATATCAATATATTGGTTTTTTTTTGGACATTGGTGATGGTAAAAAGGTTATCACCCATTTCGATATTCTGTACCAATCAGCCAGTCTACCATGAAATGAAATTCCGAAATTTCGGACTCAATTTCGTGTTTTTGTTTATACCAAAATCGGATCAATAAATGGAGTTTAACATTTCGTTCGTCATACATCCTATCATAAAAGTCCAAAGGAACGATATTTTAACATTTTTAATATTTCCAAACGACATGTATTATGTAATTTTAACAGCAGATTTCTGTTTCGTTTGGCTCCGAAATTTCGGAAAACATTTCATGGCAAGCCCTCAGATATCTATGTTAATTTCGATCGTGTTCTTAATTTCGACATTAAATATTGGATAACAGACATTTAGCTTATTCGTTATTGGATCAATAGATTGATATTGTAACTAATATATATATATATATATATATATATATATTACCCCTACTATGCAGTGGTAACCAATATTGTACATTTAATGTATTGGCGCATTCCAACAGGTACTAAGTGCAGTTAGCCGAGTTGTATATGTATATAAATAATTTTTTGTCGCTCAATAAATGCGCTGATAAGCTAGGGATTTCATTTCTGTATCTATTAATATATTAACCAATAGTGTAAGTTGGAATTCTATTTTTTCACCAATAATTTGTTACTTAATAATATTATTACATTGATGTAGCTTCATATTAGTTTGCGTCAATTAAAATATTTTTGTTCTAAAAAGGAACGTTGGAGATAATATAATATTATGTATATATTATATAGTACTTAGGTTCTGCAATCTTATTTTGGCCATACACTTTTAGGCCAATGAATAAATTATAAATTTTATATTGTGATGTTTGTTAATGAAACCTTTTTTTGTAAAAAGGTTACTTATAAATGGATTACTTTGTGTTATATAAAATATATTGAGATATAATACTAGCGAAACGCTTGAGACTTCCGTGTAGTAAATTTTTATGTAATTTTTTTTAAGTAATGTAGAGCCCTAAATATGGGATATATTGGCTGTACTTATTTGAGTACAATTTCACATATACATCCTGGCTCGAAAGACAGTTATACTATCGCATAATAAAAAAATTCTAACGAAAATGTATTAATGTATACATGTGAATGTGAATGAGAAAGACTCTGTTTTCCGCGCTTAGCCTCTCATTTGGGCCGTTGTGCGTGTGAGTCGTGGCTAGTACAGCCAACTTAGCTCCGCCCAGAAGCGCATAAGCTTCCTGGGTTCTTCACAGGCCTCACGGAGCGACCTCACCGTTCCGAGGATTTCTAAACGTTGATGGGCCACAGCCTCACATTCCAGGATTACGTGAGCAGCCGTTTCTTCGGCGTCGAAACAGCCTCGACATAGAGGGCTGTCTGTGGCTCCTATTGTGTATAAATGTTTGTTTAATGGACAATGGCCCGTAATGTATTAACATTTTCATTAGAATTTTTTTATTACCTAAAACGTTTCAATTGTCTCTACAATAATATATAATTGTATTTTTATGAATCCAATAATAATTGTAATATACAACTTATCCAGATAGGAAGCGGGGAATAAATTGTAAATCTCATGGAAAGTGATGTATATATTCAATTAGGAAAGACTTAATTTATATATTTTTCAATTATTTAATTTTTATTTTTATTTATGTAGGCATGGTAAAAATATTTGAATCATTGCTTTTTATCGTTTGTATTCTGCTCTTGTAATGAAGAATACATGTCAGTCATGAAATTGTTACATAGTTATTTAGATAATTATGTAAATATATGTTGTTCAGACGGGCTACACAACTATTTTTATATCGTGGCCATGTACAAAGTGAGATAGTGGTAAATAGTGTAAGTTTTTACACGACGCTGATAGTGCCAGCCACTGCTGACACGAGCTATTCTAAAATGTTGTTCTGTAATTTAATAAAACTTTGTGAAAAGAAAACCTTTTATTTATATATACTGTAGGTTACTTTAAACCATATTCACTTGTAAGTTATTGCAACAAGCTTTCAATTGCAGCTAGATGGGCAGCTAAATGACGTTTAAATAAAACAGATCAAACCTATCGAACTAGGGGGGAAAGGGATTGTTGGCAATGGAGTTTGACAGCCCCATTGCTAGCAATATGCCCTATTAGGTTGACCTCCACGTGGTTCCCCCTGGAAACCATCGTGAACAATTCTTGTTGAATTCGTCACGATGAGCTAACTGACTTGCTTCATCCTCACCTATCATCATCCCTCACTGGTGCCCCGCCGGTGTATACCGATAGCGCGGGTTACCATTCCATTATCACCCATTAAAAAAAAAACATCGAACTACAGGCCTATTGCTATCGTTTCCCTTCTCTCCAAAGTGATGGAGCGCGTGACCAATTCACAACTCTTCGGATATTTATTTATTTATACTTTTGTACACATTGGAAAATGTCTACAGGGTGGATATCTATAGGATCAAGACTTATTGATGCGAGCGACTGCCAATATTAAGAAAACCCCATCTGCTGTAGATCCGAAATTTCAGAACATGTTCGATACCGTCGCCAACATTGGATTTCTTGGTGTTGACATTTCCCAGTATTCCAGTTGGATTCCGAATTTATTTGTAGGACAAGGTCGAGCTGGACTACCTGACCTGCTTTCATCCTGACCTATCATCTCTGATGCCCCGCCAGCATATGCCTATAGCGCAGGCGGAGTTACCATTTCTTTACCCATTAAAAAAATATCTTATGAAGGTACGCGTTAATTCTGTTACGTATAAAGCCCACTTAATTTCCGATCCCCTTAAATATCGTCATCATCATTTCAGCCATTATTGGTCCACTGCTGGACATAAGACTGCTCCCCCATAATTTTTTTTATACAATTTAAAATGGTAAACAAGCTGACAGCCAACCTGATGGAAAGTGGTAACCGTCGCCTATAGACATGTGCAGTACCATGGATGAGTACCCAAGCAAACGACTTTTGTACAAAGTCTTCCTCTGGTGAATGTTATAAGGAACGGTCCTAAGCTACCTGCATGCACTGTCCTGCAATGCATTTCAGCTATCGAGATACACTGGCGGGGCACCAGTGAAGAATGACAGGTGAGAATGAAAAGACAAGTCAGTTAGCTCATCATGACGAATTCCACTAGAATTAACCACGACGATTTCCAAGGGGAACCGCGTAGAGGTCGACCTGATAGGGTGTATTGCTAGCAATGGGTCTATTAGACCCCAATTACTAACAATCTCTTTCCCCCAAAAGTTATATTTGAGTGATATTTTTTATCAAGTAGTGTTTAAATATTTCGATTTTGATGAAATAAAAAAAAATTAAGTAAATGCAAAGATTTTAATGGTAGATTTGTATAAAACGTATTCTATGATTAATGTTTTAGTTCGCTAACAGAGTACTTTTTAAATAATCAGTCAAAAACATTCAAAAATGTTAGATATTTTTTTGAAAATTTGTAAAATGGCGCAATGCGTCGTTGCAACACTTCGGTGGATAAGCAAAATTTATAAATCAGCTCGCTTTACTGCACTATTACATAGAAAGAGAACAAGTACTATTCCTAGTCTATGGTATTTGGCATTGGCATTACATTTAAAGCATTTGCATAAATTTAATTTTCACCCATTTACCCTAGAGTTAGGGAAAAATGATCTAGTATGGTAATTTCTAGAGTAAATTGGTTTTAGATTTGAATTTGATTTATTTGAGCTATTTTATAATTGCTTTTTTCTATTTTTATGTCGACAAGAATTATCATTTCATAAATATTTTTCTTGTATTTTTCTAATTAAATTATTTAATCTTTTTTCTAACATTTTTTTAAACTTATCTGCAGTATAGAGATTACGCATGAGGTAAATTCTGTGCTACATCATGGGTAAAATAATTTGAAGATTTGGCAATACTTGTCGATTCGTCTTGTTGTTTTGTGGTATAATAATTCTATATTTTTATTTCATTTAAATCTTTAACTCTTGAAAATTTAGCTAAACTGGATGAAAAATGGCCCTTTACTGTGCAAGTGAGTATATGATTCTTTATAATAAATGCTCTTTTAACCAATTTTGTAACTGCGTCTCCCGCGCTTACCGGGTTACTATTTTAGAGCTACTTAAAAGTTAAACTGCTAGCAATTAATAATGTTGGATACGTACACGATATAATTATAATCTACACAATATATTTAAATAGTTTTTTAGTAATAACATTTATGTTTCTATATACATTGGAATTCAGAAATAACCTCACTTTCAGTATCAAATGAAGTCCCCGAATTTCCTGTAGTGTCTCCCACATCGGGCGCTGTATTTGAGAAGCGAATTATAGAGAAGTACATCATAGAAAATGGTGTGGATCCGATTAACGGGAAAGAATTGCGAGTGGAAGATCTTATTGAAATTAAAAGTAAGTTAACCATAACTGGTTTGGCTTTCTATGATAGATTAATGTATATATATGTTTGATTTTTTTTTTTTTTAATTTATTCATGACCATGGATACAAGTCCTTCAGTCGTATATGTTTAATATGCTAAACAACGTTGACATATCTATTTCCTGAAATCAACAAACTGCTAAGTGATTTTGTGTTTTATGATTATTTTAATATATGTCATTATTGATTTGATTGATTTTTCAAACTGTAAAGGCTTCACTATATTACATGTATGTAATATTATTTAAATATAAATTATAAGGGTCTCTGCATATATTGTTATACCCTTATAGGTGTCATGAAATGATTATAGGATTTTATGCACTCTTTGTGTATATGTATTGTATTTTATGATACTCATTAAAATATTGATTTGTTTATTATTGTATATTGTCGATTGTTTGGATACCTCTGTCCCATTCGTGTTTCAACCGTGAAGCAGTTGTGTTTGCATGGCTGCGTTTCGGTTTGAAGGGTGGAATATGGCGTGAATTTATAGGGTACAGAGGAATAACACCTGAGTCCTCAGGAATGGCAACACATGGAGAGTATCATGGATGAAACAGTATACTCTGTTATGTCCATGGTACTGCTCATGTCTATAGGCGACAGTTACCACTTTCCATCAGGTGGGCCATCAGCTTGTTTGCCATTCTAAGTTGTATAAAAAAAATATGTTTTTTTTAAATAACCATTTTCATTAAAAGTACATGCTGTGATCATTTACCAAATAATTCATGTATTATAAAAATAATAGTTTGTCTATGCTTAGACTGTTCAAATTACATTTATTATACTTCTTGCAGCCCCACCTATAGTGAAGCCTAAACCACCCAGTGCCACATCTATACCAGCAACCTTGAAGAGTATGCAGGATGAATGGGATGCTCTAATGCTTCATACTTTCACACAGAGGCAGCAGCTGCAGACTGCTCGTCAGGTGAGTTTTAACAGTGGTGTATTTTTTTATTAGTATAAATCTATAACTTCAGGGTGTAACTTATTGCAATGTAATTTTTTTTTATTATACTTGGCACACAAGTTGACTTAATGGAAAGTGGTAATTATTGTCTATAGACAAAACTCTACCATGGATCACAATCTGTGCCTACATTTTTGAGAAAATAGACATATGTAATTTTTTTGTTACATATTATTCTACCATCATTTCTTCTTTGTAACAGGGATTTATTTTAATCTTTTAATATTACAATAGAAAAAATATAATTTTTTTTTCAAATTGTTTACAAGCCTTCAATTGGTGTGTTTTTATTATTCTATTCACCATGTGGTCCCGGCATAGAATAGGCCACCCCTTCTTTTCCCGTGGGTGTCATAAGAGGTGACTAAGAGAAGGTGAGGGATGGGCAGCAACATCCATCTTAAAATATCTCCAAAGCTTAACTTTGGTTGCCAATCTGTCTACCAAGTTTGGCAACTTGGCAAAACCCCCCTAGAGGAAGGCTTATGTTCAGCAGTGACAGTTAAAAGCTGATTAGATGATTATTCTATTGTTGGATTTGAAACCATCTATTGAAAAGAACCTGTTATTATATTTTTTATTATTTTAATACAGCATTGATGTAGATAATATAATGAACCAGGGAGAGGGGTTGTTAGGAATGGCGACATTTTCATTTCTAGCAGCAATATACCGTGGTCGATCTTAGCATGGTTCCCCTTTTAAACAATTGTGATTAATTCTTATTGGATTTGTCACAATGGGCTAACTGACCTAGTTTCATCTTCACCTATCGCCACTATGTACCAGGTAGAGAGGTTGTTCAGGTAAAGGGGTTGTTGGGAGTGGTGACATTTTCATTTCTAGCAGCAATATATATCGTGGTTGATCTCGGCATGGTTCCCCTTTGTGATTAGTTCTTGTTGGATTTGTCACAAAGGGCTAACTGACCTAGTTTCATCTTCACCTATCGCCACTCACTGGTGCTACGCCAGCATATACCGATAGCGCTGGCGGGGTTATCATTCCATTCTCACCTATTTAAAAAAAAAAGTACCTTTCTTATTGAAAGACTATATTGCATAAGTTTTAGTTATCAGACTTCTTACTCCAAAAAATTTGGCTCTTTATATTTTACTCAGTGGTTCAGCTTTTTTTTTTAATATATCCAGCAACTGTGTCACGCTATGAATTAAAATTTACTGCAGGAACTAAGTCATGCTCTTTACCAACACGACGCAGCGTGTCGTGTTATTGCCCGCCTCACAAAGGAGGTGACAGCCGCTCGTGAAGCTCTTGCTACATTGAAGCCCCAGGCTGGTATCGTTGCCCCACAACCAGTACACCAGGTATGGATATCATGGGACATATTTTTTTTATGGTTAACATTATATATTATTATGTTCACTCCATAGGTAGTTGATTATCATTTGCTTGTCATTGAATTTAAAAGTAGCTAAATTGAATTGTTTTCATAAATATTTTATATTTATCTTTTAAATTGATAAATGAATTTAAGAGGTCGGTGGTTATAAAATAAAACTCGCGTCATTATAGGGGAATCCAACTCGTGTATTAACAGTTTTACAACTTTGCAATTTAAAATACATTTGTATTAAAGCGACTTACCAAATTATACGTCTTTACTGGTCAATGATCAATCAACAACTGTCTACTGTTGGTCGTTACTTGTAGTTTATATGTCGACTATTTTGGCGGGCAAATAATTATTCCGGAAATGACAAATCACCATTTTGTAGTTAAATCAAATCAGCAACGGTGGCACTTGACAACAGTTATGATACAAATATAATAAAATATTGGTATACTAAATGTAAAGGTGCTAACATGAATTAGTGTTATTTAGCCAATGTTGTCATATTGTTAATAACCACGAAAATTCTACTAAGTTATTTTTATCTTGATTTTTAGCGATTTTTTGTCTTTCCATCGTGATAATTCCTATTACTTGAAATAATATTATGCTATCAGTAAATACGACTTAAGATATTGAGAAGAAAATGTTAGCTTAAATGAAAAGGGCTGTAAACCTCATGTTTTTGTTATTTTAATTATGTTTTATTTATTACTAGCGGCCCGTCCCGGCTTCGCACGGGTGGACATTATTACAACATTTTAAAAAGTGGTTATTGTAACATAACGATAATAGTTGGACATATAGTATTGAGATGTTTTATGTAGTTATTGATATTTTCTTCAATATTGTAGAACATACTTTTGTTCTATCACCAATAGTTTCCGCAGCGCACGCGACCAAAGATATTTTATAGTATTTTTTTTATCTAAGTTTTAGTTAGGATTTCTTATCTTTTCTAGCAATAAATATAGCATATGTTACTCGGGGTGAATGTAGCTTTCTAATAGTGAAAGAATTTTTGAAATCGGCAAAGTATTTTTTTTATACAACTTAAAATAGTAAACAAGCTGACGGCCCATCTGATGTAAAGTGTTAACCGTCGCCTATAGACATGAGCAGTACCGTGGACATAACAGAGTATACTGTTTCGCCCATGGTACCCCCCATACGTTGCCATTCCTGAGGACTCAGGTGTTATTCCTCTGTACCCAGTAAATTAACGCCATATCCCACCGTTCAAACCGAAATACAGCCATGCAAACACAACTGCTTCACTGTTGAAAGACGAATGCGACAGAGGTGGCCAAGCAGTCGACTTTTGTGCAAAGTGTCCCTCTGGTGTGGTAGTGTAGACGTGTTAAGCTGGTTAGTGTACGTGTAGTGTAGTGGTGTGTGGTGGACCGCAGGCGGAGGGCGCGGCGGCGGGCGGCGCGGCGGCGGCGGGCATGTCCGGCGAGGTGGTGGCGCGGCTGCAGGAGCGCGCCACCGCGCTCACGCAGGAGCGCAAGCGGCGCGGGCGCACCGTGCCCGACGGGCTGCTCGCGCCCGACCAGATCCGCGCCTTCCTCACGCTCGCCTCGCACCCGGTCAGTACCCGCACCACACTTCTTTGTAATCACACTTGTTTAATGTAATTAATATTTCCCCTCTGGGGGGAAAAGGGATTGTTAGTAATGGAGACTGAGAATCCCATTGCTAGCAATATATCCAACCAGGTCGACCTCCACGCGGTTCCCCCTGGAAACTATCATGGTTAATTCCTGATGAATTCATCATGATGGCCTAACTGGCCTGTTTTCATCCTCATCGATCACCCTTCACTGGTGCCCCGCCAGCGTATCCCGTTAGCGCAGGCGGGGTTACCACTCCATTTTCATCCAATAAAGAAAAAAAAATGGCTCCCTCTCGTGGAGTAATTTCCAGTTTGTATACCTTTTTCGACACCACACAACACGGCCGGCGTACACAGACCACCAGTGTATGCCGGCTAAAGAACCCAGCGACCCGGAGGTCGCCGCCTCCGGAGTTGAAGCCGGGGTAGTGGGGTTACCCCGAGGCCCCTACCTCGCCCGCCCACACATCACTTGGCGGGCATGAGATGCCCTTGTTCATTGATTGACCTTTTTCGATTTTTTTATTCGGTAATATTTTTATTTTATCATTTATCCTTCCCAATCATCCATCCCATTCATACTTGCATTCCATATCTTTCTAACGTTACAACAGTTAACAGGTTATTTTGGGCATCATTTAGAGTTGTTTCCCTTTTTTACTGTTGGCGTTATATACAACACCGTCCCACAGTCTGCGCATTTTATTTCACCTCATATATTCTAATAATATATAACTGTCAGGGGAGAAAGGGATTGCTAGTAATGGAGACTGAGAATCCCATTGCCAGCAATATACCCAACCAGGTCGACCTCCACGCGGTTCCCCCTGGAAACTATCATGGTTAATTCCTGATGAATTCATCATGATGGACTAACTGGCCTGTTTTCATTCTCATCTATCACCCTTCACTGGTGCTCCGCCGACGTATCCCGTTAGCGCAGGCTACCATACCATTTTCATCCATAAAAAAAAATTGATGACTGTCATTTTATGTTTCATATACTTATTATTATCGATATACCTTTTACATTACAATTTTTTATTGAGCCTACTACACCCAGATGACTATATCAGTCTCATATGGAATGTTTGTATAGAAGCTCTGTCAAATTAGTTTGTGTCAAGGACACCTTTACTCATATTTCGTCATAGTCGTAGAATACTGACGGATCTTTATATGTAATCTTCGTCAGGTCCGTCAGTATTCTACGACTATGACGATTTCATATTTATGTAGCCGTTTTGGTACTGCCACTGCTAGTAAGGCTAACAATTATATCGACTCTTCCATCATATAAAGACATATCACCCAAAATATGTTGCCTGATGTTGTAAGTTTTAAATACAAATTCCATCTGCAAAGGTATACGATCAATTTTATGAAAAGTGGTAGTAGAAGTAACAGACTGATTGTGATGAGATGCTTTTTATGCTAAAACACAGAAACGACGTTTTGTAGTGGAAATGTTAAAATTAATGTCTTACCATAATTATGTACCTTATATATTTTACAAGTACTGAAACTATTGTCCAAAATTACCAAAGAAAAGTAATACCCAAATTTCTTCAAGTCCTTTTCACTTTTATCCAGAAATTTCTCCAAGAATTTCATTTCCCTAAAATTTTGCAAATAGTAATTTTTTTACTAAAAATTGGGGAAAAATATCCAAATCTGACAACACTGAAATAAGAGCACTTTACAAACTTCTTTGATAATTTCTAAACCTAATTAATCCTTATCATCAAATAGCAAATGCAGCAGGATTTTTTAATTAATTTAAGGAGCTCAGGTATATGTACTTTTAAATCTTTATATTAAAAATAATTTTAGTATTGTAAAATTATGCTATAAATTATATATCCCAATTAATTTCTAAAATATAAAACAAATCTTCAGGGTCTCCACTCGGCTAGTGTGCCTGGTATTTTGTCTTTGGACATCAACCCGTCGGATCATAGCAAGCTGCTAACGGGCGGCAACGACCGCAACGCGACCGTCTTCAACAAGGACACGGAGCAGGTGGTGGCCATCCTGAAGGGGCACACCAAGAAGGTGACGCGCGTCATCTACCACCCCGACGAGGACACCGTCATCACCGCCTCCCCCGACCACACTATACGCGTATGGAATGTGCCCACGTGAGTATTATAATTTCGCAGTTGGGACGCCGAATGGTTCTAAGCTCCGAACAGCTTTTAATTTGTTGAAGGATGCTACATTTAGGGGTGAAACTCATGTTGCAAAATGTGCGTGGACAGAATGGCAGTCGGAGATGAATGGCTAATATGGAAGGTTGTAGAACTTCTGGCTGTAATAATAATAGTCAATCTTCTAGTGTTAACAAGTTGCACGCAAACTAATTCTAGCGGAATTAAACAAAATAATTCTAACATCCATGAAATAACACCTAGTTCAGTAAAGCATTATGATTGGTAATGATTTTAATTGAAAATGGAATATTGCCCTTCTGTCTCTCTGTTTAGCATTGTCAAAACTATTAAATTTGCTAATACAATATTTTGTTAAAAGAATACAAATAACATGTTTTTATAGTGGTATAGGACACAGCTAAATCACCAATGGAGTCTAAAAAATACCATGGAGACTCGAGTTAACCATCAATAACTTTCAAATGCTTTTTGCCGATATACCATACTAACTTTATATCATTTTAGGTTTTTCAACAAAAAGAACAATATTTTAAATTGCTTTAGTTTAATATTTTTTGGTACAACAGATCACAGACAACAGTGATACTGCGTTCACACGACGGCCCCGTGACCGGCCTGTCACTCCACCCAACTGGAGACTACGTATTGTCCACGTCCACGGATCAACACTGGGCCTTCTCAGACATACGTACCGGTACACTCCTCACCAAAGTGAGCGACGCGTCCGGGGTCAGTCTCACCACAGCGCAGTTCCATCCAGACGGACTCATCTTCGGCACGGGTACTGAGAATTCGCAAGTCAAGATCTGGGACTTGAAGGAGCAGAGCAACGTCGCCAACTTCCCCGGACACGTCGGTCCCGTCACGTCTATATCGTTCTCAGAAAATGGTTATTATTTAGCGACTGCTGCCGAAGACGCCTGCGTTAAACTATGGGATTTGAGGAAATTGAAGAATTTCAAAACCATACAGCTCGAGGAGGGTTATGCTATTAAGGAGCTATGCTTTGACCAGAGCGGTACATACCTCGCTATAGCTGGTACTGACGTGAGAGTGTACCTGTGCCGCCAGTGGCAGGAATTGAAGTTGTTCAACGATCACACGGCGGCAGCGACAGGCGTCCGGTTTGGCAAGAACGCGCAGTACATAGCCTCCACCAGTATGGACAGGACGCTCAAGCTATACGGCATAGAATAATGTTAGAATTAAGGATTATTACTTTTAATTTATATTGCGTGTAATGGAAATGGTATAATAATTCAATTTGCATTCATAATACATAATGAATATGTGTGTAGTGTTCTCCAGTCCTAAATTAGGTAGAGACGCCATTGATAATAATAATAATAAATGTCTTTATTAAATAATTAATTACATTTAGTTAGATATACTAGTCACCGAACTAGGTCGAGCCTGTATCTCGGTAGATGGTTGAATAACTTCCTTTGATTTAAATACTTAAAAAGACGTTGAAATATCGAATATAAACACACTCAAATTTGCACTGTATATTTATTGTGCATTATATATGTGGGTAGCATTAAATTAAAATAATAGAGAATAGAAGAGGCAAAATGCTGATCCACCTTATACGACATGACGATTTTTTTAAGAGAATAGTAGAAGGAAAAATAGAGGGCAAAAGAGGAAGAGGAAGACCGAGGAATAACTACATGGGACAGATAAAGGAAACACTGGGTGTCATGTCGTATGGGGAGGTCAAGGATATGGCCTGGGATAGAGCTGGCTGGAAGAAGATGCATGAATTAGTTGCACCGATAAGAGGAAACTCTTAAAAGAAAAAAGAGCATCAAATTATCTCTCTTACAATTATAGTTTACTCACAATACGTTATATAATTTGTCAGTCATCTTAGCAACTATATACAATGTTCACTTTGATAAATAATAATAAATTTATTAATAAAAGCTGAAAAATGTATTGTTAAACATATATATGGATACTAGATACATATTTACGTAATAATATGTTTTTATACACACATGTTTATGCATAGAAAAATAATCAGACCCAATACAAAGAGACATACATAACTTTGAATGTTTATATACAGAAATCAAATTTGCAACCAACCTTGTTGCAGTGTGTTAAACCAATACACAATCAAGATCGTCAAACGTCCAAAAATATCACATGTCCATATATTTTTTACTATTTTTCATTCAAAATGTTCAGCTATATGATATAATATTTGTAGTGTATATGAATTATTATACATTTTCTGCTACACCACATTGGTATGTGTACAATAATATCACTTTAATAAATTGCTACGCAGTTGATATGTTTTTAGACGTCTAAAAAATATAATCTATACTCGTGAGACAGTAAACAATCTTAGTATGTCTTTTTATCAAATTTACTCATCATATCATCTGTCCATTGCTGAAGATAGGCCTTGTCTTTCACTGGTCTCAAGCCACCTGCATTTCTTGACTCGCTGTGAATGTGTTGTAAATCGTTGAATGTGTAAAGTGCTTATTATAAATGAAAAAAATTGATTCACAGAAAATTGTGTATTTTTATTAAAACAATGAAGGACAAGACAACAAATAGTAACATCGAACGGTAATTTTAAAATTATAACAAAGTATATGTACTAAAATATTTCCAGTCATTTTCAAAACAACGCAATTAAGGTCGTCACTCCATCTAGTGGGAGGTCATCCTACACTGTTTCCCTGTACGGGTTCAGCACTCAAGAACCTTTCTTCCCCATCGGTTATCGGTTCTTCGAGCTATGTGACTAGTCCATTGCCGCTTCAGCTTGCTTGTCCTTCGGGCTAAATCGGTTCTTTTGCGGATATCCTCGTTTCGGACTCTATCACGCAAAGAGACTTCGAGCAAAACTCTGCATAGCCCGCTAAGTAACTTGAAGATTTTACATACGGGCAATCGTGTAGAGCCATGTTTCGGTTCCATAACTCGTCACTGGCAATACGCACTGGCTAAAGATCTTTGTCTTCAAATTCTGAGGTATTTTGGATAAAAAGATATGGCGTAGTTTCCCGAACGCTGCCCCCCAGTCGAGTTGGATTCGTCGGTTGACCTCTCGGTCGAAGTTGGACTTACCTATTTGGACTACTTGTCCCTACCTGGGACAAGTTGTCCAAATAGATAATACATACTCGTCGACAACTTCGAGCGTAGTGTTCTCAATCGTAACCCGTATAGGCGTGACATGGACGTTAGACATGATTCTAGTCTTGTCCATGTTTAAGACCTACCTGTCGAGAATTTATAGGGTACAGAGTAATAACACCTGAGTCCTCAGGAATGGCAACGCATGGGGGGTATCATGGGCGAAACAGTATACTCTGTTATGTCCATGGTACTGCTCATGTCTATAGGCGACGGTTACCACTTTCCATCAGGTGGGCCGTTAGCTTCTTTGCCATTCTAAGTTGCATAAAAAAAAAGCACTATTAATATATAATAAGTCAGTAAGCATTGTTTGTTTGTTGCTTTAACGGCGCAGCTAATTATCATGAAATTTGATATACTAGTAGTAGTTAAGATGGAGAAGGTCTTAAAACTATTTTACAGCTCGACAGTAAATATATGCTAATCTTAGTCACGTGGATTCAGTCACGAGAAAAAAAAAAAATACTAAAAAACAAAGCAATGACCTGCGATTATATCGATTGACATAAATACCTTTATACAATATACATTCAGTATTTGTTTATGATGTATTAATAAAAAGACATGCCAAATTTGTTTATTAATTGTGTTGAGTATAGAAAAATAGATATAGTTTAATATTTATCGACCATTGGTCTTTCATACGCGCCATTGTGCTATCCACCGTTACTCCTGGGAATTATGCCCTACCATGAAATTCCGAAGTTTCGGACTCAATTTCGTGTTTTTGTTCACACCTAAATTGACTCAGTAAATGGAGCTTAACATTTCGTTCGTCATAAATACTACTATAAAAGTCCCAAGGAATAATATTTTCATATTTTTAAACTGCAAGTATCATGTAATTTTAACATTAAATTTCTGTTTCGTTCGCCTCGGAAATTTCGGGAAACATTTCGTAGTAGGCCCTCTGATGTCATTTGTAAAACGCGATATGCTTTTAATTTCCCGCTATAACATTTTGTGTCAGAAACAAAGCAAAATTCTAAGGAAAGGTGTTACACTCAAATGTTCTTTTTTTTTTAATATACATTGTAAAATGACAGGGCCCGAGTTCTATAAATGTAATGTCTCTCGTTGCAGGACAAAAGTGGTTTTTATTTTATCCCCTTATAAAAAATGTCAAACATTTTATAAATCTATTTATTAAACTGTTTTCTATCTTTTGAATTAAATTCACATTTTGAAAGAAAGTGACAAAACAGTGTAATAGTTAATTTATTTTTATTTATTTATTTAAATAAAAATAAATAAATAAAAATAAATCCACAATTTGAAAGAAAGTGACAAAACATTGTAATAGTTAATTTATTTTTATTTATTTAAATAAAAATAAATTCACAATTTGAAAGAAAGTGACAAAACAGTGTAATAGTTAAGTAGACTTGTTAAAGCTTATGGTTTTTATAAGGGGATTAGGGTGTATATAAAGTTTTGTTTAGGTTAAGCTTATGTTTCTCTTTGGTTTAACCGTGTTCGCAGCGATAAAATTGAACAAATAAATATTATTATGTAGCCAAACATTACTAACTTGTAGCACTTCATTTTTCATCTACGGAAGCAAGGACTGAGCTAAAAATTAGCAAGCAAAATAGTTTACTAGACTAAACAATGTAGCTGGTGTGAAATCGAGCTGGAAAACCAGCATGTCCCAATTCTATATTTGATTGTAACCAATTTATCTGAGTTCCAATCCATTTGCCAGCTTTCTAAATAAGAATAAATTATTAAATACAACTAGACAACTGATAGGTTTTTTTTTTGATGGATGAAAATGGTATGGTAACTCCAGCTCCTGGAAGTTGAACTGGTGCGCCAGCCCGAGCATGTCCAGCACTGTGTCCTCGCGTAGCAGGGACAGACCCATGTGACCTGATCGTGTGATATGTTTTTTTATTGGATGAAAATGGAATGGTAACCCCGCCCGCGCTAACGGGATACGCTGGCGGAGCACCAGTGAACGGTGATAGATGAGAATGAAAACAGGCCAGTTAGCCTATCATGATGAATTCATCAGGAATTAACCATGATAGTTTCCAGGGGGAACCGCGAGGAGGTCGACCTGGTTGGGTATATTGCAGCAATGGGATTTTCAGTCTCCATTACTAACAATCCCTTTCCCCCCTAACTTATAGGTTTATATGGTTTTATTACCATAGCGGCATTGCTTATCTGGTTTACTTTTTTTTTATTCGTTAAAATCTCTTGGTTGATTTTTGATGTATTCGCTGCGCACACGGTGTTATATGTTCTAAGTCAAACATTACGTTATTATTTAAGTTTATTATAATTACATTTATACATTAGAGATGACTTCATTGAATTGAATCTAAAATAAACTGAAGGGGAGATTCTGTAATTTTTTATTTTTATCTCTTCCGTGAATTAAAAAAAAAAAACCATTTTGATAATTAAAGATTTAGTCCCACAAAAAAAATCTACTGAATCGATTTTGATAAAATTTCTATGGTTAGATACCTATAACTAACTATATGATATAACTAGATGTTAGTACCTGGTATCTGGAAGTATATCCTTTTAGATAAATTTTTCTAAATCAGTACATAACTGATGGAGTTATCAGATAACAGAAAAAGACAACCGAGTTGAGAACCTCCTTTTATTAAAGTCGGTTAAAAAAATAAAGCATTGATCTTGTAATATGCAGAAAAAATTAATCCCCCCCCTTTCTGTGACGTCGTATGGAACTAGCACTTTATAAGAATCGATAATTTCTGTTTGATATATGAGGTAAGTTTTTTTATACAACTTAGAATGGCAAACAAGCTGACGGCCCACCTGATGGAAAGTGGTAACCGTCGTCTATAGACATGAGCAGTACCATGGACATAACAGAGTATACTGTTTCGCCCATGAGACCCCCCCATGCGTTGCCATTCCTGAGGACTCAGGTTCCTCTGTACCCTGTGAATTCACTACCATATCCCTTCGAACCGAAACACAGCCATGCAAACACAACTGCTTCACGGTAGAAACACGAATGGGACAGAGGTGCCCACGCAAACGACTTTTGTACAAAGTCTCCCTCTGGTAATTTATTGCATGCTTTGATTTTGTTCATAAAAAAAAAAAAACATTAAAACAACATGATAGCATTTAAATTGTATTTTTATAATTTACACAAACCCTCCCTTCACAACATATCCAATAATATGATAAAATATATACAATCAACTTACAAGGAATATTAAAATAAAACAATTAATTCATAGTGGTTCTTTTAGTACAACGGCTATCCGAACGCCGAATGATCTACACGCATGATATTGATTATTATGTAACAAATCATCATTTATATGTATATGCTACATAATCATACATCGAACAGTATTGGAATAACGAAAAAAAAAACTTTCAAAGTAATCAACTGCTGATAACTAGCATATAAATATAATTTATTTATAAGAGATGTTCCGAATAATATGCCTTACTACATTGTAATAACGATCACCCCCAAACGTTGATACTTCTGCACTGTGAAGTCGACGATTAAAACCATTTGTTTATTAGTGCTGTTATTAAATAGACAGTCATAGGCTTATTTTCGATGTTACAGTTGGGTATGGCACTGAAATTTCCATAGTCCTTCGAGCCGGATATTACCACTTGCTTATAAGTCTTAATGTTAAATGACAACTCGAAATCAAGTGAATACAAGTAATGCGTCCAAAACGTAACAACGCATTTGCAATCCCTGTATAGATCCTATTCGGAACATCTATATTATTAAAAATACGATCAAAACAAATTCATAGTATCCAAATTTTTAAATATATAAAAATAACAAATGCATGCAGATGATACGCAACGTTATTTTCATCTTTTATTTGTCAAATGCAGACAAAAAACTGAAGTTGGCAACGAAATAGCTTTCTCTGTATATCCAAAATATGGTCACGTGTATTATTATGTAAACGCTTGTATCTTGAAACTTAACATTTGCTAGTTTCACTCGTTATGTCTTTTGAATTTTTAATGTCAAGGTTAAAGTATGATTATAACATAGTATTTAGCTGTATTCATAAATATCTCTTGTTTTACAGAGTTCCTTAGGGAGTATACCAAGATTTTTGAATATTCTACCTAAGTTTCAAACTGGTATACGTTTCTAGCTACACATATATTTAAGTAAATAACAGAATATTACACGTGACTTTAACAAGATTGCACATATGTATATTTGTGTATATACATGTACATGATTTATTTTTATAGTCTTTTTAATAAATTATAATTTAATCATATTCTTTTAATTTAAAAGCAATACAAAGTTGCCATACGATGAATTCTCCAAAATTAGGAATTTTTAATATAACCATATAAGCTCGTTAGATAAAACTAGCCCAGACGTCTGCAGCGTATGATGGCAAACAGTATTCGATTAAAGAATCAATGAGACATAGAAATACAGTAACTGCAGAGTGGGCATATTACTTTAAAATATAGCGGGCCGAATTCTAAAACTTCATTTTTATATATAATTTTTACCTATATCTACATTCACAATATTTTGTTTTTTTTTTGGTCGAATTGTGGATGACAATTAATTAACCAAATGAAATGCCAAGAAAAAACATAGGAAAAATATCACTTTCTTTTAGGATCCTTAGAGATGTTTGTTGTAGTAAGCGGTTCAAGCAAGATTAATTGGTATGTTGATTTATTCAACTATAACAATCCAATGAAATCAGACAGTTTTCCCAAATTAATACATCGCCATTTGCGTTTCTTTTATTCTTAAGTAGAATATGGATTATCTAGCAACTAACAACAGAGTCTAAGTCACTATAGCCTATAGGACACAAGAGGCGATCCTTGGCAAGTGACCGTAACAAGTTTTTAGTGAATAAAAGGAAATAATTCTAATTTGCAGCCAAAAGCACCTCATCAGTAGAGGGTGTAAGCTTTCAAATGTGAGATATCCTACCTTCAAACTCTATAATTGGCTGTCTGTATTCTGTGGAAGAGTTTACAGATACGTTTAAATGTCCTTTCAGAATCGACCCGGTGTACTATTTCTTTTTTTTTTTTCATATTTAATTAACTCATCATCGAGCAACTTCTCATTGGTACACAATGTAATCATTAATTTCATAACCTAATCCTTAATCATAGTGCAAATTTATCGAGGAGATTGTTTTTATAGTCATTTACATATTTGCATTAGTCACTGGTGCTGACCACTTTCTTTGGAATTTCTTTATAACGATTCAAGTAATAAAATCATTACTTCTTTATTAAAAACTTACTTTTTAATTATTATAAGGAATCATACTAACTACTAATAGCAGACAATAATTAAGGAAGTAAACCAAGTAAATTAAAAATTTATTAGTAAACCCTTCTAAGTAATATATATATATATATATATATATATATATATATATATATAAATTTATTCGTAATCGGCGAAGACACCGCGTATACACACAGACAAACCTTCACTGAAATAAATTCACTAAAATGTGACTAGGTTGAAATTTTTACATGGAATATTATATACAGAAAATAAATATATTAATTTATTTATTAGAGGTACAAACTGTATTAGGGTTCCGTAAAAAAAATATACAAAAAAACTGTTACGGTGTGATTTTTTTTTATTACGGTGTATGTTGACTATATACAATGACTTAGACGACGGAAAGATAATTTTGGAATTAATATGCATAAATGCATACATCGCGCCCGTCTCACAGTGGGGCAAACAACAAAATAAACTAAATGATTCTATTTAAAAATGCCAACTTATCAATATACTCATACAAAACGTGACACGTAAAGTACCATTTCTAATACGTCCCAATTCTGCCAACATACGTGGAAGCAGACCCCACCGATACCCCACGACGCGCAATATTTTATATTATTACATCATAGGGAATTTCCGCTTCTTTTTAACTGCTATAAAATCCATCACCGTGCTCACCCACTTTATACGACATAAGGAACTTTTGTACAAAATATACAAAATATAATACGCCTACAGTCTAGCCTACACTGAGAATGAGTTTAGACTGTGAATTCTGTCAGTCGATCAATGTGAGAGCCACAACTATGGGCAGGTAGACGCCGCAAGTATCTCAATTTGTTCGAAAAATTTACTACTTTCTTAGAAGCTATTTATTATAGCTAAAACCCCGTTCCAGACTAATCCTTTTCGAAAATACCATTTCATGTAACTATATGAAAATACAGACAGTATTTTTACCATAAATTTTATATACAACTCCGCAAAGTCTACCTAGTTGTGGCATCTGCTTAAATCCATATTTGTAACTAAACTCAAACAAAAATGGCAACGTCATCGTTATCTTTGGATCGCGACTTTAAGATGACCAAAAAATGACGTTACTAAAATGACCAAAGATTGACGTCACCTCGGTACCTGGAGCGTTGTATCGAGAAGATTATCAGCACCACTGAAATACAAATCCATAAACTGTTCAACGCATTAATGTGCGTCGAACATTCATATTGCAGTCCCATCTCCTGGTAGTGACTTATATTTAATCATTTAATTAAATCGATGTACAGCAGATGTAGGATGCAACCGCAAACCTACACTGACAATATGTTCACATAAAAACAAATAGCCTGCAGTTTTAAATAATTAATCTACAAAGTGAAATCGAAATTATTAGTCGAATTAAAAAAAAAAAAACATCGCAGTACGTATTAGGACAGATGTTTCGTGAATTCAATAACGACAAATAATTTTGAGGTTAGGAATTGTTAGTAACGGTTACGCCAGTCGCCATTGTTAGCAACATACCCTGTCAGATTGATTTTCACGCGATTCCCCCTGTCAACCGTCCTGGTAAAACCATATCGTATTTATCACAATGAGCCATTTCTCATCTTTAAATTTTACTTTCCCGCCATTATCTAACGTCAACATAGGCGGATGCACTGTACCATTTTTAAATAATTAAAAAAAAAAGTTCTGGATACACAATATTCAAAGGTCCAATTTTTTTTTTATTTTTCAAACCGCATCTTTCTTTGTGTTGAAAGCGTTAATGTTTCACTGACACTAAAGATTTCGGTTTCACCCTGCAGAAACTATTTCCAGCATCCCATATTAGTTACAGATTTATATATCTCGCCACATCCACTCCCAGACATTTTTATTTCCTTAAATAAAAACAATATATATAATAATTTATGCTTCTACCGCAGATATCGCTACGGGATTTAACTACTAGAAGCAAACATAACGTAATAGTATTACATGGCGGACTAAGCAGTCAGTTAACAAAGGACTCGTAGGGAACCCATTGGTCAGGCTTCAATAATGCACTTATCTATACTTATAATAAATCTGTAGAGATGTCAATTTTGTACATGAAATGTATTTCCAAAATAACTATCAGGGGTCGATTAGTGATCGATACTGATGCCAAAAATGCAATCAGTGAAATTTTTGTCTGTCTGTCTGTCTGAAGCAAAAACTACTCGACGGATTTTAACGAAACTTGGTATAATTATTCTTCATACTCCTGGACAGGTTATAGTATACTTTTCATCACGCTACGATCAATAGGAGCAGAGCAGTGAAGGGAAATGTTAGGAAAACGGGAGAAATGACTCCATTTTTAAGCTTCCGTCGCGTGTGCAGCCTTAATATTTTTAAAATGTTAAAATGTCCACCCGTGTGAAGCCGGGACGGACCGCTAGTTAAATAATAAATTTGTGTATGTTTTGTAATAGTAAACATCGGTTGTTTGTTTGAACATACATACAAATTGTTAATTTTTAAAATATGAGCAATTATGTTATAAAATTTTTTACATTATACCTTTTACAGTTCACGTTCCAGATATATTTTTGCAAATATTTTTAAAATGGCTAAACATTGAAAAAGCTTACAGTTCTTTTGTCACTTTCCAAATACCACTTATTAACATTTATGGTAGAAATTTGGATACTGAAAGTTTTTTTTTTAATATATAAGATTTGAGGATATACGCATACAGCCCTATCAGTGAGTTCCCTATCGTTGCTACACAACGGCCGTATTACACTTGATCGTTTACCGTATTCGGATATCAGAATGGCTGCTTTGATCAAACACAATTTTGATCTCTATAGGCAACAAATACATACTTGAACCATCGACAACGAGTAACTACTTGACATTATTTTTTTACATTTTGACAGTAAATTTAAAGAATTAGTAGAAAACATAACTTTTATAAGGAAATTAACCCTTTCAGGCCTAAGATTTTTTTCTTTCAGAATAAATATATTTTCGTGTTTTGGAGGCAAGCCATCTTGCCGGCACGCACGAGACTACTGCACCACTTAACCGCTAAAATGATTTCTTATTGGCTGCTTTAGAATCTCACTATCATGTTATTTCAGCTTCGTGCGTAAAAATGAATTGCGCGCGGTTTTAGAATTTTTTAAAGTTACAACTCACGCCCGTATCGTTCAGGTTGATACGCACAATGGCCCAAGTGAGAGGCTAAGCGCGGAAAATGGAGTCTTTTTCACATTCACATCGTTCAGGTCTGAAAGGGTTAACCACTAGCCTTAATTTCATACACATTCGAATGCCGGTAACTGACAAGTGTAATTCTGTCCTTTAATACAATAAAAATAAGAATAGAAATGATTTTTACTAAATACTGTGATGTATTATGTGTGAATTAAAGTAATCCTTAGTAATTTAAGTAATTCCTCTTAATTATGTAATTATAAGACAGTTATATATATATAATATACCCAACAAGGTCGACCTCTTCACGGTTCCCCCTGGAAACTATCATGATTAATTTTAGATGAATTCATCATGATGGGCTAACTGGCCTGTTTTCATTCTCATCTATCACCCTTCACCGGTGCTCCGCCAGCGTATCCCGTTAGCGCAGGCGGGGTTACCATTTTCACCCATTAAAAAAAAAATGTAAATTTTGACTTTTGCGTTGCATGACTTATGGTTTTTAAGAGACATGGAGTAATGTAATTATATTGTGAATATATAATCATTTAGCTGCGATTGTTTTGGCGTCTCTAGATTACAATGGAGTTCACGAGTTGACATCGGACAACATTATACAATTATACAACTTAGAATGGCAAACAAGCTGACGGCCCACCTGATGGAAAGTGGTAACCGTCGCCTATAGACATGAGCAGTACCATGGACATAACAGAGTGTACTGTTTCGCCCATGATACCCCCCATGCGTTGCCATTCCTGAGGACGCAGGTGTTATTCCTCTGTACCCTGTAAATTCACGCCATATCCCACCCTTCAAACCGAAACACAGCTGCTTCACGGTAGAAACACGAATGGGACAGAGGTGCCCAAGCAATCGATTTTTGTATAAAGTTTCCCTCTGGTAGATTACGTGATCGTGTCCAGTCTTTTTAGAACCATAAACAATTATGTATACATATTTAATTGTAGTAGGTGATATAAGTTCATATCACTGGTTAGTTAAAAAAAACAAAACAAGTCTAATCAACTGATAAAACGTTAGGTCATTGACATTCCTATTCTTATTTTAAATGAATTGTAAAGCCATGTATTCGCCATGTCACAATTGAGGCGCAACAGCACGCGACAGGGCCAAATGACATGTAACATATTTCTTGGTTTTGTAACAAAATAGAGCTTCTTTGCTTATAATGTTTGGTTACATGTCTCGCTACACGTTACGCGTCAATTGTCTATTGAATATATTAGGTTAAGTTCAACAGTCGTTCCAGTGGAGCTTGCAGTGGGCTAGGAGTGCACAGGGTGCTTGCTGCTCAGCGTGTCCACACACGGCAGTCATGCGAAGATCAGCCACAGCACGAACAATATGGCCACCCATAGGAATATCTTCGACAGGAACTGTTCTTCTTCATACTGCGCTGTCCCGCGGGGAGCTAGAGATGGGTGGTGGAGTGTAAAAAAAACGTCATACGTTTCATAAACCTATTTTAGTTAGTGAACTTCTTTGTCTCTTTCTTTCCTGCTATATTTCCATTTTGAAAGAAAGTGACAAAACAGTTAAATACCTAAAATAAGTTCTAGTTTTTATATATAAGGGGGTATGAATATAACTCGCATTAATGCATCAAATATAACATTTTTAAAGATACATTTAACATTTGCATAGATCGACGAAATAGCAGAAAAAACATGAAATTGTTTACAAGTTGACCGTTGTTTTAATTTGAGAGTTGCGTGGCGATAAAGATGACTTGGAGGAGAAAGAGAGAGAGACAGAAATCACGTCGTCACTTAGTGTCTAGTAAATAATTTATTTCCTTTTTAATATAATTTCCGTTTTAATAATCCTTTTTAATTTAATAAAACTAGACAGATTTATTAGAATATTATTTTAAAATGTACCTGCACTAGGTCTTGGATCACCAAAGTTGAACGTGGAGGTGAATATTCCAAATGGGAATGCACCAATTCCAAAAGACATGTGAAACCCTTCTCCGAATCCAAACCCTGGGAAGCCGCTGTTGTTTTCTGGCTCAGTACGTTGGCCGGCGGGCCGTGGCGGCACCTAAGCGGTGACCAATTTAATCAGTATTAAAAATTATTTCAATAGATAAATACATACTAAAATCTGAAAGAGGTAATTATACTCATAAGCTAGACCAGTCATATAGGGGTTTTTTTTGGATGAAAATGGAATGGTAACCCCGCCTGCGCTAACGGGATACGCTGGCGGGACACCAGTGAAAGGTGATAGATGAGAATGAAAACAGGCCAGTTAGCCCATCATGATGAATTTATCTAAAATTAATCATGATAGTTTCCAGGAGGAACCGCGAGGAGGTCGACCTGGTTGGGTATATTGCTAGCAATGGAATTCTCAGTCTCCATTACTAACAATCCCTTTCCCCCCTCATATAGGGGGTTGAAGCTCAGAATGAGAGATAAAAATCTGAAAACTAGTATAGGCCTTTATTTTGCCATTCTAAAATGTTGTCTTAAAAGTATCATAAAATCTCGTGTCCGCGACTTAAGAGCTTCAAGGTCAAAGGTAAAAAAAGATGAGTATTTTGCAAATATCTCCTTTCCTATAGCTTTAACACTATTTAGGTTTATTATAATAATTATAGGAAATAAAATTCTCTACAACTTTTGTTTCAAACATGTTTTTTAAATGAACTCTTCTTGTGAAAGGAAGCCGAACACGTAGCGCTTAGGTATCTACAGCATAATGCAAGCTCAACCGTTTGTGTTGTTATATAATTTGCCGTATCAAGTGCATAAACCATAAATACATACATACATATCTGTCACGCCTGTCTCCCATTAGGGTAGGCAGAGACAATGGAACGTCAAATGCTTCGATTCAAACAAACCTCTTTCGCTTCTTCCACATTCATCAATCTTGTCATACACGCTCGCCGGTTACGGGTACTTTTAATTTGGCCCTTCTTCAGCACGTCGCCTATTTGGTCGACATACGTCCATCTAGGGCGGCCCCTACCCACATCACCATTCATTCTTGCTCGATAAATCTCTTTCGTAATTCTTCTTTCATCCATCCTCTCCAAATGACCAAACCAACGCAACATTCCTTTTACGATTTTTGTCACTACATCGTCTTTCAGTCCACACTTCTCTCTAATCACACTGTTTCTTACTCTATCTTTTAATGTAATACCACACATACTTCTCAAAGCTCTCATCTGTACAGCATTTATCTTACTTTCATGCTTCTTCTGCCATACCCACGATTCGCTTCCATACATGAGTGTTGGTGTCAGTATTCCATAAATACATATGTATTTATAAATAATTTTCTCCCATTCGTGATTCAACCGTAAAGCAGTTGTGTTTGCATGGCTGTGTTTCGGTTTGAAGGGTGGGATATGGCGTGAATTTACAGGGTACAGAGGAATAACACCTGAGTCCTCAGGAATGGCAATGCATAGGAGGTATCATTGGCAAAACAGTATACTCTGTTATGTCTATGGTACTGCTTATGTCTATAGGCGACAGTTAACACTTTCCATCAGCTGGGACGTTAGCTTGTTTGCCATTCTAAGTTGTATAAAAAAAATCTTAGCATAAATCAATAACGAAGGCATCCTCATACTATTTTATAAATAAAATTAATAACTTATAATCCTCTAATTTAAATGGTCAATAACACTACGAAATATACACACAAAAGTCTAAGGAAATATAAGAAATATTTACACTATACCTTATTTCTTGGATCCTCCTGTTTAGTGTTGCCCCGCCCATACAGTGGGATCACCTTGTCGCGACTGATCGCAGCTTTGCACACTGGACACACCTGTCGACTTGGGCGCGTTTCCAGCCATTGATGTAGGCATGGCCAACTGAAAATTATATTACTTGGACATAGGAATTCATACTAAAAATATAAAAACTAAAACTCTTAAAACACCCCTAAAAGCCTAACTGCGGTTGCCAACCCGCCTGCCGAGTGGCAACCGTCGCCTATAGACATGAGCAGTACCATGGACATAATAGAGTATACTGTTTCACCCATGATACCCCCCATGCGTTGCCATTCCTGACGACTCGGGTGTTATTCTTCTGTACCCTGTAAATTCACGCCATATCCTTCCACCCTTAAAACCTAAACACAGCCATGTAAACACAACTTTACAATTGAAACACGAATGGGACAGAGGTACCCAAGCAATCGACTTTTGTACGAAGTTTCCATCTGGTAAAGATAAACTATTGTCAAAACTCTCCTTATAAGAAAGGCATTTGTTCAGCAGTGGACAGTCAACAGCTGAAATGATGATACTAAATATGGGATCTGAAATAGATAGCTGTTTGGCCAGATACCGGATATTTGGCTAACCTTGCTCCTCGAGAGCCAGATATCTAGTTATATCTAGTCAACTGTATCTTGCAAAGTTCATAACACGTTTTAAAATTGCTTTAAATAAGTAGCAAATGAAAACAATACTAGCCAGTCTCACAGTGAAGAAAGAAATTTGATTGCATATGAGATTGATTTTTATCTTAAGTCAGAGCAGTAATGCTAAACACCCCTTATTTTTCTGTGGAAGTCATAAGAGGCAACTAAGGGAATTGGAGAGACAATTAGCATTTAGTACAATATGGGTACCAATTAATTTTCTAAGATGTTAAACAATGATATAAAAAAAGCTGTAGAATTAAAGTTACATTATTTATTTTTTCACTTAAATAAATTTATTGACCAAAAGAAATGGTACAAAATGGTGGACTTAATGCTAGTAGTATATGCTTCCAGGCAAACTATGCGATGAAAAGTGAATCACGGGTGTGATACTTCATTATTAATATAATATCACTGATTATATTTATTAAGTGATTTAATTAATTAATTAACTAATATAGATATTTCATAATTTTTTATTAAACCTGGTATCTGGCCACATAGGTGATGAATAAGCCGATATTATTTATGCTTATTACAGTTACTGGATATCTATTTCATCACCATCAAATATACCATCTTTTGTCATAATTAATTTATGACACTTTTAATTTTAAAATTTTAAACTTTTAATTTATATTATAAATATAAAAGTTTAAAAACGGTTGGATAGACGTTTATTATTCTTATGCAAAAACTAAATTTGGTACATGGTTAGGTTATATCCTAAATTGGACACATACACACACATTGGACATTTTATGTAATGTGACAATATTGACAATGACCTGACATATTGAACGATTTTGTTGTTACAGGCTAAAATATAATAAATCAGTTACAACAAAATGTTGAATATTTTATTATTAATAACAATAATTTATTGTAATTTAAAATTGTGTTACAACATAGAATGTACATGTTTAATGTTGTGTACTAACTGACAAACAACATTATTTGTACCATCTGAACTAATATAAAGTATACTATGTCTCAGATTTTAATTGTGTATTATTGTATTATTTATTTATTTTTATTTATTTATTTAACACTTTATTGCACCAACATAACATGATTTGTTAAAACAATTTTCAATACGTATAGTGTAGTACAAAAGGCGGTCTTATTGCTAAGCAATCTCTTCCAGACAACCTTTGGGTAGAAAGAATTAAAGCATAAGTAAGTAGGTGGCGCGTTAAAAAAGATAGATTTGTAAAATAATATCTGTGACAGGATAGTCATATACATATACATACATAAATAAACACATACAACCAAACATATACATATATATACATACACATATAAATATATATACATACATATACATATATATATACATACATATACATATATATGCATAAATACATACAAATATACCATATTAATACACATATATTATGTATTGTATTATATTGTAATTAAAAAATTATTGTTATCTATGAAATTTTATATATCCCATACCTAAACATATATTAATGTAACATTAATATTGTAGATAAATAAAAATGTGTTCGAATTGTATTTATATATGTAAATAAACATACAAATTAATTTACATTCATATATTTACAAAATTAATCAAAAGTAATTTCAGCTAGTGGCAAAGTTGTAACTATTTATTATTTTTAATAAATATATTCACATTTCAGACACATTTCGTCTAATGAAGGGTTCCTGTACATCATACAAAAGTTCTGGCTGTTTATATTTTGAATTTTAACAATTTTTAGTGAGTTAAATAATAAAATCAGATAATGTAATATTATGCTTTGCAAATATAAATAGACCAACAAAGAATATCTTATCATTTGCTATATCAAAAGCTGTTCAATATTGGTAAAGCTTTATAAAAAACATTTCTATTTTAAAAATAATTAACAATAACAACTTATTTGATTAATTATTCTATAATATGGACTTAATTATAGGAAATATAGAACTAATTATTTAAAACATTTGGTTGTAACCAAGGACAATTGGTAGCAATTGTATAGCAGTGAGATTGTAATCAATGACCTTTAAGACTGTATTAGAAGTGTTACATACCAGAAGAGGTGTCCACACATACTGACTACAGCGTCGCGGGCTGTGTCCAAACAGATGTTGCACTCCAGCATACGTTCATCGTGTTTCTCCTCCTCTTGACCAGCATCTCCGCCGGGTGCCGACGCTGACGCGCTTGCCTGCGCCTCGCTTGTCTCCGCCATCACTCTGCTACAAAATATTCTCTCACTATCTCACATTACGTCAATAAAAACATTAATTTCTTTATCGCAATCGGCCCAAGGTGACGTTTATATGTGACACGACAAATGTATTCGACGTCAAATTTTATATCTGTTTTACAAATAAGTACATGGAAATACAATCACCTGTTATTGAAAAATTTGAATGAATATATAAATAATAGCCGATTTGCACAGAAATTCTAAATAATAAATAAATCACATTCCAATCCCGTGGTTTGATGATCTGTCATTTTCTTATTTTTTCACAATTACATGCAGTACAAATAGACAAAGTTTAAATTTCATACAGCTTTATAATATTTACACAAATATTCTTTATTTATAAAATAACTATTGTATATTGTAAATATTTTAAGTAATGTTGATAATTATGTTCTATTTTAATACTATTATATTATACTTTCACTTTACGTTATATATGAATGGAATAAAAATTACCATAAACTTAGTGTTTATCTGTGGTGTTTATAAACAAAACAGTGTGGTGTCTGTTTTCATTTACAGAATTAATATATTTTTATCGTCTTGTGATTGGTTTGTCTTTGTCTTCTTGACCGATATTGTTCAATTTGGTTCGATTGTATTTCGGATCGAAGTATTGTTACAAAGAAAACAAAATGTAAATTGCTTAAAATGGTGTGCTAGTGTTTTGTTATAAATCAGTTGATTTCTTGTATAAATTACTTAAACTTCCATTAAATCGTACGTTTAAATGATCATTAACGATAGAAACGTGATTATATTGCTTTGAAAGATTATTTCTTGTATTTTTTCTAAAAATATGTTGAAAAACATCTGTGACGTCACGATTCCAATCAGCTGAGGCAATTGGTGGAGGGAGGGTATAACGTGATAGTGAACAAAACAAACAACCAGGATGGGGGGTGCTGTGAGCTCAGGCCGGGATAACAACGAGCTGATTGACAATTTGATGGGAGGGAACTACATCCGAACACGGAGCGTGGAGAGGGTATTTCGCGCATTGGACCGCGCCGAATACATGACACCGGAGACGCGGGACCAGGCATACAAGGATCTTGCTTGGCGGAATGGGCCGTTGCATTTGTCTGCCCCCTGTATATACAGGTAGATCTCGGCCTTAGACATGTTGCAAACTAATACCCACTTATTTTTAATAATATTATAGAGTACATCAGTATGAGGGTAAAGGGATTATTATTAGTGGGATTTAAAGGTAATACCATTGTTAGCAATATAGGATATATAGCTAGCAATGGGGTCACTAGATTGAACAACATGCATTTCTTCCTGGTCCCATATATCTTTAAAAATAGTCCAGGCTGAATTATTTTTTATTTATCGTTAAAGGTAAACCAATACTAGTATTGTTGACCTTTTAGACTCAGCTATAGACTTCTAATTTCAATGTATATTTAATGCATTTTGAAATTCTGATCCTAGGTTTTTCTGCCTGAAAAAGCCTGTCTTTCAATAATAATAATAATAAATAAATATTTAATACAGTTTTTGTAAAAGAAAATTCAACCCTTATAGAAATAAGGGTTGAATTTTCAACAAACGAAAATTCAGTAATTTAATTAACCATATGTGTAAACTTTTTTATTTTTTATCCGCAGTGAAGTCATGGAAAACTTGAAACTGAAACCTGGGTTATCATTTCTAAATATTGGTTCTGGCACTGGGTATCTAAGTACCTTGGTGGGACTAATACTAGGGTCTAGTGGAATTAGCCATGGCGTGGAAGTCCGCCCCTTTGTAGTGGATTATGCTAATAAGAAACTTAGTCAGTTTATGGAAAATTCTCCAGTATTGGATGAATTTGACTTCTGTGAGCCGAAATTTTATGTTGGTAAGTAAAATATTATTTCAAAATTAAAAAAAAAATATATTTTGCATGTCCTTTGATGACTTTTCTTGTAAACATTGTGGAATGATAATTAAATAAATAGCCCACACATAGAAATCGGAATTGGTAACTATCTGCAGTCCAAAAACATAATCATGGACACAAACAAATAAAAAATACCTACATTCTATACAGTATCTATTTTCATCTTTACAGATTCTTCCAGAAGGCTTAATTGAATTTTTTTTCTGATTAATTTCATCACTTGATATTGTAAATTAATACATATATATGAACATATATTATATACAGTATATATGTATTGAAGCTTTAGAACAATTGCAATCAAGTGTGCTGTTATCAGGTAATGGACTGTGCCTGGCGCCACTTCAGACTCCTTATGACCGTGTGTACTGCGGCGCAGGCTGCCCTGTCGAGTACGAGAACTATTTCAAACAACTTATAAAGGTTCATATATATATTCATTACTCCTTCATATATACAGTTGATCTGTTTCTACTTATTTTTACTTTGGTTGGTTTCTTGTAATCCTAAATGACCTAATTGGAGTAGCAGGTTAACAGCATCTTCGTAAATAAATGTAATTTGTATTTACAAATGACATGATGTGAATGTTAGTAATCCTTCAGTTTGGTAGCTATGATGTATTGCTCTTTTTATACCCTTAAGGTAGCAAATAAGCATACAACCCACCTGATGGTAAGTGGTTACCATAGCCTATAAATGCCTACAATACCAGGGGCGTTATATTCGTGTTGCTTGAAGAAAACTTTTTACCCCTTTTTGGAAGAACTCCATGCTGTAGTCTCTTGTAAAAACCTCGACAGGGAGTTAATTCCTTAACCTAAGCGCTCATGGGAGGAAACATCTCTGAAACCGCCTTGTACGCGATTAGGTCCGAGGTTCCCAAACTTTTTTATTTTAAAGTGGTCTACAACCACTTTAAAAATTTTATTTGGGTCCGGTAGATCCCCTACAGCTGCATTTCTATCATATTCCCAAAATTCGACAAAAATCTGAAGATTAGATGTAATTATGGAAATTTGCGTTGCGGCTGGATTGCGACCACGAACTAATAGCTTTTGAAAAAAAGTGAGAATTGGTTGGTTAATTAATTAATTGATTGTGCCTCAAATTGTCTGTCAATTTTTCCCCCAATTTGGATGTCAAAAAAGTAAAGTTGGCCAATCGAAAAAGTGATTCCATCCGACTCTACTTTTTTGACATCTACTCAGAGCACAAGGAACCGATCAATTCTCACTATTTCATTTAGAAAACTTTACATTCGTAGTGGTAAAAAAAAAAATAGTAGATTTGTTTGTGTGGTATTTATTCAAATATGTAATTATTAAACTATTTATTAGTATTGTTATCATATTACATTGTAATAAGATTGAATTTTCGCGGACCCCCATTTACGAAATGTGAACCCCCAGTTTTTTTTGCCACGCCAACGTAAACCCCTAGGGGGGAAAAGGATTGTTAGTAATGGAGTTTGACAGCCCCATTGCTAGCAATATATATATATATATAGCATTAGGTCGACCTCCATGTTGTTCCCCCTGGAAACCACCGTGAACAATTCTTGTTGAATTCCTCACGATGGGCTAACTGAGCTGCTTCATCCTCACCTATCATCCTTCACTAGTGCCCCACCGGTGTATACCGACAGCGCGGGTGAGGGGTGGGCGGGGTTACCATTTTATTATCACCTATAAAAAAAAAAACGTAAAACCCTGGGGGTGTACCTGGACCGACTTAATGGGGACATTTTCGATGGTAGAAAGTGGCTGTGGGCATCATAAAGAATATTTCTTGTATTGGGTATCATTTATTGACCCACTGATGGTAAGGAGCCCACACATTTTGTAACAGGTCGGAGGTATCCTTGTGATGCCGCTTAATGACAATTTGGTGCAAATGCAACGCGTCTCGGAGACTGAATGGAACTGTCGCATGCTGCTCAACGTGTCGTTCGCGCCTCTCCGGGAGCCCGCCAAGAACGAGACCCAGGAACTTATCAGACTTGGTATATATCTTCTATTATTATTTCAGCCGTTGACTGTCCACTGCTAGGAATAAACCTTCCTCATGAAGAGAGTTTTGTAGTTGCCACACTTGGCAGGCGAGTTGGCAACCTCAGGCTTTTAGAGATGTTCTAAGAGGGACGCTGCTGTCCCTTTTTTTATACCACTGAGATGGCAAACAAGCATATGGCCCACCTGATGGTAAGTGGTTACCGTAGCCTATTAACGCCTGCAATACCAGAAGTAAAACGCGTGCGTTGCCGACTCTGAAACAACCTCTTTATTCCATGCCTCTCTCCCTCGCTCTTCCTTATTCGGCTCTTGCAACACCTACGAGAAAGGAAAGGGCTGGTCCATTCTATGCTGGGAATACACGGCGAAATGTCTTTTATATTGTAAATTAACTTTATTATTATTTATATTGTAAACTTGTCGTGTAGTCCAGGTATAGAATAGGCCGCCTTCCTTTCCCGTAGGTATCACACAAGAGGCAACTAAGGGAACTTAATTGTCCAAGAATGGGCAGTAGCTTCTCTCTTAACAAATCACCAAAGATTGATAGCGGTTGACATTCCGCCTGCTAAGTATGACAGCTATAAATATGGCAAAACCCCCTTTAGTCTGATCAAAAGACTTATGTTCAGTAGTGATGTTTAGAGTGAACAGTTGATGAGATAATGACGATTTTTTTTTATGCAACTTAGAATGGCAAACAAGCTGATGGAAAGTTGTGACCGTTGTTTATAGATATGAGCAGTACTATGGATATAACAGAGTATACTGTGTCGCCCATGATACATACCCTCCATGCGTAACCATTCCTGAGGACTCGAGTGTTACTCCTCTGTACCCTGTAAATTCATTGCTATATCCCACCTTCCGAACCGAAACACAGACATGCAAACACAACTGCTTCACGGCAGAAACACGAATGGGACAGAGGTGCCCAAGCAAACGACTTTTGTACAAAGTCTCTCTCTGAGACAAGAATTCATTTATACGGATGTATTGCTCTGTAAAGATTTCCTTTTAAACAACTGATAGGAATATTTAGGTTGCGGTTTAGTTGTAATAGTTTTATAGCAGAGTGTCAATTAAACAAGCGCGGTGTTTGTGTTTAGAGGAGCAGAAGCCGGCGCGGCTGCAGGCGCTGGCTCGCGCGGCGGTGCGCGGCGCCATGCGCGCGGCGCTGCAGCGGCGCCGGCCCGAGCTGCGGCCGCCGGCCCGCGCGCCGCCGCGCGCCGCCTGCCCGCGCCGCATCTGCATCCCCGTCGAGGACGACAGCGACCTCGGTACGGGCCCGCCGCACACCGCCACACCGCCACACCGCCACACCGCCACACACCTACCACGCCAACATGGGGGGAATGGGGATTCTTAGTAATGAGGTCTAACTGACCAATTTTTTTAAATGGATGATAATGGAATGGTAACCCCACCCGCGCTATCGGTTTAGACCGGCGGGGCTCCAGTGAAGGATAATAGGTGACGATGAAAGTCGATGAAGGTCAGTTAGCTCGTCGTGACGAATTCAACAAGAATTGTTTACGGTTTCCAGGGGAGTCACGTGGCAGTCTACCTGACCCATTGCCATCAATACACCCTATCAGGTCAACCTCCACGCGGTTCCCCCTGGAAACGTAGTCAACCTGCAACAATAAACCATGATGGTTTCCAGTGGGATACTATATACAGGTCAAACTAACAATGGAGTTATTAAATCCCATTAATAACAATCCCTTTTCTCTATTTACGTCAATATTATATCATGTCATACATCATATTCGACACTGTTCTTTCAAATACCGAGCAATTAATAATCTTGTTTAGAGGTAAAAGAATATACTATCAACTATATGATTATATTATTTTTGTATTAACAGAAGGCCTAAACGTCCTGCACGACTTGGACCGTAACAGTGGCGCCAACGAGATGAACGCGCTCCTGAGCCTTGTGCTGAGCATGGGACAGAACCGCGTCGCTGGAGCGCTACGCTTCGATACTGGCGACACGTCATCGGACTCGTCGAGCGATGATGACGAGCAGGGCCACGACGACGATGACGACAACGACGACGATGACGACGGCAACGCTGGTAATCACAGCCAACAAGCCCTCGATCTGTCTGCAAATGATGAAGAGGAGAACCGAGATAATCCGCCAAGAGCCAGCCATAGTCGGGGCTTGCTTACATTTGAATTTCATAATATGATTACTCCCGGTAGTAATGACGTCACAGACTCGGCACCGCGCTCACCGCCACCTGATAATGCTACCAGTGCTCAAAAGTCAGTCGAAACAGATAGGGCTCAAGACAAAACGACAACCAAATCGGAGGACCGCGGTGATAGTAGTGATAATCCAAACGTACCGGCCGAAGTCGAGATTTACTTGGGCAAAACAAGCGAGGCCGCTGCAAGTACGTCCAAAGAAGGGGAAATGGAGTGGGAGGAAAGTGTTGGAGCCACCAGGGAGTCATTCAGCGATGAGGAAACCACCGAGGAGGGTACAAAATCGAAGGAGGAGAAGCGACAGAAGTTGGACAGTGGTATCGGAGAGAATACCCCAACGAGCTCGTCGCCAGCCAAGACTGATACAAAGACGGACGAATCGGACGCGGACGGCTCGCACCACTCCGACAGTCTCACGGACGACATCGATGACGACACGTTTACAGGTATTATTATATTGGCCATTAAATATCCACTGTTGAATATAGGCCTTCCCCACAAGGGGAGTTTTGCCAGAAGTTGCCACACTTGACAGGCAGGGTGCCAACTCTTCCCGCCCTAGTAAAGAGAGGAGGCTTGCTTAGGAGACGACTTCAAACGGGTTCCCCGCGGCTTTGGCAATAGGTGGACGGAGAACACCGGGGGGTTTTAGCCGGTAAGAGTCTAGCAGTACCCACATATCTCCCACGAGCTATGTGGGTCTGCAAGAAGCATTTCCCCTCGACCAAAAAAAAAGGGTGCCAACTGCAGTTTTTGGTGATGTTTAAAAAGGGATGTTACTGCCCATCCCTCAACCATTAAGTTCTCTAAGTGTCTCTTACGATACTCACGGGAAAGGAAGAGATGGCTCATTCTATACCGGGCCCATATGGCGTATCGATAATTTTATTGTTGTGGTAGTTTTAATGGGAGTTAATAGATGTTGTTTGGATTGATCCTGGTAGTAGAGGATGGTGTATGGACTGGAGGATTAATGGTTGAATTTCATTTGGAGACTGGTAAAAAAGTGGTGGTGAATAAGCATATTGTACCTCATGTTTCTGCCCTCGAGTAGCTGTATTTGTGGATGGCCATAACCTGCAATTTCACATGTCTGTTCAAAATCTAATGTGGGTCAGGATTTGAAGCGATATGTCAAATTGTAAGGATTAGAGGCACTAGCTGTGTTCACTGTTTGGAGACGAAGTAAATAAACAAATAATTTCCTGATTTAATAAGGATGTCTTTGTGATGAGTTTTGAAGTCAAGTACGCGTGTAGCGGTGACGCTTATTCAAGAATTTCTAGACTACCTTCAATGTAGGTTTTGATGCGGCCGGTGTGGATTCGTCGTTAATTTTTTCTAAACTGGTCCGCGTGGTGGCAGGTCGCAGGCGCCTGCAGAAGCGGTCCCGCGGCAGCCCGGACGCGCGCTCGTCGTCTGGCGAGCCGTGCTCGGAGCCCGAGGCGGAGGGTGCGCCGCGCCGCCGCCGCAAGCGCCGCCCGCCGCCGCCCCGCGCCCCCCGCGCCGCCCGCGCCACCCGCGCCGCCCGCGCCGCCCGCGGCAACCGCGCCCCGCGGCCCCCCCACCACGCGGACGACGCGCGCCGCGTGCAGCTGTCGCTGTGCATGAAGCGCGCCGTCAAGGAGCTGCCGCTGCCGTACGCGCTCAAGAAGTACGTCAACCTGCAGCGCTGCTTCGAGTTCTAATTCCGAGGGAGCCGGTGCGCTGCGCGGCCTGTACTTTGACTGAAAGCGCTATATCGACGAGCTGAGCGAGTCTATCGATCGAATCGTTGCCGCCAACGAGCGCTCGAGGTACACCGGGGCGGCGACGACCAGTGTGTTGTTCCTTCTGAAGCGAGCGCTCCCGTAACGATGCCGTGGATAGATTCGTTCGCCGCTCGTCTATGGAGGCCGGGTAGACTGCCTGTCGGACGCACACGAGACGACGTATCCGAAGATGAGTCGTGTTTTATCTCTTAATATTAGACCCTTCTTTCCGGGCGTGGCCGAGTAGATTCTTTTTATGAAACGAATTTAATTGTAAGTTTAGTTAATAATTCATTTTGCTTCTTTCCCTTGAATAGAAATCGTTAAATATTTTTCTAAAATAATAATATTAATTATTAAGGTACTTTTCTCGCATGATTTGTAAATATACGATGTCTAATGATAGAGTCTTAGTTGATAAATATATATCTTTGTAACTGTAAAAACATTGTTAGATAATATCTTCGGATCTGTCCTATAATTACTTGAAATCTTGTACTCAAACTTTTCCTCTCGTTCGTACGTCTATCGCCAATAATGGTATGGTATAGCACTTATGGTCAAGATATGGTATCTTGTTCCTGTGGATTTGTAAATATTTAAGGTTAGTTGAAGATTCGTGATCTACCAGAGGAGGTCCTTACAAAGCGGGAAAGAGATAAAGGAATCCTTATGTTTTTGTTGTTGCATATTATGGATCGTGGCCTGTTCGTTGTACTGTAGAGTTTTAAGTCTGAACCGACGGTAAGTCATCCGTTGCTAAGTGTCCGGCGTCCGTTTTCTACTATAATACTCGTTTACGAATGACAATTTTATAATATACTCAGTAGATGCAGTAATGTTGGCCACTTAGCAGGTGCGTGACCTTTGCATTATATATTTCTCCAACGCCCATTTTACGTTTAACAGCGTGTTGTAAATGAGTTTTTGTTACGAGTAATAATGTCGTTATAACATAATTAAAATGATTTTATCTATAAAATATATTGGTATTTTATTTCTATACAACATAGCTTTGGTTTTGTAGAGCGTTGTCTCTGTCACTCTTATCTATTTTTTTTATATGTGTCTAGCTTTTGTCCAAATTTTCGCGCGTGGATTTTGGAAACACGTACGTAAATACGATTTCTTAATGGCGTATTAGGATTTTTTTTATTGAGTGATAATAAAATGGTAACCCCGCCTATTTGTACCAGAGTGAGACTTTGTACAAAAGTCGTTTGCTTGGGCACCTCTGTCCTATTCGTGTTTCTACCGTGAAGCAGTTGTTTGCATGGCTGTCTGAAGGGTGGGATATGGCGTGAATTTACAGGGTACAGAGGAATAACACCTGAGTCCTCAGGAATGGCAACGCATGGGGGGGGGGGGGGGGTATCATGGGCGAAACAGTATACTCTGTTATGTCCATGGTACTGCTCATGTCTATAGGCGACGGTTACCACTTTCCATCAGGTGGGCCTTCAGCTTGTTTGCTATTCTAAGTTGTATAAAAAAAACTACTGCCAGGCACTGTATTTGCGATAATGTAATATTATAGGAAATAAATGTATCACTATTTTCGTTTATTTGAAATGATCTGATTAATACTTACTACCACGTCTGTGATGAGAACATAACATACAAACTTTCATATCAATTAACTAAGACAGGTACGTTAATGTGCTTATAGCTTTTGGCCACAATAGAATATCAGTGTTTTGCTCTTTCGAGAGCGAAGCAATAAGCTGAGTAATGACTATATATAGTTTTTTTTTTTAATAGATGATAATGGAATGATGACCCCAACTGTGCTATCGGTATACACTAGCGGGGCACCAGTGAGGGATGATTGGTGAAGATGAATAGGCAGGTCAGTTAGCCCATCGTGACGAATTCAACGATATATTAGCTACGATGGTTTCCAGGGGTAACCGCGTGGAGGTCGACCTGGTAGGGTATATTGATAGCAATGAGGACTAACCTCCCTATTACCAACAGTAATGACTATGTTGTGTTACTGTGGTACACATGTATCTCATCATATCAACCTTCAACTGTCCACTGCTGAACATAAGCCTCCCCCTTGTTGTTGCCAGTAGTTGCCACACTTGGCAGGCGGATTGGCAACCGCACTCAGACTTTAGAGATGTTTTAAGAGAGACGCTGCTGCCCATCCCTCGCCCTCCCTCAGTCGGCTCTTACGACACCCACGGGAAAGGAAGGAATGGGTTATTCTATGCCGGGCCACACAGCCATATCATATATCTATCCTATTTAAATTTATTATAATTAAATATGAGAAACGAACATTAATAACTACAATAGAGAATATAAGAGTCAAAATGCTGGGCCATCTTATACGACATGACGATTTTTTAAAGAGAATAGTAGAAGGAAAAATAGAGGGCAAAAGAGGAAGAGGAAGACAGAGGAATAACTATATTGGTCAGATAAAAGGAAACACTGGGTGTCATGTCGTATGGGGAGGTCAAGGATATGGCTTGGGATAGAACTGGCTGGAAGAAGGTGCATGAATTAGCACCGACAAGGGGAAACTCTTAAATGAAAAGAAGAAGAACGTAATTGAATAATTAAGAAGAGTCAATAATAAAAATCGTTTTTGATTTATTCTTTTATTCATTATGCATAGATCGTGTGTTACAAATGTATTACAAACGCGCTTATATTTAATAATTATATATATTAAGGTGAGTATTCACGCGGTGGGTGCTTAATGTACGTTAAGTCTATTTACAGATAAAATACAATAATTTATAAACTGTCACCTAACCGTCTCTGGCAAAGATTGTGGATTAAAAAATTGCTTCTGATATATTCTGGTTTTACATACAGCGAGAACGAGGTGTGTATTATCTAAACTGTTCATCCTCTAGTGGTAATTTGACCATTACCATATTGTCACCATATTAATGTCGTTAGATATTTACAGATATTATAGTTAAAGTAAGCTATGTTAGCCTCTTGTATACATTTAGTTCATGGATCATTTAGACTAGGGGTGGCCAACCGGTCGATCGCGACTTAGTCCAGTCGATCGTGGCAAGGCAAAAAATATAATATTTTGCTAATCTAGCGGAAGATGCTCAGACGCAATGCTCACACTAATATAAATAAGTAGTTACTAAGAATAATTTTCAATTTTATGTTTTCCCTCTTAACAAAATAAAAAATACTGCATTACTACACAACTGAGTGAACTATGTTGTTTTATTTGAGATTTCAAAAAGTATGTAATTGGTAGATCGCACAGGGTTTCGTCAGGAAACAGATCTTAGGTCTAGTCAATTTGGCCACCCCTGATATACACTGTGCTACATACGAAACTGATTTATTTATGTAGGTAGATATTTATTTGGTATCTATTTCTACACAGATACTAGTTACTTCAGTTATTTCTACGATTTCACAAAACGAAAAGTGTGTGAAACGTATATTTGTATCAATTACTATTGTTGTTTCATAACGGCACAGTGTAATTGTTCTACAGTGGTCCCTAGGGCGTTAGCACCACTTGCTGGCCGATTGCATCACTCCGTTCGCCTTCATCGGTTTATGAGTATTTTCCGGATACAGAGCGTCGGCGGCTGGTGTCTCACACGCACTCAGACCATTCATGAGTTTCCGTATCGGCCTCGGAGTAGCTCGTCCTGGGTCTCTTATTCTTTCTCTCGCCCATTTATCCGCTCCGTGAGTTCTTTTCACTGGCCTCTTTTGAGATTCTTGGACATCGCCGTTTTGCAGTTCTGAAGGTGGCCTACTAGGTGTCTCCGACTCGCTACCGTTTATTAGAGAGTGTGCACTTCGCGCTTTATGTAAAGACAGGCGCAGTGGCTTCCGCGGCGGAGTCGGTCTCGATTTCACGTCACTATCTCGTCTGTCCTCGTTTTTTCTGTAGTAACTCATCCTCGAGCAGCTCTCAGATCCGTAGTCTATCCTCGGAGAACTGCTGTAGATGTCACCGTTAGGATAGTCTGAACATTCTGATTCGAATTCTGAGGATTTTGCGCTTCTACTATGCAATTTAGACGATCTTCGGCTCGACTTGTGGGCATTCTCCAACACTTTGCCATCTATTCTATGATACATGTAATGCTTCTCAGATTCCAACTGTACATCCTCAGAGCTGTCATTTTTCTTCATCTTCCGCAATCGCTGCGACCGCTTCAGTTGTTCAATAATGGAAAGTGTCTTCCTCTCGGCCCAATTGGTTTTCTTGATGCTTTCTTCTATTCGATCAGCTGCCTTCTTAATTTCATAATGTTTGGGGTCGCAAGTACTCACGCTTATTCGGGAATCTAAATCGCTATCTGATCTGAAGTACTCTTCTGTTTTGCTTCTGTTTAATTTTTCTGATTTCAAACGTTGTTTTTCCATGTGCCTTTGGTTTCGTTCGATCATCCGTATTGCGGCGTCCGTTTCTGCGCTGTAATCTATAGCTCCATGAATGCAGTGATGGGAAAGAGAGTGACGCATCCGACTTGCTTTGTGTTCCAAACTGTGCGAGCTGTGAGATCTGTAGTTAGGAGGCGGGGAAGCTCGAGGAGATACCGCTGCTCTGGATGACGCTCCAGAAGCGTTAGACCTTGGTCTCATAAGAGGTAGGTTGGCTTCGGCTCCGTCCAGTCCAGGTAACTTGGCGACGATGGCAGTGATGTCTGGACCTTTCTGGAATACTTGAACCTCCGATTTTGGACTATGTTTGCTTTTTGACTGAGGTTCTGTAGTAATATTGATATTGGTCACGTTCTTCTTCGATTTATTGACGGTTATGCAGCTGTCGTTGCTACTTGTATGTTGAACCTAGCAGAAACATAATATAAATTAAATATGCAACAATATAAAACAATAATACTCGATTTGTCTGTTACCCTCCTTGTCTTATAAAGCATTTGGCGTGAATTATCATCATCATATCAGTTTTTAACTGTCCATTGCTGAACATAAATCTCTCCTAGGGGGGTTTGCCAGTAGTTGCCACGCTTGGCAGGCGGTTTGGCAACCGCAGTTAGGCTTTGGAGATGTTTTAAAAGGGATGCTACTGCCCACCCCATCAATTTGGCGTGAATAGAAATAGGTAAATACCTAAATAAATAAGTTCCCGGCTTAGATTCTCGGTCGGGCCAATTTAGAAAATGTTTTTTAAATGAACTCTGTTCTGAGTGTACGGAGATAGGTCCTCGTGGTTCTTATCGTGTGATCATGTGGCACTTATATTTTTTTATGCCTCCTTAAATTTAAGTTGACGTCCCATTTGTTATCTATAGACATGAAAAGCATCTATTAGTAATTTGAAAGGGAACTGTAAAAATAAACATTGTAGCATGTTACCTGTGCATGCCTGGCGAGCATGTCGGCGACCTGTTCTTCGAGGTAGGATATGCGGTGAGTGAGGCGCGTGTTGTCGGCGCGCAGGCTCTCCTTCGCGCGCTCTGTCTCCTCGGCAGCAGCGCGTAGCGCGTTCAGCTCCGCGCGCAGTGAACATGCTTCGTTCTACCGAATACATTTTATTACTGGATGTCAAACAGATCTATATTTTTTTACACGCTATATTGGTGCTTGTTTTTTTTATGACAATCTCTACTCCAGAATCTGCAAGATTTTACCTTATATTTTGTAAAATATTAATGGCTGCTAGCATCCAGGTATAGAAAATAATATATAATAATGTATTTATAAGGCGCTAGTTAGAGACAGTGTTTATGTAGAAATGTGTCTGTCCATGTGTACACAATCTTTACTAATATTGTAGACGCAAAAGAGAGTTTGTTACCTCTTGGCGACATTAAGGCACAACCAATTCTCATGATATTTAGTATATACACGTAGTGTTTGGTATGAAGGAGGAAATAGGCTATTTTTTATGTTTTTAAATTAACGTAATTCGGTTAGATTAATTGAATATCATAAATATATATGGTTCAGAAGTACCTGGAGTCGGGTTAAATACATTTATTATAATTTTGTATGTTAGCATACTAAATTTATAACATTAATTTGGCTTTTGCTTTTATAATGTTGTAATTATTTTTAATGAATAAATAAATAAATAAAAAAACCTTAATAAAGGTTATAACGAATGACATAAACAACTTGGCATTCCATAGTATTTATATGGTAATCTTGAATCACTAAATGCCTGTAGTTAGCATTGCAATCTGCAATCTACAATTATTGCATTCAACTAGATACTTAAATGATGACTTCTCGAACTGGAGGGGAAAGGGATTGTTAGTAATGGAGACTGAGAATCCTATTGCTAGCAATATACCCAACTAGGTCGACCTCCTCGCGGTTCCCCCTGGAAACTATCATGGTTAATTCCTGATGAATTCGTCATGATGGGCTAACTGGCCTGTTTTCATTCTCATCTATCACCCTTCACTGGTGCTCCGCCAGCGTATCCCGTTAGCGCGGGCGGGGTTATCATACTATTTACACCAATAAAAAAAAAAACTTCTCGAACTGCTAGTGTATTGCTGACCTGAGCAAAGAATAATTAATCACCTGAGTGAACGTATTTGGCTGTGTTTGGGGCTGGTGCGTCTGCGCTGGGAACCCGCGCACCACCACCAGTCTCGCAGGGGACGCAGAGCTCGCAGCTCGCTGCACCTCTTCTAGGCTGCGACACGACACCATCCAAGTGCCATTCACCTCCAGTAATCTGTAAGTTATCGACAATTCTTCAGTTTTATACCATTACTACCTGACCCGGTAAACGTATCGGGTACATTTTTTCTTAATACTTAATGAATGTGCACATTTATTTCATTTATACCGGTTAAGCCGTTTTGGAGATTAGCGTCAACGAACATTGTGACAAGGGATTTTTATATATAAAGACTGTATATTATAAAAACTCTGACCCAGTGTTTCCCAACCTTTTTTGTGCCATGCCCCACTGAAACGTTTCTAAAATTTTTATGCCCCCATACATAATTTTTCCCGACAAAGTTGACTCTAATCGCCCAGTTGATATTTTAGTAACGCCAAACAAAATTTTACCTATTAAATATTTACAGCATTTTTTTATTTACGAGCAAGAGGGTTAAAATCGCTTCAAGTCCATTTTTTTATTGCCTTAACTATCAAATTGCCCACTAGTGGGGTGTGGGCCCCTCGTTGGGAAACACCGCTCTGACCTATTGCTAGACACGTATATACCTACCACATAATTACTGGATAATCAGTTAATGTCATCAGCATACATAACTACTTCATGAGACTTGGTCAAATGGCGTGGAAGACTCTTTGCTATAATTTTTCACAATTACATTGCTGTGTTAATATAATTTTAGAATTTACAATAAAATATTTATGTTTAAACTATGCTATTATATTTTCAGCCATTAACTGTCCACTGCTGGACATTAGCCTTCTCCACAAGGGGAGTTTTGCCACTAGTTGCCACGCTTGGCAGGCGAGTTGGCAACTGCAGTTAGGCTTTTGGTGATATTTTAAGAGGAACACTGCTGCCCATTCCTCGCCCTTCCTTAGTCGCCTCTTACAACACCCACGGGAAAGGAAGGGGTGGTCCATTCTATGTCGGGACCGATACGGCGAACTATTTAACTATTAAACTATGTTATTACTGAGTGATATTTATTTAAAAGTACACATCTAGCTACAGTACACCAATTTAAATGTACCTACATATATCATAGACTGTTAGTATAATGTATTTATGTACTAACAGACAGAAAATGGGGGGGGGGGGGGAAGGGATTGTTTGTAATGGAGACTGAGAATCCCATTGCTAGCAATATAACCAGGTCGACCTCCTCGCGGTTCCCCCTGGAAACTATCATGGTTAATTCCAGATAAATTCATCATGATGGGCTAACTGGCCTGTTTTCATCCTTATCGATCACCATTCACCGGTGCTCCGCCAGCGTATTCCGTTAGCGCAGGCGGGGTTACCATTCCATTTTCATTAAATAAATAAAAACAGACAGAAAATGTGATTATACTTGTGTGTGTGTGTGAAATATAAGTGTGAGTATGATATAATGCTGCACTTTTTAAACCACCACTTTCAAAAGCATTCAATTTCTAAACATCTTTATTCAAATAGACTTTTAGAAGCACTTTAAAATAATATATATATATTTTTTTTATTTATTGCAAGGTCGAAAAGTTTGTTGTCCGTTGAAAAGAGCCTGCAAGAATTCTTAATTCATTTATCAGGTTTATCGTATTTTTTTATTTTACGTGATTTCTTCGTAAATCTTGGCCCCAAATGGCGAAAATTGTAAATCCGTGTGATATAAATGTAAAATTATCATAATTATTAATTTCATTATTTTAAATATTCTTTATAATAATAATTTGTTGTTTTGCCGTTGATTCAAACAATCGATCGAATCGATTTGTCGATAACAAACTTATATAAAACCACAGGATTTATTTATACTACCCACATCAAAGTTAATAATCGTTGTGAGCTAATGGATAAAGACACTATTTCCCATACTAGTCAATTTATCAGCATACAAGTATGGCTATAATAAATTGATCAATTTGCCGTATAGGGAGTTAGTATTTCAACTAATGGTATCCATATATTAGTTGTGTCTAGTATAGTATTATATTATCTGTGGTTGCGTCAATGAATTGCTATACCATATCGAGTGTGACCAAAAGAATAGGCAAAGAGAAATCCCAGTAATGAAGTAACATTTAAACAATGAAAAATTTTCCCAACCCAACAGGATGTAGGTATCTCTTCTAAGAATCCTCAGAAATGAGTCTTTTTGAATATCCTTAGACCTGAAAAGTAACGCATTTGCGTTTTCAACGTCATCGTCATCATATCTATTATTTATAATAATATACATTTATTCTATTTTTTATTTTATTTATTTATTTATTAAATACAAGAAATTTATAACGCGCGTACATTGGACCCCGCACTAAGCGAACCTGTATCGCGGGAGTCCAGTATAGGAGTCCAGAGAGCAGATATTTTCCGGTATTTTTGTTTTATACAACTTAGAATGGCAAACAAGCTGACGGCCCACCTGATGGAAAGTGGTAACCGTCGCGTATAGACATGAGCAGTACCATGGACATAACAGAGTATACTGTTTCGCCCATGATACCCCCCATGCGTTGCCATTCCTGAGAACTCAGGTGTTATTCCTCTGTACCCAGTAAATTCACGCCATATCTCACCCTTCAAACCGAAACACAGCCATGCAAACATAACTGCTTCACGGTTGAAACACGAATGGGACAGAGGTACCCAAGCAATCGACTTTTGTACAAAGTCTCCTTCTGGTAGTTGCCACTCTTGGCGGATTGCCAACCCAGTTAGGCTTTAGAAATGTTTTAAGAGGGACGCTGCTGCTTATCCCTTCCCTTAGTCGTCTCTTACGACACCTACAAGAAAAGAAGGGGTGGCCTCTTTTATGCCGGAACCATACGGCCATTTTAATAGGATTTGAAAAGGTAAAGATTTTCAACAAAAGTTTTTATAATTGCGGAAAAAAGAAAGTACTTATTTTTTGAGTAAACATCTATATGTAAATTTGAATTACACATAATTAATCAATTCGAATTAATTGATGATTGGTATACACATGACGTGTGGCTCTTTGGAACAACGTGTAGTCTACTGTTAGATGTGCTGTGGGCGATTGTTTAATTCACTTTAAAGAGGTACATTATTAGCGGTATAGCGAGAAGATTGCTAATAAATATAGCAGTTTTAACTGTCAAAACATGCGATACAATTTTTAAACAACTTGGAACCATAAACTATTCGACGACCTACTCGATACTGCTTCCATTGTTTATTTAGACTATAAAAAAAATTATAGTAACCTGAAAATATTTAGGTACATGACCTAACCTAACTAAAATTAGCGGGGGAAAGGGATTGTTAGTAATGGAGACTGAGAATCCCATTGCTAGCAATTTACCCAACCAGGTCGACCTCCTCGCGGTACTTCCTGGAAACTGTCAATTAATTTTTAATAATGGTTAATTCTTAATGAATTCATCATGATGGGCTGACTGGCCTGTTTTCATTCTCATCTATCATTCTTCACTGGTGCTTTGCCAGCGTATCCCGTTAGCGCAGGCGGGGCTACCATACCATTTTCACCCATAAAAAAAAAATTTAAATTAGCAGGAGGGAAAGGGATTGTTACAATGAGGATTTGACGACCCTATTTTTAGCAATATACTCTATCAGGGCGACCTTCACGCGGTTCCCCCTGGAAAACATCTTGGTTAATTCTTTTTGAATTCGTTACGATGGGCCAACTGACCTGCTTGCATCCTCATTGGTGCCCTGTCAGCGTATACCGGTAGCGTAGATGGGGTTACCATTCCATTATCATTAATTAAAAAACCTTTCTTTTAAGCTAAACACAGCACCCGTTGTATACTAACCTATTAAGTACATTAGAATGTACGCAAGTTTTATTGCTTCGATTGTTTGTTCTAAAGAATTAATTGAGTCGACGCAAGTTCGTGGGAACAGTTTTTTTTTATGACAAGTGAATTATTGTCGTGATTTTCCAACTATGGTTTATTGGAGGCAGGCACATAAATAAAAGGGCATAAAATCATTTACGCCCCACTGAGTTAACTGTATTCATTAATGGTATTTTTATTAAATAAGTACAGTTTTTTATAGTTTTCTACTACAATTAAATGCAATGGTTGACTGGTAGAGAACACTATCCGGTGTTAAATCTGCCATATGTACACAGTTTCACTGTGCATTAAAATTTAGAATGATTCTACAAAATAAAAACGACTTCAATGTTTTGCGTTTAAATACCTAAATACCGTACATTTAGGGGTGGGGGAAGGGATTGTTAGTAATGGGGAGGTTTTTTTTTATGGGTGAAAATGGTATGGTAACCCCGCCCGCGCTAACGGGATACGCTGGCGGAGCACCAGTGAAGGGTGATAGATGAGAATGAAAACAGGTCAGTTAGTCCATCATGATGAATTCATCAGGAATTAACTAAGATAGTTTCCAGGGGGAACCGCGAGGAGGTCGACCTGGTTGGGTATATTGCCAGCAATGGGATTCTCAGTCTCCATTACTAACAATCCCTTTCCCCGCTAATGGGGAGGTTAGTCCGCATTACTATCTATATACCTTATCAGGTCGACCTCCATGCGATCCCCCTGGCTGTCACCATCGTGACAAATTTATCGTTGAATTCGTCATGACGGGTTAATTGACCTGCCTTTTCATCCACTAATCGCCCCTCACTGGTACCTAGCCAGTGTATACCGATAGTGCAGGCGGGGTTACCATGTCATTATCATTCATTAAAAACCCTACATTCAGTCATTCCAGGGGGAACCGCGTGGAGATCGACCTGTTAGGAAATTTGTAATGGGCTTGTTAAATTTCATTACTAAAATAAATCTTGTTCCCCCTAGTATAACTGTTCTGGGTAGTAATTCTCCAATAGTAAAGTTCTGTAAGATTATAAATAGCTGCAGTGACCAGGTCGATATTAATTTTGATACTCCAATTGTTTTTGTACGAAATATCTATAAATATATAAAATGAGTCGTGCTGCTGGATCTGCTTATGGATATGGTGGCTTTACTTGTTAGTTGTTAAGCATTTAATAATAGTTGTAAGCTATATATATATTTCTCCGTACTTATTGTTATACATGTATCAATATATGCCGTGTTTGCCTATAAAAAATTGTTACACTTAGTTCTAAGCTCCATAATTGTATTTACATTATTTTGTGGAAACAATTGTTGGTGAACCTAAATAAATAAATAAATAAAAAAATACCTTATGTTATGGGGAGTCAGGCAATGTAAATCTGAAAGAACAACCCTGAACATACAGACTTGAGTCAATTCAAAAAAGTTATTTTCCCAAATTGACCCAATCGGTAATTAAATTCAGGACCTAATGCACATATACATATGTGCAAAGCAACGTGCTCACTACACCGCCACGAGGTCGTCAAATCTTCAAAAAAGAACTTGTGCCTTTCTCTTGTTTTAAAGTCTGTTAAAACGTACCTGTCGCCGGCTCTTAATCCAGCGTTGTCCCCGGCCCATTCAATGGCAATGCCGGAGCCCCGGGGTGCTGCGCCCCACGTGCCTTCCCGAGCCTCTGCAGCCACCAGCGTTGCAGTGCCGCCACACTCGCGCACCGTACTGGAAATAAGAGAGAAATGTTAATAAAATGAACTACATATATAACTGTTATTTAACAACGGAATTTTAGTCTATCTCAAATGAAGGAAGAAATAAAAAAACGTAAATAGTTTTTTTTTAATGATAATGGAAAAGTGGAGTTACTATTGTATGTAGCGTATACTGGTAGCGCAGGCGGTGTTATCATTTCATTTAAGAAAAACCTGCTAATAAGGTGCCCACTAATTCTCATTACTAATACCCCCCCCCCCTCAAATATGGTAGATTTTTAAAGGATGATATTTTTTTAATAGTTGAAGGTGCATTTACTCAGGCACCCCGTCCTCGCTAATGGATGATAATGGAATGGTAACCTCGCCCGCGCTATCGGTATACGCTGGCGAGGCACAAGTGAGGGAAAAGGCAGATCAGTTAGTCTATCGTAATGAACACACGTGGAATTCAGAACGACGACAACGGGGACCACGTGCAGGTCGACCTGACTGAGTATACTACTAGCAATGTGACTGATACTCCTCATTACTAATAATCGTTTCCTCCCACCCCTTATATTGTAGTTTTTTTTTTATGGGTAAAAATGGAATGGTAACTCCGCCTGCGCTAGTGGGATGCGCTGGCGGAGCACCAGTGAAGGGTGATCGATGAGAATGAAAACAGGCCAGTTAGCACATCATGATGAATTCATCAGGAATTAACCATGATAGTTTTCAGGGGGAACCGCGTGGAGGTCGACCTGGCTGGGTATATTGGTAGTAATGGGATTTTTAGTCTCCATTACTAACAATCCCTTTCCCCCCCTATATTGTTGATTAGGTGAAGGTATTCAGGACCGTTCTCAGCGGAGATCTATGGGGGGAGGGCTTAATAATTACCATAGTAAATCACTTAAAACGGTAAATGAAGACAATGTATGTCTTACAGTATAGTAATAGATAATTTAATACTATCACCATAGTGAATATGGCTATCGAGATTATCTTCCGGAATAGGAGGTTGTATTGTCTATTTAAGGTGGGAATCTAACGAGACCTGATTAAACTACATAAAGGAACGATTATAAAGTTGCTGGCCTGTTAGCTTAACACAAAAACTTAGGTATGCACTGTAACAGAACGTCGGGACCATGAGTAGTTTAGTTTCCTTAGTTAGGCATACTTTCTATCGAATCAACAACTATGTAAGCCAGAAAACATGTGTATAATTAGATAGATGATACATTACAATTAATGCGTAAACGAAACATCAATTTTATTACACAAAAAAATCGAATACAATGTTAACAAAATTTTTCCGAAACCAAATACTAGGTAGCGTTCAGAAAAAGAACTGTACTGCGAACACAGTTGAATTGAGAACATATATATATACGAGTATAACCTAACCAAATTTTCCTTCAAAAAGTCCCTTCGTGAACATTATTTCAATTTATCACAACAATGCCTTAATCTGTTATATAATTAGTTATTATTTATATATGTATTAATTTAGTATATACTATGTATGGTTATTTATATATGTATTGTATGTGATTTATGTGTGTATATTTTTTGTAAATATATTATTCTATATGTTTGCATGTTTATATATCATAAATTGTTATCTCTTAAAATATTTATTTAATTTGCTATTTTCTTAAATCTGTGCACCGCCATTTGCTCTCTCTGTTTGGCGTGGCGGTAGAGAATGCCAACAGGCATTAAGTCCGCCCTGTAGACATTTTTCAATGTGTGCAAAAGTATAAATAAGTACATGAATAAAATAAATATATATTTTTTAAAGTCAGTAACACTTTCTCTCACTGGAGTCGATATTTGCGCAGTACTGAATCACTACAGATACTGCAGATATATGTATATAATACGCGTATTTCGTTAGCATTGTAGCATACTTATAAAATTATATATTTTATTTATTTTGTAAAAACACGCAGACAAGCGTAAATATTTTATATATATATGTAATACGTAGAGATGGGCAATCCACCTGGGTGGGTTTAAAGTCTGGTGGGTAAAAACCGGGTGTTTTGGGTTTATTGGGTTTAAACCCCATAAACACCCAAATTTTTGGGTGTTTATGATTTTGTACTTCATCATCGTCATCTCAGCCGCAAGACGTCCACTATACTGGACATAGACAATATTATTATGCAGCCTACAGAATAAAAAACTTTTAATTTGATTTTGAGTTTATTAAGAAAGAGATGAAAGTAAAATGTAAAACTACAGTCAATCACTGTCAGATTCAGAGTTATTACAAGCGATGAATTGTATAGGTTCGATAGGCTCTATTTCGTCTAAACTGTTATGTTCATTTACTTGCTCAATGAAAGCTTCTAAGGTATTTTCTTCATTAAACTGAATGTCCTCGCATTCAGCTTTATGTTTAAGTTTCCAGTTATAACAAATGAATGAAATTTTTTCAGTTCTTTCAGTTGTAAGTCGATTTCTTTTGTTATTATGTATGTAGCCTTGGATACTAAAGGAACGCTCAGTGGCTGCCGAAGTACAGGGAGCTGATAGAATACGAATCGCTACTTTGCTTAACTCAGTGGAACCACAAATACCTTTCCACCATATTAGGGGCTCAATGCTATCTAATGAGCTCCATACAAATCCTCTGGCCCAAAAGTTTTCTTTAGCTTTATAACACGCCAAATCTGCCATTACATTTGACAAACTTAAGTGTTGGCTTAAATTGTAGATAAACTCCATACCCTTAAGTTCTTCCTCTTGAGTAAGTTCGACTCCTAGAGTCCTGGGGTCTAGAATATATGCTGCAAAATGTATTGGCCTCATTGCCATATTGCATCTTGAAGATACTGATGTTAGAATCTGCTGTTTGCTTTCTTCGCTCAATGTCGAAATCTCATTTAATGCAAAACGTATCTTAGCTTGTACATCTCTAAATGTAATGTATGTGCGATGCAAACGATTCTGGTCGCTCTCTAAGTAAAATATGCTTTCAGTGACTGGTTCCAAAATACTTATACATTCCCCTGTCTTCGTCCAGAAATCATCACTTAGAATTAAATCTTTAATATCTCTTGAAATTACCACATCTTCTCTAACTGTTAATATTTGCAAAGCTATCTTATTTGCTTTCAAACTTTTTAACGAAGTAACATGACTTCCCCATCTTGTAGCACAAGGCAATTTTAGTGTTTGTGTAGAATCTTCACCCTGCCTTGATTTTATCAACAAGGAACTTAATCGTTGACTCCTTTTAACAGTTTTTATTATATTTATGGCTTGCATAATAAACACAGTTACTTCTTGTATCTTTACAATATCTTGGCACAACAAGTTAAGGATATGTGCACAGCAACCGAGAGGAACAACATGTGGATATTTGAGTTTTGTTAATTCGAATGCCTTTTGTATATTTCTAGCGTTATCGCCAATAAGTACAAGAAACTTATTTGCTCCATACACTTTCATTACTTTTTCAACTTCTTGGCTAAGGTATTCACTAGTGTGAGGATTACTTTCTGTATTCAAACTTTTAACGTATGCAGGTTGAGGTTTTGATATAAGAAAGTTTATTATTCCTTCATTTCTTAAATTAGACCAGCCATCGCACTGAAGGTGTAAGTAACTACAAGCATTTAGTTCCTCATTTAACTCAAAACGCATTTCTCTATATATTTTATCTAAGTATTTTGTCGCTAAAGCTTTACGTGAAGGTATTTTAAATTTTGGTTGCAATTTTTCGAAAAATTGTATCCATAAAGGATGTTGCACCATCGATAATGGCGTCCCTGTTACAAATATAGCTCTCGCTAATTCTGTTTTTATATGATCATCGGTGTCTTGAAACTCAGCATTTATTGTAGTGTTAGCAGACGACGAGGGGCTTATAAAAGAATCATTTGTCTCTATCTCTGACAGTCCAGACATTTTGGTTTTGGACGAGCTATCTTTTATAAGTTTCATAGAGTCTTTTAATGTTTCTGGAGATTTTGGACAAGTGATAAGATGTTGAAGCATTTTGGCAGCATTACTGAATTTGTAGACCTTATTACAAAGCTTGCAAGAAACAGACTTGTTTGGTAAAGTACGGTAGTGCTCCCATATGCGTAAATCTTTAGGTCTCCCCATTGAACCTAAAAAAATGAACGATGATTAGTTGGTCTGACGAAAATTCAACAATAGAGTGCCTATTTTTTTACAATGATTATTTCTTGTTATTTACAATAAATTTATTAAAAAAATAATAAAATAAATACAAAAAACCTTTGTAAAATTACATCTCCTCGGAGGATTAAACGCAGACGCTAGTTTATTATCGTATTGTTCTGTATTTTTCTCAGCAACTTCTTTAATTCGATTAGGTACTTACGCATATTATGTTAAAAATAAATATCTAGTACACATCTTAGGCTATCCACCATTATTATCCAATGACGACTCTCAGCTAACTATGCACTATCATCCAAAATAAACGTGTATGGAAAATTTTATCCCAGTCGGTTGAGGATTGAGGATAATTGCATCAACATACGAACATACCTACATACTTTTATTTACATAACGCAAGCTAAATAAAAGCTTGTAATAATACATCTAATTTTAAGTTAAAATTGTTAAGTGATCATGATATAATTGTATCATTCAAAAATCCACTTACCTTTAATTATTTCTTGTTAAGTATAAATATTATTTCAAATCTGCTCCCTTAATATGCACTTTTTTACTGCTTTTCCTACCTAACACGTTACCAGGAAGTCACGTTACCAGAGTCAGAGTAATAGTGAACACGTTTGACAGTGATTGTCGTCGCCTCATATTCAGCGTCGACGAATAGGGGAATCCCCAGTCATAATGTATTGCATGCGTGGCGGTCTTACTTCAAATCCATAAACAAAGAGATAATTACAGAACTCGATACTAGATGGCGCTGTTTTTGTTTGAAGAAAGTTTGCGGGCTAAAATACATAGAATTTCATCAATGACTTCCACAAAGAACAACATTTCTGTTTTTTCTAAGTCCGTATCTCTTCC